TAATAAAATACATTATAAAATTTTAGCAGTAGAAACGAGCAAATAAGGCAGTCCATTTCTTAATGCGCGGTTCACAATAGGCCAGTACGGTTGGTCAATAGGACTCAAGAACTGAACTGTCAATCAACTGGCACGAGTGATTCTATACAATCTATGAATGGCCGTCGCTGGTCAAGTGTGAATCGGACATATACCAACTAAAGGAATGGTTTTAGTTCTACCAGCGTCCTGTGACGAAATTGGTGGTGCCCTGGTGGTCGCCACACCGCGCCTTTTCTTACAAACTATGAAATTACTACCATTAACTAGAAAACTCGATATTACGTCATCGCTAGACTTACATATGCAGTCAAAATCTTCACTAAGATTAGCAATAACTAGCTGTTGCTCGTGACTTCGCCCACGTGAAATCATACTAATATTATAAATGCGAAAGTTTAGATGGATAGATGTTTGCTAGAGTTTGTAGCCTAAATGGCTAAACGGATTTCGATGAAATTTGGTGTAAATGTAGAGGATAGTCTGGAGGAACACAGGCTACTCACTTTTGTTTTTTTTTAATTCCACGCGGACGAAGTCGCGGACGAAAGTAATAAATAATTGAAAAATATAGCCTTTGTTACTTTGTTTGTAGCTTTGTAATGGTGAAACAATCTTTGATATCGGTTCAGTAATTTTTGAGTTATTTCAAACATAAATACAAATATCTATTTATAATAGTATACTCAGATTAATAAGATCAAAAATTATCCGTTGCCAACTTCACACATACTGGATAGCTATACGTGTTTAAATTCGAATGCCGTTTAGTTGAACTATTTGAAACGTGATTACTGTGGTATGGACGTGACTATCTGTTTGTTAATGAGCTATGCTCACTATCTTGACATCGAACTGTGATCAAAGCTGTTGCACTTTGGATCTATCTAATGTTTTATTGTCTGTGCAAATTACTAGTGGCTTATACAAACGAAAGAAAAGGAGTCTTACTTTCCTTTTGTATTATTTCTTTTAATTTAGGTCATCCCATGTTTTAAAATTATCTTTTACTAACTTTTAGCCCGCGTGGAATTTAAAAAAAAGTTACCTATGTGTTCAGACTATTGTCTACATCTATGCCAAATTTAACTAAGATCTGTTCAGCAGTTTAGGTTAGAAACTCTAACAAACATCCATCAATCTAAACTTTCGCTTTTATAATATTAGTAAGAAGTATGATAGTTATTGTTGTACTTTCCATAGCTGAAAAATTGTACATAACACTTTCTCATCTTACTATAGACTATCTTAAAAAACAGTCTAGCCATTTTGGATTTGGTATTAAACATCATCCATAAAAATACATTTACAATACGAGCTGTTGTTTGCAAACTTCGTTAGCGCAAATTTGGACCACCCGTTAAGCCATTTGGACGGACGCAGAATTAAAAAAAAGTAGCGTATAATATGCCCGTCTATGTCAGCTGTCCTTCAGTGAAAGTCCCGCCGTTTCAGAGAAAGACAGACAAATTTTTTTTAATACGATTTTCGTTAACAGCAACGCAAATACACCATCTTCCCGAAATCTAGTATTTTTCATTTGTATTGCGAACAGACACTCCAATTTTATTATATGTATTGATAGTTATAGATAGAGTATAGATAGAAGATTAGTATGAGTGTATTTCGTGAACCGAAACGTTAATCGATTTGTTTTATTCTTTGACACGTCAAACGTCTTGTTAATGAGGAATGTCTGTAATGTTGGCACACGCCTTGATCAAAGGGTATCTTGTTGAAACTGATTCGATACACGACGAAAACACTATCCTCTATTTGCATTATGCCTTTGCAGTTGAATGAATTTTAAAAAGTGTTAAAAACTTAGTTGTAACAAACCTAACCTATCTTTAAATCTACCTATTCAATTCAATGATACAATGTTAGGCTAATTGTAGAGATATGAAAACGCACATGGAGAACATGGATTTGTTATGCAAACATATGTATAAGTATAGAGAAAAAACTTAAGAAAACTAACAAAGGTGTGGTATATATGAGGGTATCTTAAATATACCGTCAGTTCTCTCATAATAAATGAGTCCAGTACCAACCACCGTTTCATTATCACTCCTACATTACATTGGCGACGAGGATGGGATTAAGCAAATATTATGCCTAACAAAGCTATAAATTAAAATATCAGCTGATAAAGGTTAAGAGAAGAGTATACTATGGCTAACAAAAAGGCAAGAAAATAAGGTAACATTCGTATACAATAATTGACCATAATGTTATAATTGAATGTTTGGATGATTTGTTTTTATAAAAAGTTATGAGACATGTTGATACAAGGAGCAATACGCGGGGTGGCGCTGTGTAAATCAAACGAGGGTACATGTGTTACCTCATTATAGGGCTGCCACAAACTTATCAAAAAAGTGTGTGACTCGGTTTTTCAAGAGCAGTGTGAAAAGGCATTTACAAAGCAAGTGTGTACTTATTTCTCATAGATTGTCCGTCAATTTAAGATACAACCACTTTACCATATCTTGTGTTGTTCTAGTAACTATATTAAAATATTAACTACTAACTTTTGCACGCGTGGAATTATAACAAAAAAAACAAAAGTAAGTGGCCTTTGTGTTTTTCTAAATTATCCTCTACATGTATACCAAATTTCATCAAAATCCGTTCAGCCGTTTAGGCTACAAACTCTAATAAACATCCATCCCTTCATCAAAACATTTATAATATTAGCATGATTAGAAAAAGCATCTCTGCGTATTTCCTAATCACAATTACCGTACAAAAGTTGCCATAGATACAAATATGTCAAATGTTTTTTTTGTATTCCGTGTTAATATATAATTTCCATCCCTAGCTTGCAACCGGATCGGTGTTGCAGCGGTAGATTTATAGTGTTCAATCAATGCGGATTTATTGCTTAGGAAGCGACCGCTCGTCTCCTTTTGTTACGGTTTAAATATAGACAGGCATTATAATTGCCCTCCCACCACCTGAGATGTCATTATTACTGTGACATGGTCGCTACTTATTGTTTTATGTTCTTCTAATTAGTTAGTAACCAGTATTTCAGTAGTGGTAGTACTGAATTGTTTATTTATATTTGATTTATAAAAACATATTCTTTTTGAGTTAGAATCAGAATTGTAGAAAATCTATAGCTTACTTATAAGATCTATTTCCCTCGAAGTGTGGGTTCTACAAAATTCCTCAGCACACTCAGACTTTTTTAATCGGTCAATAGTTTTATCAGGTCAAAATCTTACTAATATTATAAATGCGAAAGTTTAGATGGATGAATGTTTGTTAGAGTTTGTAGCCTAAACGGCTAAAAGGGTTTCGGTTTAATTTGGTGCAGATGTAGAGGATAGTCTGGAAGAACACATAGGCTACTCACTTTTGTTTTTTTAGTTCCACGCGAACGGAGTCGTGGGCGGAAGATAGTAAAACAAAATTGGCGAGTGCATCTCCAATCATTTGCCGATAAAAGTGTACGGTATTTGGTGTATTGGTTCGAAATCTATCTTATTTCTAAATCATCTTTCATCTAAAGTAGTAACATTTTCAAAAAGGTGCTTGCTAAAATAGATGTACTAGACTTTAGATACTAAACATTCATCAGACATACGTGAGATGGTGATAAATTTGATGCTGTAGACACTAATGATCGGTCAGCACCGCCTCAAGGTATCGACGTGGTTCCGCTCCAGTTGCAATAGTGACACTTGCCAAATTACTCTTACAATTAAAACAATTAGGGATAGTATACTCAGACATTTAAAAATAAATAGACGAGGCATAGTGAATAAAATTTCACAGGTACTTTCTCTTAAGAGAAAGGTATTATGTCAGTTGTCAAGTCACGCCAGCTCGTGTCCTTGTATTACATTTAAAAGATATTTTACAAAACTATAATAAGCTCCGTCTATTGTTATAAAATAAAATATAAATGTTTAATTAATGGTACCTATTAGCGATACATTTAAAACGATAGATCATGTGAAAAATGTCTCAATTTGAATGCCAATTATGCCTCCTCTATATATTTTTGAATCTCTTTGTTTGAAGTGCTTGTAAGAGACATCTTCGTTGCCGGTGGGAAGGGGCAGAGAGAGTTGGGTATTGCTTATCCTATCTACACATCTATCTATGTTGTAAGCCTAAAATTTACTTAGAGTTTCAGTACCAGAATAATGCTGGTATGTTTCTTTCCTGAGTCTATAAACTTCGTACTAAAATAATAAGAAACTAGCATCACTTACAAAACAATGACTCATGTTAGCAATAAAACCAATGTTAAAATTACGATTATCGATAACATCTCCGACTCGGTCAATACAGTTCAAATACTAAAAATAAATGTTGCCACTTAAAAATAAAACGAAGATCATTGTCGTTCTACGCGAGTATACATTTCATCGCCTGCCTTTATTTATAATCCACATCTTGACAGCGCGCGATGAAATTATCGAGGACATTTTGTATGTTTTGAGTTTCCCGCCATTACAGCAATTAGTTGAGTGAGATGTCCGCTACGGAGTGGACGCTTTACGATTTTTATGATACTATTTATTTGTTCTGCGCATGCGTCGATCCAGGCTTTTATAAATATCGTTTTATGATATTCGATTATTGAATAAAAAGATCCGGTGACGTGAAGTGCTGACCATTTCTTAACGAGAAGTTATCAAAATACCGTCAGAATCTAAAAGTGATAAGTGGATTTGATTTGATTGCGGTTTAATTTAATTACTACACTAATTAACGATATTTTGCTCAGGTTCAGTAACCACTAAATCTAGGAGATAATAAAACGGACAACAGACTGGACCCTGCACGAAGCAGCTGCTATTGAAGCCGTCTATGTAAGACTTTTTCGTCCTTTAAGAAGTAGCTTTCACAAGAGGCTTTAGCAGTTCCTTTGATGTAGTTTTCCATGCTTCAATGTTCTTGTCCGTTTGAGAAGCCAGGTTATAATAATATGTTGTCCTCAGGTGGTTTATCAAGTAACCATTGCCCACGTGCGGCTTTCCTGCAGCAGTCCATAGCGGAGCGCGTTGGCCGGGACCCTAACCAGATACCGACTCTACCTCTCCATCATCCTATTGGAGACGTAAGTTTATATTGTCATCCTGTATACACGGTGTTCCATCGTCTTAATTTCCGGACAACTGTATGGTATTTCTATTTTTTTAATTGTTTGTACTTTAGAATGCGGTGTGCGGTCGCAGCACCTACTCGCCGCTGCAGGCGCTCAGCGAGAGCACGTGTCGCGACCACGCCGCGCAGCCCGCGTCCCAACATCCTCCCATACCACAGCCCCCACGACTACAGGTATTGTGTCTCACTAACTTTATACTAGAGTCTGTCTAGATCACAGACTAATATACATCATTCTTCAGGTGACGTCACAGAATGTAACCCTACACCCGGCGGTCGCGCGCTGCTCAGCGACGCTCGAACTAGCGGCCCTCTGGCGCAGCTTCCACGAGCTGGGTACAGAGATGATAGTGACGAAAGCCGGCCGCCGCATGTTCCCCGCACTGCAGGCGCGCCTCGCGGGGCTCCTTCCCACCGCAGACTATCTACTGCTGGTTGACTTCGTGCCTCTCGATGATAAGAGATACAGATACGCCTTCCATAGGTTTGCTTGTGTAATTTCCTTATAGGTTACTAGCTTTCGCCTTCGACTCCGTCGGCGTGGAACTAAAAGAATCAATACTGAGTAGCCTATGTGTTCTTTCACACGTACTTGCCACATATCATTGAGATCCGTTCAGTCGGTTAGGCTACAAACTCTAACAAATCCACCCATCCATCCATCTGAAATTTCGTATTTGTAATATTAGTATTAGTAAAATATATTCTTATGTTAAAGTTGAAGATAAGAATAGATGTGTAGATCAAATAATGGTCTTCTTTGAGGTTGCACAACCGTTACACTTGGAGTTTGGGTTCAAATACTGTTTCTTTTGGCAGCTCAAGCTGGGTGGTGGCGGGTAAAGCTGACCCGGTGTCGCCGCCGCGCATCCACGTGCACCCGGACTCACCAGCCGCGGGCGCGCACTGGATGCGCCAGCTAGTCTCCTTCGATAAGCTCAAGCTCACCAACAATCAGCTTGACGACAACGGACATGTAAGTTCATATATCAGTATAGTTCATCAGTGTTATTTTTAATACCGTCCGTTATTCTTCTTTCTTATGGAGACGTTTGAAGATCTCGTCAAATGGAAGCCTCTAATCTTTCTATGTTCTACAACATTTCTATGATATTGTTGGATATCACTTTTGAAGTATAATGAGGATTGTCTGGACGCCGAAATGTAACTCTCTTGTACGGTATAAAACCCTCACGACACAGGCCTTTGAGGGTGTTGGTATTGTCGGTAAGCGATTTGAAAAGTAACAAATAATGTATGATAGGACAGTGCAGATTATTATACTTTTGAAATAAATTAAATTCTTCATTTTTTCAATGTTTTTTTGTCTTATGCAGATAATTTTGAACTCGATGCACCGCTACCAGCCGCGTCTGCACGTGGTATACTTGCCGGCAGAGGGCGCCCGGCCCGCGCCTTCTCCCGCCACCGTCCCGTACCGCACCTTCGTCTTCCCGGAGACCGGCTTCACCGCCGTCACTGCATACCAGAACCATCGGGTCAGTTGTACTAAGAGCGGATTATTCCCAACAGTCACCTCGTTCTGTTCCCACGCGGAGACAGATGAGAATAAAAAGCTTCATCCGTCCCACCTTTTGAACGAGGGGACGATTGTAAATTATTTTATTTCATAACGGGTAGGTAACCTTATTCGTGATGGTGGGACTAAAAAGTGAATGGATGAAACTTTGTATTCTCACGTGGGGACAGAGCGGGGGGACGGTTTGTTATAATCCCTAAGAGCGCGCACACCTTTCACTAAACTATCGCACCACTGTTTAGTCTCGGTTATATGGTGCGCAAACTACGATTTTTACAAACGATTTTTAGTTGTGCAACTAAACAGCTAAATTGGCTGCGAAATCGACGATACAACAACAGTTATGCGATAGTTTAGTTGAAGATGTGCGTCCGTTCTTGTATTGAAAAGGATAGATAGTGTTTTATAGACAAACGACGTGTCTACTACTACTTGATGTTGGCAGCAACTTATGGTCTTTCCCACATTAGGGTTTTTATCCAAAATATTTACCCCCTAAGTTTAATGGCGTTAAAATATATAGCCTAAAGCGTGGCGTAAGTGTAGGGCTTTTTAAAAAAAAGAATTTTTCAAAAATATCCTGTAATTGGTGACGTCTTAGACAACAAAGGAGTGTGTGTTTACGCTTCATTATAATAGTATAGATAATATAATATAATTTCTGATCTTACAGATAACACAATTGAAGATAGCAAGCAATCCTTTCGCTAAAGGATTCCGAGACTGTGACCCTGACGACTGGTGAGTGAAAAACACTAACTAAAACCACATTTTACTAAATAATTATGGGTTTCCTCTGTCACAACAGTAAATAAATCAAGCCGTATGTGAATGATTAAATTTTATGCGTAAACTCATTAAAGTGGCAATGTTAAGGGACTACAACAGCCGGTGACGATTTAGTTTTACGACTCGTCGTAGGTAAAGAGTTAGGTGACAGTTATGGCGGACACCGCGCGTTTCCCGCCAAAATAAAAACAAACAGTAACCAGAGACAAAAAATATATGAACAAACGTTTAGAAAAAAGAAGCAATCTATTTTTTTCATGTGATATTGCTGATTTATGCAGTAGTATTAGTTATATTGGAAAAAAGTTTACCTTTATAGTAAAAAAAGCAATAGGTACGGAAGATATATTAAAAAATTAAAATAAAATGTTGATCAATATCAAAAAGATTGCTTTACAAAGAGTTCAGTTATCGTAAATGTATTTTTTAATGTAACTGGCACAATGAAATGAAGAAAAAAGAAAAAATTACACACATTAAAGTAGGTACAAATAGCCAGATATATCTTCAAAGCTTTAAGAAGTGTTAGTAACAAATCATTGGATTTGTTTACAATTACCGCTTAACTGCTATCGTCGTTTCTGCATTGGCTGTACGGTGAACGTAAATTTTGTTCCCCGCCGTTATTTCCCACGCCCGTCGTCCATTTTGTTTATTTTACTGTTTTATTTCGAAGAGGTTGTTTTTAAACGCCCAGTAATAAGTTTAACTGAAACAGAGTCGTGCTTTGTTATTTACTTAAAAATACACTTGTTTTTATGTACGTGAAGCGTAAACTTTTTACCCCCTTTTTCAGAAATATTGCATTCTGATACACAATTCGAGCGGGCGCACACCTTTGACTAAGCAGTCGCAAAACTGTTGTGCGATTGTCGATTGTTTAGCACAAGTAAAAATGGAGTAGTGTGCGCACCTCCATATAAGCTCACAGGAATCAAAGCGAGACTATAATTAATATAAAGAGGAGAGGGAGGTTAAAAATCTTTTGTTCTCAAACATGGTCGAATCTGTAGGCTACACTACACACACACTACCCTACACTAAATTTATTATACTTACATACATTAAAGAGCTCTTTTTTCATGTCTCTGAGTGCAATTAGTTTTTTCTATGAGTTAAGTATGGCTTAAATGTCCTTCGTAATGAAAAGATATTTATAAAAATTCAAGTATTTGAAAATAGATCGTACTAGGTGTCGCCGGCAAATTCGTCCGCGCGGAATAAAAAAAACAAAAGCAAGTAGCCTATGTGTGTTCTCCCAGACTATCCTCTACATCTATGCCAAATTTCATCGAGATCCCTTTAGCCGTTTAGGCTATAAACTCTAACAAACATCCATCTACATTTTCGCATTTATAATATTAGTGAGATGGAATCTTGTTTATTATTTTAATTTAATAATTGTTACCCACATGTGCTTTTCAATTGATTTTTAATTTTAGAAATGTTCGCAAAAAATATCGTTAAGTCATCAGTGAGTCGATTTAGATAACATATTAACGTATTATAAACAAATCAAGTCATTAATTATATCGAAGAAGGAAAAAAATTAGAGCGCCATCTGCGCAAACAAAGTGCGAGCGAGACAAAAAATCTGATGATCCCTTTTTTATCCTTCTCCAACTTCTTTCAATGGAACTTCCTGGTATCTTAAAGGTCACCATGCTTCATTTTGAATAGGATATTCCCATTGACTCGTCTCGGCACTATAAAATATTATTGTTTTGTAAAGTTCATATATTTCGCTGCCATTGAAAATGAATTCTGAAAGGTTTTATTTGATTGACCTTTTATTTAAATACTCCACCTGATTTCTTCAGTACCGGAAAGAATTAATTAACTAGTAAAAAACGCGTACATTATTTATTTTAAGAGCAAGTTTATTTCTACAATACATTAATTCCATTTACTAATTAAAAACAAAGTAAATAATAAGGAAAACATCATAAGATTTAGTCGCATTATGGTTACCCTATTTTTAATAGATTAATTATGGCCGGTGTAACTTATGAGCGCCATTTGTCGCGTGTTGTCAAAATAGAGGATTATCAGAAGTAACTGGACTCCTCCTCGTAGGCGGGCCACGTACTTTATCATTTGTATTAAAAAATACAGCTGTCGTTACAATATTTAACAAGTTTTGATAAATAGAAAAATATTTTGGAATGCTTATAAACGATTTGAACTTAAAACTTTGTTTCCATTGTAGTTATATGAGTAAAACTGTTTAATCTCTGTAAAAATAGTTTAAATGTCATTTAAGATCTGGTTTATGATTATGACCGACGCCATAGGCGGTCACCCTGTCCCAGGGGTGGCGAACCACTTTCATGCGTGCTATAAATGGCACACGACATATTTTGGGCACGTCGATAATCATAAAGACACTACCGAAAAATTATAAAGTAGGATGCACCAATTGACGTAATACTCGTAATCGCAGTCATTAAGATAATATAAGGATGGAAAGGAAAAACGAATTTTAACGGTTTTAACGAAATATCCTCTTTATGTGCGTCTCCTCCTCCGTCGATTAAGGGTAGGCAACGCATTTGCAATTGCGGATGTCTATGGGCTGCGGTCGCTTCGCCATTTTGGCGGTTTCAGGAGGCCGCTTGCTCGTTTGTCACTTTATAATTAAAAAAAAGTCGTAACTATTCGATGGCACGTCTAAGACCGCATTAAACAGTTCTTTCAAAAAATGACACTAATGCATAAATATTTGCCACCCCTGCCTTATACTAACCCCTCTTCTGGTAGTTATATATAAATTTCTTATATATTGTTTACGTTCAGCCCACCGGAACAAAGTCAGCAGAGGGCAGTGGCGCGGAGGCGCGAAGCGGCGATGCCTGAACCCTGCCCTGCGTTGGCGCAGCCCTATGCCGCCGAGCCTAGCGCCTGCGGACCTCTTTATGCGCACGCGCATACTGTGCGGTGAGCATATAGCTATTTTATGACACTATATGTTAATAAGGATACTTCAAGCTATGCACATAATTTTAAAAGGAATACAATATCATTTTTTTTTGTTTGCATAATACGGTTAAGATGTTATAATAAAAATAGGGTCACAACTGTTCTGCTTTGCAAACTATCGATTATTGCCATTTATTTATTCACTATCTTTCACCCGCGGCTTCGTCCGCGTGGAATTAAAAAAAAGAAAGTAAGTAGCCTTTGTGTTGTTCTCGAGCGTCCTCGACATGTATGGTAAATATCACCGATATCCGTTCAGCCGTTTAAGCTACAAACTCTAATAAACATCCATCCATTTAAACTTTCGCAATTATAATATTAGTAAGAGTAATATTGTGCGGCACTAACTTCAAGATTTTAGTATAGTTAAGTGAAATTTTATATTATGTTCTCAGATATCAACCACACGCGGGACCAAACAGTACGTATAGCGCATACTACGCCCACAGATAGACTGCGGATACCAAAGGAGTTTGTGATATAGTATATAAAATATCAACCAGTTGGTGTAAAATTGGAGGGGAAATGAGTGAGAGGATCCTTTTAGATGTAAAGAATTTCAACACGGAGAGATAGAATGCGGATTTCCATTTGACGTAACCTTTCTAGTCCTATTTACATGTGCGACAAACTTGTGTAACCTGGTGGGCAAAAATGGAACTAAAATTACTTATAAGCGCTTCACATATCTAAAATTACCCTAATATTTTAGTCGTGTTATCTTCCTGGCCTTAGCTACGAGGTTTTATAAACCTTAGCGCGTGTCCCACCACTGGCAGATAAGGATAGCTTAAAAATGGCTACCCTGTCAGATACGGTAACAAAATCCGATATTTCCATCAGATATTTTACAAGTTGGATTGTTATCAGACAATTTACAATTTGGTGGGACAGGCCCTTAATGTTTTGATTTTTATTTTACGTGCCTGTCGCTTGAGAATAAATAATTCTTGGACTGTGGCAGTCAATATAAGCGCCAATAGCCTAATGGTTTGAGGTACGTACTACCGATCTCGCGGTCGAGAGATCGAACCCCGCCATTCGACTATTGTGAACCATATCCTAGCACAAGACTACAGCTTAGTTGGAGTGATTAAAGGAAATATTAGTAAATTAACAAGAAACCACTAATATTTAAAAAAAATGTTTATCAAATCTAATGGTAATTTGGGAAAGTAAATATTCATATATGTTGCCAGCATTAATAACTTTAACAGCGTCACCACATGCTACTCGGGCTAGATAAGTTAATCGAACTGTTGACATCTATCGGCGAATGTAGGACTTTTTAACTTTATTTAAATTGGAAATCGTATAAAGAGGTGAATTTATCTTGGATAGTTTAGTTTAGAAAGATAAGAAAATACGTCGATTTTTTATATAAAATCGCGGTAATTTTGTCTCCGTGTTCATTGTCCACGATGTGTAGAAACACAACGAATTAAAAATATTTCATCGAAAATTGTAACGATTGTAATGAAGTTACCATCTATTTCTCTCTCCCTCTACTATGACGTCACTGTATGTCTCTATTATAATTGTTTATTACCTGTACTTAGCTATTAGGAAATAATTTGTCTTACTTTTAATTATTTTTCTTTAAATTTACGTAACGTAGATATGTCACGTTCAAGTTAAATAATTAAGTTACTTAAGTTCTTTCATTTGGATAGATACACGTTGCTTAATCTTTCGAAAATTTTGTAATTTATTGTATTTCGTAATAAGGTACGTTGGGTCAAAAGTTGGGCCAACTATTGGACCAAAAGTTGGATCAAATTTGGTTAGGCAGCGTTCATCTGTATTCCATGTTACCAATATTCTTGTAAACTATAATCTAGAAGTAACTTCATTCGAGGCATTCAAATTCATTTTAAAAAACAAATGAACGTGAGTGCAAACCAGTCAGCGCCAAATGTAACCAAAGAGTATTTATAAATAAAAAGATTTGGTAAATATGACTGTATATTTATTTAAATCTAGAAAATAAACTTTATACAACGAATTGTCGTTTTCATTTAACCTTTATTACTTAATTTAAAAACAAAAGTGAGTAGCCTATGTGTTTTTCCAGACTATCTTCTACATCAACACCAAATTACATCGAAATCCGTTCAGCCGTTTAGGCTGCAAACTCTAACAAACATCCATCCATCAATTTAAACTTTTGCATTTATAATATTAGTATGAAATAATCACGTATTACTAAAAAACTAAATAAAATTACACTAATAAGAAGTAGTACTGCATTTGTTGTGGTAAATTTTCAATCTGTGGTGTTCTGTAATGCGTTTTTTCCGCGATCGTGTACGTCATAACGTGGTTGACTGTCGCCGCACCCGGTTCTACTTCATGATCCACGTATACTTTAGATGATATCGTTTCTTCGAATTCTTCACCTACTATTTCTGGTTCAGGTTCATAATCATCAAAAGGTATATAGTTTGAGTCCATAGAACAGTAAGGTCCATAATATTCCATTGGATTATATGATACTGCGTCATAGAAGGTTTGTTTTTGACTGACAGGTGAAGGAATTTGAGTTTCATATGGTTTGTAAATACTGTTATAAGGATCTACATAATGTATGTGATTATATCCAACATTTAGAGGCATATCTTCTACATTTGCGGATATATTCGATTGTGTATCATTCTCTGAAAGTTTTAAATAATGAATTGGACATGTATAATTCTCGTGTTGATTATTTTGAACACATTCAGTAGTATTTGTTTGTTGGGTGCAGTTTTTCATATCACAGGCGTCTTTTAGAATTGATGTTAGTTCTCTGGCTTGTTCATTCGCTGCTACAGCTAATTCTGACAATATTTCTGTATCAGGAGTAAATTCTATACCGTATTTATCAGCGATCTCTTGAGCTGACATCATTTTTTCTATAGCTATGTTTTGATATTCGTTATTCGATTTGATGTGTTGAAGAAGTCTCCATACTAATTTAGTACTATCCATTGGTGTGTCGATAGATCTTTTCTTTCTGTTACTATCTTCGCTGTTATTATCTGTGATACTTAAGGCGTACGTTAGAAGATTTTCCATTTCACTTTGTATAGCATTTGTTATTGATGTTGCCATTTCTTTGATTTCTTCTAATTGTTCTTCTGGTGATTTATCGGAATTCACAACTTGTGTCATTGATGCGGTCGATGAAGCGAATAAATCTGAATCAGGTACGAAGAATGTACTATCCCAGTCTTTGGTTTCCTGTGAATCTACTTCTGCTGGATATATTTCTGTCACATTCTCATGTTCATCTATATCTATGTCTGCATAAATTAGAGCACCCTGGAATAAATACATTGTTAGAAAATATATTTATATATTTACGTGTCTACTAATATAATAAAGCGTAAACACATACTACTTCATTAGGGGGTAAATAAATTGGAAAAAAGATCATGTGGGATAGGGACCATAAACTACAAGCTGACAACATTAAGGAAGCAAGAATATTGGTAGCGACAATTTTGACATTTGCAATTGGGAATTTGACAAATGTAAACAATAAAATAAAGTTTTTATAATTTCATGAGGACGAAGCCGCACGGAAACAGTCAGTTCTCTTATAAGGATTAAATATAGAATTAACAGGAACATTTATGTGAATTAAATCGGAAATATTTACCTGTACTAATAATACTAAAATAAAGTGAAACAATGCCATGTTGAACACAATGTGATGTCCTTCTCCCTTCGTATGCTTTATATATTAAGTTATCACTTAATTAAGTAACAATTTGGTTAACATTGTCATTGTGATTTCTTTGATAGAACTCTTGCTTCAAAAACGTTAAGTAATATTACTAAATTATAATAATGTTACAAAGTATTCTAATTACAATATTATATTTACAAACAAAACAAAACCAACAATCTTTTTTTAATAGATGTTTATTATGCCTATATTTGCATAAGTATATCAAACTTTATTTTATTAATGAGAGAGTTTAGATGGATGGATGTTTGTTAGAGTTTGTAGCCTAAACGGCCGACGGATCTCGATGAATTTGGCATAGACGTAAAAGATAACCTGAAAGTACACAATGGCTACTCGCTTTTGTTTTGTTTTAATTCCGCGCAGACGGAATCACGGGCGCAAGTTCTTTCTATGGACGCTTTTAATCCAGAGACAAAATGTAATTGATACAATCAAACGGGTAGTAAATAAATAATTTATTAAATTAATGTTAAACATATTGAGGCGATATTGGTATCAATTCGGAATATCTAGCGTAAGGTGGGGGTGCAGCATAAACCGGCGGGGGTGTAGTATAAACTGGTGGAGGTTGTGGTGGCGAATGGTACTGTGGAGGATATTCTGGTGCTGGTAATTGGGGCTGATACGATTTATAAGTCCAGGGTGAATATACAGGTTCAGGGTGCCCTGGGTAAGGCGATGGATATGGGTAGGGTGGGGTATATGGTACTCGTGGAGGTACAGGGTATTGGATGGGTATATACGCATGGGTAGGTGATCCATATTGGGCTGCTGGGGGAGGATATTCTGGTGGAGTTTCTTGTGGAGGGTAATATGGTGGGGGTACTGATGGTGGAGGGTAAGGTGGTAATGAAGGGTAGGCGAATGGTGGTGGTGGCGATACGTATATGACTTGTGGCGGTGGTGGCATTACTGGTAAATAAGGCGAGTAATATTGCGATTCGTAGTTTGTATATTCATTTCCATTTGATTCTGAACTTTGACTCTCTGAGTTAGTTGACTTCGGTTTTGGAAGCAAAGCTGGAAAAGGATTGAGATGGTTACTTTTATGTAATTATTATAGTGAATCATGTAAGTAAAATTCGAAGGTAACATGCTATTAATAGACTTACATGAAGAGTAGAGAGCTTCAAGCATTTGGTTCATTCTTTCGTGAAGCGAGCTCATCTGAAATTTAGGAGTTAATATGTTACGATATTTACTCTAAGTTTTATTACATTACTTACAATTGGAGTATATAAGATTAAGTTTGAGAGTAGCAGCAGTGGTAGAGAAGGTAGGGATTTAAAGTTTAGCAAAGTAAGGACATGTTATGGGGAGGGATGAATCGCATGTAATGAATGGGAATGGAGGGGTAAATCATTAGAGGTAGACTTAGAAAACGATGAATGGATTGCGTGAAAGATGACATAATCAAGGGAGTGATGACTGAAATGACGTATGATAGAGTTATTTGGATGACAAAAACTCTTTGCGCCAACAATACGGAGTCGGGCGCAATATAAGGTAGGGGAGATGATGGAGTATGACGTCATAACATGTAAATATAAAATTAATAAATGAAATAAAGCTACCTGTGTGTGTTGCAATTTCTGGCATGGCGTTGTCGGCGTCGCATAAGTCAGACCTAAGCTTAGAGCACTCAACTTTAACATTAAAACCAGCATTTTGTAATTATTTCAATACTGACAATTATAAGGCTTGACTACTCCATATCTTTCAAAACATTGGATCTAAATTCCTCTCATTACAGATATTTAAAGGAAATTATTCTCTAATCTATGTATAAACGTGATGAGATAAAAAAGCAGTAGAGATTTTCTTTGAGATAAGATTATTTATTGATTAAAATTGATTGATAAGGACCGTTGATGATTCGTGATAAAAAATCTTAGTTTGTCTTATGTCTATATAATAATTCAATCAAAAACTAAATATCGACTAAAAATTTTGAGGTTAAGAAATTTTTAACGAACTACAAGTGGCTTAAATCCTTAATACTTGGTGTGTTTAGTCTAATCTAGTCAAACATAGCTATAATAATTCCATGGTTAAATTATACGGTTTTTATTTTAGCAAAAATAACCTCAACGCCTAATATAAATAAGGACAACGCAGTCCCCAATACAGATAACGCTAACAGTGGAGTGATGTCACCAAATTTCACTCGTTCAGCTAACAATGCGGCTCTACAGGGTGGTGGTCGAAGTCTCAGGTTTGATACTAAACGTTTAGCTAAACCCACTTCGGTTATCCAGCTGCCTTTAGACCGAAGGTATTCGAACCATTGCCCTCGTTTTGTTGTCGTCACCCACGCCACGGACTACAAACAGAAAACAAATGAAAACACAGATATACGCTATCACAGCGTAGATATAGTGAGTATTTTATAAGCATATTTTACATAGTATTATAGTTAATAAAAATATCAATTAAACTGCATTTTATTGTATTATTTTATTTTCTAACGCCTGCAGAAATTATGACTGCAAATTGTTAGTTACTTAAATTAGGTGAACGAAAAACTCAGTCCTTCCTTTTTAAAAAAAATCAATATAGAACTATAAAACCTTCGTAGAGTTCTATTACATTCAGCTAATGACCCAAGAGACACTTTATTATTTATAAAAAAATATGCGCATGAGCATGTCAAAACGTCTTTACCTCAGGTATTGTATCCACATATTGTAGTTTACAAAGCTGGTGGTCAGTAAATGTCTTGAGATAGGGGTAGAGTTGGTTATACTCCGTGTGATAAGCGGTTTGCCCTCTCCTGATGAGGTCTACACCTCGTTCCATGCCAACATAGAAACGTGAAGTAAGTTTCTTGTTCTTCAAGTACTCTAACTCGTCCCAATTAGTTTCCACCTGGTTATTTAAAATAAAATAAAATAAATAAACAAAATGAAACACTATTTATTGACCGAAAGAAAATTAAGAGAACACAACTTACAATTATTAATGAAATAAAAATAAAGATACAAACTCTTGGTCAAAAGGAAAAGGCTCAGCTGATGCGGACTCCAGCTTGTCACTGAAGGCCGCGCTGGTTTTCAGCCTCCAGCCATTGTAGTTTAATTTTGACTATCGAATATTAAACAATTGAATAACGACAAGCAATTGTTTTTCTTTACGCTATTTGTCTACCTACATCATACAAAATTATAAATGCGAAAGTTTAGATGGATGGATGGATAGATGTTTGTTAGAGATTGTAGCATAAAGAGCTGAGTGGATTTGGCATAGATTTGGAGCATAGTCTGGAAGAACACATAGGCTACTTGTTTTTGTTTTTTTTTAATACCACGCAAACGGAGTCGCGGGCAAAAGCTAGTAAGCAATAAAACTGTTTCAAAGGTTATTAAAAGTACTGAAAGAAAAAAAAATTAGTACATTGTTGTGTCGAGCTGGTATTAATTGTCATTTAGAGTCTCTTATCTCTCAGTATCTCTCTTAGTGACTATAAAACAATTTTAATGACAGTAAAACTAACAAATCTTACAAAAACTCACATCAAACATCAAATATCGCATATAATCGTAATCCTCCGACGTGATCGCATATCTGGAGTCAGCCAGCGCTCGCAGCGTGTCCGGCCCACTGCGTCCTGTACTCATCAGATCTGATACTATCGCCGACGTATAATACGCATGGATCAACATTGAGAACACAGATACGACCACAAACGTCCATCTACCAGATGCACCTTCGGGAACTGCGCTTGCGTCTAACAAACGTTAAAAAAAAAACAAGATTAAAACAATTGACTGTAGCACTTTATATTACTTACAAGTTGGAGAATGCTGCGCGGTTCCCACTTGGCCAGTACAGTTGAACATTTGCGACGGCCAGTCATAGCTTGCATGGACTTGCTAACGCCAGTTAGCGTTCAAACTTTGCTAGTTGAATGACAATCCAGTTATTTAGCGCTACTGACCGACTGTACTGGCCAAGTGTGAACCATCGGCTAGCTGATATTGCCAAAATAGAAAATGTGACCGCTGACCATCATCATCATCATCACCTGTTATACGTTCCTATTAAGGGGTGTTAACACTAAGTTAGGGGTGACTAGTGGCGGCCGACTTGCAGGCAATCGGGCTGTCATGGTCCGAGACACAACGCAGAGTCCAGGACAGAGCGAGCTGGCGGCGTACTGTGGACGCCCTCTGTCCCACTTTGGGTACATAGGAATAGAAGAGAGAAGAGAGAGAGAGTGAGGCCATAGACATCTGCATTTAGTTTTAAGTGTAAACTTAAGAAAGAAATGAAGATTTGTAACTCTTCGACAACTTTTAACGGATGGAGGAGGGGATATCCTGACGAATGATCCATCATGACGAATGATGATGTTTTTTTTTAATTCGGTGATACCTTACATAATATTGTATTATAATGTACCAATGCTGAGAAATCGTAATCGAATGCTTAGTGATATCATTTATTACATTATCGCAATAATCACGTATTACGTGTTTGACGAAAGAAGATTTCAATGAAATATAAATCATAACATTGCAGTCTACCATAGTAAGGAACTAAAAACTTGTGCTTGTTTTGTATTACTGGAAACCTAATTTTAGTTCTATTTCCCATTCCACTATATCCGTTCGAAAGATGGGAAGAGGAAATGGATTTGGCTAGTGATGGGACGCATAGGTAGGGGAGACATCCTCTTTCTGTTAGTCTCTCCCTTTGTTGATTAAAGGTAGTTTGTGTCTGCAAATGAGGATGTCTATGGACGGTCTTTGCTTCTTTAACGAATTCCGCTTGCTAGTTTGTCACCTTGTACTTCAAAAAAAGGTAGATTCTATTCACCTTGTTGTAAATAAGTAGCCAGCACCGCCATATACGCTCCTTCTTTCTCAACAGGCTTCATAGCAGTCACTCTCTGTGCTACCGTCATTAATAACACGAAGCCAAAGCATGTCCACCAAACAGCAGCAGTGAATGGCACCACGAACATATTACTGCTGCTCTCACGCTCTGATAGATAGGTGAAGCCAACGCTGTAATAACCAGTATCTTTAGATATATAATAATGAGGGCGTTTCAATAGATGGCGCTGTTAGTAATTTTATTTTGATGAGTTGAAAAGTTATACTTTGTAGTCTTAGGGCCTGTCCCAGCAAATTGTAAATTGTTTAATAACAAGTGCAAAATATGTGATGGAAATATCGCGTTTTGTTCCTTATTCTGACAGTGACGTAATTTTTAAACTATCTGAGCCTCTATCATCCAGTGGTGGGAAAGACCCTTACTAAACAAGAATATAATACTTAGTTAATCTATGACAAAGAAAAAAGAGTAAGTAAATGTAGAGAGGCAATAAAGTAAAAAATATTCACCGAAACGGCCAAATAGGTAGTGCATAGTCTAGGCGTGTGATTCTATCTGGCAGGATCCGTAACACTCCGCCGCCGAGATCCGCGCTGCCGTAAGATAGCATAAGCAACATGCTACCGTTGTGGATCTCAGTGCTCCATAACTCAGTCGGGTGTAACACTGCCCTAGAAACGTTCATTTTCATTCGTTCATTTCGTTCGTATCTCCCTTAACATCGAAAACTACATGCCACGTGTTACCGGGAATATTGTTAGAAATTAATTTGGACCGTTAATACCATGAGAAACTTGTCTATAATTATATGAATGTCACTTTCAAATTATTGAAGCAAATTAAGCTACAAGTAAAATATACAGAGACACGATATTTCTATAGTATATTTCTATACATTTCAGCGGTCATATCCTAAGCATATCCTCTTTAACATACTATCTTCAGTCTTCTTCTACCTTTGTAGCCATCCACTAATATAATAGTTATATCAAAATTAATATTTATTTTTTTATTTAGATTATTAACTTAGCGTTAAGTGCTTCACTAAGTAGAACTGATGCCGCATATCCGCAGCGAACTCCTGAATCATGTTCCGGCATTGACACATCTAGCAAATAATCTTTAAATGTCCCATTGTACCAGTCTTCTGAGTATTGTCCTATCTGTAACATTAAAGGAAGATGCGTCAACGAATTAATTAAATAAAATTTTGTGGTATTTTGCGATGCCATATTTCTAAAGGAGAGCGACGCGTCATGTTCACATTTCGTTACACGAGAGAGACAAAAGATATAACATACAAGGGGAAAGAAAGAGCAACATAAAGTCTAAGAGCGGGTGCACATTTTTAACTAATCGCATAAATGTTGTAATATGGGCGATTGTCGATTGTTTCGCAGCCAATTCAACTGTTTAGTTACACAACTAAAAATCGAGTAGTGTGCGCACCTCCATATAAGCTCATAGGAATCAGAGCGAGACTAAACAGTTGTGCGATGGTTTAGTTTCAGGTGTGCGGACTTTGTAATTAAAAACGATTAAATACAGTCACGAGCCACGACTTACACATTACATGACGACCAACGAATAATAGAGAATTATATTTAGGAATTTACTAATTAAAAGTAGATACTGACAGGAGTAGCAATCTTTAAAGGATATTGTTTCAAATCTAAGCGACGTAATATTCTCTCTCGTCCGTGTGTTATTTGTATTCCTGATAGATTCCAATAAGCCCAAGCATGTGTGGTAATACCATCACGAGGGTGAATGTATACATCGTCATAGAAATACTGCAAGTGAGTCATAGCAGTTTCTGTAAAAAACATTTGTCTTAGTAGCCATCACCCGCGTATCGTCCGCGCGAAATTAATATAAGGCTAAGTAGCATATATGTTCTTCCAATGTTATCTATACAAAATTTAATGAAGATCAGTTCAGCTATTAGGGAATACCTTTAGGAATAATCCAATAAAACATTTCTTTTTTTGCATTTATTGTTAGTAAGTCTATTCCATAGCAACTAGTTGATGTTTTGCTAGAGACAGAAAAAAATAATCTAGTTTATTTTGTAACGTAAGTCTCTTGGAAGTGGAATTAGTTCCGAAGTTCTTAACATTACAGATAAAAGTTGTAATTAAATATACTCTTAGTTAAAATACTTTTAAACATCTTAAGGTTTCTACATTTAACTTACGCTTCAAATTTGAGTTATTCTCATGTTTTTCGGTCCTCAGTATAACAATTTCCGCATCGTATCGAGCATTTTTAACGAACTGTGGCACTTCATTTATGATCAACCATTTGTACCATTGAGAAAAGTGTTTTGGTTTAAACTAAAAAACATTAAAAAAGATAAATTCTCCACTCAATCTTGAATATAAATACGTTATCTCTGATTCTCTAATACAGGTAACCTACAATAATATTTTTTTTACTTATATTAAGGTACTTTGATATAATTTCTACAGACAAAATATTAGTTACCTGTTTTAAATCCTGCGAACTTGGTATATACAATATTCCATAGAAACGATTATTTTCATTATCTATGAGTGACGTGTTACAAGAAAACGTCACAGTCATACCGTAATTAGAGAAATCTTTAATGAAGTTAACACGATCTGAAAATTATCACAACTAATTACATAATGCGAATATGCTCTTGTTCAGATCTTCCATGCTCATGTAAATCCGTAATTTCTTTCTATACACTAACCTTAAACGGTATTATAATCGAATTCAATTGGATTTACAACAAACCTTTTATGGCTGCAACCATAGACTAAAACAAGATATGTATCTATAATATTATAATAAAGCGTGAACACACACTTCTTTGTTGCCTAAGATGTCATCAATTACAGCATATTTTTGAATAATTCTTTTTTAAATAAAAAGCCCTACACTTACGTCACGCTTTAGGCTATATAATGTCACGCCATTTAACATAGGGGGTAAATATTTTAATAAATTCATGCGGATGAAGCCGCACGAGAACAGCTAGTGCTTCAATTATTTAAAAAATCTAACGTTCCAAAATCATTCCATAGACAATAAATAAAATTCACAACTGCGAAATCTATACATATATTGGAGTGTCTGTTTGTAATATCAATAGAAACATTCCAGATTTCGAGAAGATAATGCATTAGCGTTGCTGATAACGAAAACCGCATTTTTTTTTTGTCTGTGTTTGTGTCTAAGCCGCGTTTGTTCCGGTTAATCTCCGAAACGGCTGGGCCGATTTCGACCAGAATTTCACTAAAGTGTAACTGACATAGACAGGCATATTATAGGCTACTATTTTTATCTTAATTTTGCGTGGACGAAGTCGTGGGCACCAGCTAGTGTATTAATAATTTCTCATTTCCAGTGGAAGTTATTCGTGCGTTATTCGTGCGCAAATCTTATAAAAAAATTGTCAATGTCGATACGAATTCACGGAAATTCGTTTTTCACATTCGTTTTAAATGATGGAATTGCTAAAGATACGAAAACCTTATAAATAAATCTTATTTAAACATACCGATTGCAGACCAACAAGTTAAAACTGTTATGCCTCCAACTAGCTTATATCTAAAAAGATCTACAATAACAGGAACTAACATTGTCCAATTCATGTTTTATTCTAAAATTTTAAAGACCAACTTCTATGTATTGCCTTGTATAGACCAGACTACAATAAATAGTATATTAGTGTACTGGGAATAATCGAAGAATGAATTCATAATACACTAATGTCAAGTTTTAAGGAAACGAGGTAATGTTATTCGAATTTTGTTTGAATAATAAAATAAATTACAGGTTTACGGTAATGCAGTTACATTTTCAAGTGAATTGTAGAAGTTGGTTGTTAGAGGTAATAAATTATTTAAAACGGTAAATTGCAGTTGTTATATATGCCACGACTTTAATAAGACACGTTTAGATATATACGTCCATTTAAATAAAAATAAAACAATATTTATTTATAACATTTTATTACGATTAAATTAATAAATAATAAATCTACAATATTAATTGAAAAGTGAATAATAAATCTAAATATAAATCATTTGGATTTTTGATAAAACAATTATAAATAATGACAACTGCATTTAGGTAATTCAATGGGTTTTGGTTCCAATGTCACGGGGACTGGAGATGGAACCATAAACGCTGTCATTGGCAATCCGGGAGGTGGAGGCGGGCAGCAAGAACACGGAGGAGGTGCTGGAGGTACAAGGGATATAACTAGAGGCGCCGGAGCAGGAGGTGGTAGGCACATTGGAGCTGGTGGAGGTAGAAACATAGGCGCAGGTGGAGGTGGGAGCATTACCGGAGGTGGTGGTGCCTGAAATACGAATGGTGACGGAGGTGCGGGAAGTATCATAGGCGGTTGTGGCAGACAGAGCGGTTGTGGTTGTGGTGGCGGCGCTGACAATACTATCGGTGGCAACGATGGTAGCGCAGGTGGTGGCATTGGTAGGACCATGGGTGGCGGTGGGGGAGGCAGACATCCCGGTGGAGGCGCCGCCGGCATAAGTACTAGTGTAGAAGGCGGAGGTGGAGGCGGGCCTGCACCGCATTTACTACAATGCCCTTCTTTCTTTTCTGAAAAGATATTTGATTTAAATAATTCAATCTATCATCTATGGAGTAGATTAATAAACCAGTACTTAGTAAGGATAATTAAAAAATGTATTAATAAACTTACCTAATTTTGCAGCAAGAAGTGGTTTTAATAATCTGAAATAAGGAATTTTTAAATTTTAATTAACTTTATATGAATCGTAAAATTATAAGATTTGTAAACTACTTACGAAGCGAGAACTGCTTTTTGGCATTCCTTCATTTCTTTTAACGCCTCTAGCTGTAAGAATACAATGAGAAACATATTTACATGTCAAATGTTTATTGTATTACGTGTTAATACCTCGGGTAGCCAATGTCGATGCACCTGTGTTTTTGTACAAGGGTTTTACACAGAACTCATGAGCTAACGCTATAACAACATTCTATAGTCCATTTTACTCTTCACGCTACTTCTAGGAATTTTGACGTATTTCCTTATTTTGAAGGGTATTCTAATCAGTATACTGAAAGCAACTAAAGAGGTAGAAAAAAATTTAATTTTGTATTTAGCTAATCGTTAATAAGCATCTTATGAGGAGGGATGAAACGCATATAACAAGGACGTGTGGTACACCGGTAGAGATAGACATAGAAAGAGATGGATGGATTACATGAAAGGTGACATGATCAAGAAGGGAGTGATGACTGAGACGACGTATGATAGAGTTATTTGGAGGACGAAAACACTGTGCGCCCTACGGGAGTAGGATAACGTAGAGAAGTTGATGATTTATAAGAATGAGTAAAACCGCAGATCAGAGCTAGTATTACGTACCAAACATATTCCTTTATCACTGCAGGCTTTTACATACATCGATGTTAATAAAATAACGGTTACAGAAGACCAAAATAGTTTTCGAATCTTCATTTCGACTTGCTAGTTAAAAAAATATTATGCATTACAATAAATGTTCATACATATATACATAGTTTTTAAAGATATTTCGTACATAATTGATATTGCAAGATAAACTATGAAGTAATTAAATTTTTTTTCTATAAGCAAAGATGGTACGTGACGATTTATATTTGAGTTTTATTTCTTATCGTGACTGGTAACATTATGTTATGTAATTATTCAATACAAATTATAAACAGATTTCATAATATCTAAATTTCTAGCGATATAATTGAAAAGATCTTTTATTTTCACAAACATTTTTTCTCGTTACCAGATTTACTATCACGTGTTTTACAGAGAAATTTTATAGATGGCGTTATTTTCAAATGTTAATTGTTAAAATATTTTTTTAGGGTTTTCATTATAAAGATAATATAACAATCAGTACCCTTAGTAGAGTTTTACAATAGTTATTTTACATATCCCTTATATATATTCTAAAATATATGTACATTTGTTATAATTAATTCTATTCTATTCTTCGAATTATGACATCCCAAAATGCTTTATAATTGCAATTGTTTTATTTATACGTGATCAATCAGATGTTAAAGATAAAGATTGTATTGTTATTACGAAAAACGTAAAGTTATAAAACGACTTGCAACTTCTTACTGTTTTCAATCGTTGCATACAAAATTCAAGATGGCTGCCACGATGGTTACGATAAAATGTATCATAGTTTTCTCGTTTATTTACGTAAGTTATTATTTTTATTGTAGTTTTATAGATATAAATGCTTAAGGAGTACATTAACTATCAGCTATATTATAAATGCGAAAGTTTAGATGGATGGATGGATGGATGTTTGTTAGAGTTTGTAGCCTAAACGCCTGAACGGATTTCGATGAAATTTGGTATAGATGTAGAGGATAGTCTACTCACTTTGGTTTTTTTTAATTCCACGCGGACGGAGTCGCGGGCGAAAGCTAGTATGTAATATTTAAAACATTCATGTAGATTGACTTTATTAAGATTTTTAATTGTCCATTTCAGGTTCAATTATGTCATAGTTTGTACTACGAGTCAACATCTAAGACGTGCAATCGACGTTTACCTTTTAGATTAAAAAGCGATCTAAAGGAATCTAAAGTCTGCCCATCGAAAAGTCTAGAACATCACTCAGGAACGACAGCAAGAAGTAAGAGGTCCTTGTTGTTACCTGGATTACCTCTATTACCTTTGTTACTTCCCCCTATAATACCAAAATTACCTCTACTTCCATTGCCAATTCTACCTCCCCCTTTAATTCCACCTTTACTTCCATTACCTAGATTGAAAAAGCCTATAAAACCTTTAAAAGTACCAATACTAGGTAAAAGGTCAGTGTCCAAAGTCGGGTCTAAATTAAAACCGATTAAAGTGCCTGGATTAGATTTGAAGGCGGGAAAAAGAAGAATATTAGATCATCTTACTAAATTAAAAAGAAAAGGTTCTTTGTCTACGCCTGAATATTTACGAATCAGAAAATTATTTTTAAGATGAGAGATAAAAGATTAAAGAGGTTTTATTTGAACAAGTTTGAGGAGTTAAGTAGCTTTGGCGTTTGTAAAACGAATTGTTTTACATTTTTTTAATTTGCCTCTTGTTGGAGTTGTTAAAAAGTACCTAACCTAAAAATTGGTCTTAATATTATAATGGTGTGATTCTATACTACTATAATAAAGAAGAAAGATGTGTATTTTTGTATGTATAGTATTGTTTATGTTATATATTTCCATTCTATGACCATTATAAAACTACTTTTTTATTTATTCACGGGATCAAAGTCGCGAGCAACCGCTATGCTTTACCAGTTATGTATTGTCTCATTATAAAAATACTTATTTTAATAACATTTGTAACTATTTGTATAAATCTGACTAATATTTTAAAAGTAAAATTTTACCATAGATGGATGGATGTTTGTTAGAGTGTATAGCCTAAACGGCTGAACAGATTTCGATATAATTTTGTATAGATGTGAAGGATAGTCTGGAAATATAAGCTACTCATTTTTGTTTTGTATATTCCACGCGAACAGTCTCGTGCGAAAGCTAGTGTTAATAATTTCAGAGGTTATAAATATGGTTGACCAGTTAAATTAGTCGTGTTATAAATTGGGTCGTTTTCTTCATAATTAACGCAGGTCATTGTTACTTGATTAAAAAAACATTTGATCCAAAGGTCCTAATGACCAATGTTAAGCTATGCTAATTGATTTACTACTTTTAATGTATCCATTGTTTTGTGTAGTTAAAAAAAGACTTTCGATTCATTGAGCGATCTATACAAGTATTACTAATATAAAGAGGAAAGATTTGTATTTTTGTATGTATTGAAATAACTCAAAAAATATTGAACTGATTTTAAAAATTCTTTCGCCGTTAGAAGGGTAATTTATCTGTGAGTAACATAGGCTATTTTTTTGACCGACTTCCCAAAAGAAGGAGGTATAAATATCACTGCTTACCTCGGCTGACACCGACATCATAGTAATAATAATTGTACAATATAGACATAACACTTACAATAAGGTAGGTTTACTATTTTCAAGGAATTATTTCGTTACTTTTTAGTGTACTGTTTTTTGAGAATATTTTGTTTCTAGTGTATTTTGTTTGGAAGTCGGTTTTGTTTTTTTTTTTAATTTCACGCGTACGAAGTCGCGAGTAAAAGCTAGTCTATAAAAAAGTAACTTAATTTATATGGTTGATTGGTTGATAAGTTCTGGCTATACATAAAAGAAATGATATACATAAAAAAAAGACGGTGACTAAAAGAAAACAATATTACACTTACTGAAACTTTAATATTTATTTTTTACAACCGTTTAAAATAAAATAAAACCTAAATAACCTACGTTGAGTCACAAAAAATTGTATTAAAACAAATTTCACATTTTGTGCAGTCTTTTCATCACCAAATTAATTGCTTAATCACCAAAAGTCTTAGATAATTTATCAACCACAATCCGAGTCCTATCTGACAGATACTGATCTATCTGTCCCAAAACTTTAACAACATGCAGTAACTTATGTACTCCTTTCTTGAACTTCTCCATTCTCTCAGCGCTGGATTCCTCTTGAATTTTAACCTTTAAAGACTTAAACTTCATCGGTGTACCAATAGATGGCGCTGATCCCAATTTGTGAGTAATCGGTTTTAATTTCGGCACATTTATCTTTGGTATGCCCAATTTAGATATTTTCAATTTATTTAAACCAAAATTCGGTATAAAACCTTTAGGTGGGGTTATAGCAACTGGCGCTTGTGAGTCAGCATAACCGGTCATGTCATAGTCTTGTGGGGTAGGTAGAAATCTTCCGTTTTCCACCGCTTTGGGAATTGCACGTTGTATCATCGCACAGAAGGAATCGACGTCGAAATGCGAACTATCAAAGTTTTCTGCAGAAGAAGAACTTACCATGGGAAAGAAACTCTGAAAGATTAATATAGAATTATTAATTTCTACAAATTGTCTTAAAAAAACAATTTACAATAACATTCAAAACTAAACTTTGTTATTTTTTGTCTTAATCAATTTAACACAATTTTAAACGGAGTTAGTACCTTAATATAATTGCTAAGATTTCACACTGAAGAACGCTCTTTAATACTAGCTTTGCCTGCGACCTCGTCCGCGTGGAATTAAAAAAAAACAGACTATCCTCTACTTCATCAGGTCAGCCATTTAGGCTACAAACTCTAACAAAAGTCCATCCATCCATCCAACTAAACTTTCGCATTTATAATATTTGTAAGATAAGATTATAGTAAAGCGTTTTTTTTATTTAAATTACTCTCACTTACCTCTTCATCAGAACTACAGTCGATTGTCAATCGCATCGGTGGCGGAGCACATTCATAAAGTTCCATCTGGAACAAACACACTCATTATAAGACATGGAAAAAATGACTCTATGTCTTAAGTCATTGAACGCAAATTAGAATGATAATATTTCAAATTCAAATTAACAATAACTGTTTCTGGATTTTACATTTTTAATTTTTTGATACTGACCGCAAATAAAAGCGCGATAATGAAAACGTATCGAGACATGGCCGCTTCAGACGACGCATTGTTTGTTATTGAAATCGATCACCAAATGGTCACGTATCGATATGAATCGATTTTACAGAATCAGCACATCTCGCACGACCCAATTCATAATCGAGACATTATTCGAATCCCGAGAAATCACATTGACCTTATCTTCTAAACGTGATCATCGTCTTTTTGTTTTTTAATTATCTTTTTTTCGATAATGTACTGGCTGTCGAACGGGTGTTCTGCTGCCAGTATCCTTTTGTATTTCATTGTGAGATTTTATTTCGAAAATGAAATTAAGAAAACAAATTACCTGCCTCATTTTCCTGATGATCATTGTTTTAATTGTAGAGGTACGTTTTTTTTATATTTCATAATTAATATATGCAGTTACTTTAATGGAATTCTTAATGAAAACTATAATATTTTAATTTATTTCTTCAGGGAAGTCTCGTACGCCGGTCGCTACTAAGGCCGAATGGATTTGAACCATGCTATACTTGTAAAGCAGGAGAGAAACCCTGGTCTCATACATTGATGCAGTTTTGGGGAAAACTGAAGGACATGATGACACGAGCTGTCAACGCAATCGCGTCCAACGCTAGGTTACAGAAAATCACTTAATTATGCTCTATATAAGATGTTTAACCACTTTTGCATATCAGGATTCTTTATTGACAGTTTTATGGGTGTTCCCAATAACCAATACCGATCCATTTTTATCAATTGGGGATCGAATCCGTGATCCAATTTTAATCTATCTCATAACGATCTAAAGATCGCAGCAGCAATTGCAAATTGTACTCTTTTTTATTATCAAGGGTCGAATAATTTTTGTTTAAACTATTTATTTAATTAAAATTATTTACGGATTGTTCTCAAGGATTTAATATAGTTTTCATCGATCGTGGTTGCGAAAGTGTCCATTCACTGTTTTACACGAACGCAGTTGGCTTCGTTGTGAATTAACCGAAATCTGCAATTATGTACCTGGGCTACCAATTTTGTTATAAATTATTTATTATAGTACGTACTTAATGCCCGGTTTACATAATTCCAGTCCAGTGATCGACATCAGTGCAGGATTACAACTGGAAATATGTAAACATACACTGGAATGAATGTTGATTGAAGGGTTTTATATTGCTTTTATTTAGTTTCTATTTTAATTTGGTTGAATTATATGGAAGTCAAATTACTTTGTATTTAATATAGTTAATTTGTTATGTGTATAATGAAGAATTTCTATTATTAAATAATTGTGAATACTTATGTTTTTTTAATGTACATAATGTCAACGAAACTTTTTAACCTTACCCTAAATACAACCTTTTTTATCAAATTTACAACTACAATGCGGACTGCATTTATTTTGTGGTTTTTAACTCATGGTAAATTTGTTGTGTTCTTTAAGAAATATTAATAACTAGCTGTTCCTGTGCATTCGCAAAAAATTATAAAAAAATTATTTTGTTGTTTGCATGTGTCAAATTATCAAATTGTCAAACGTCAAATGACATGACATGATGTCAAACCATGGCAACCTTGCTTCCTTGATGTTGGCAGCAACTTATGGTATCTTTCCCACATTAGGGTTTTTTATCCAAAATATTTACTTCCTAAGTTTAATGGCGTGAAATATATAGCCTAAAGCGTGACGTAAGTGTAGGGCTTTTTATTAAAGAAAGAATTATTCAAAAATATACTGTAATTGCTGACATCTTAGGCAATAAAGAAGTGTTAAGTTATAAGTATAGATGAACCGAATTTTTATAGTTCAAGCTAGGTTGAAGTCCTACGAATGAACGATACTATAAAATCAACATTTATTGGAATAACTTTTTCCAACAATAGAAAACACATTGTATGCAAATGGTATTGATTTTTTTTTAAATGAATGCAATGAATCGAATCACCGTTATGTGAATAATTAAATTAAATTAACTATAAAAACTTATCAACGCTAGTAAAGCACGCTTCAACGTCAGTTTTGCCTCACACCTTTCACAGAAAGGTGATACAAAACCTATTGAAGAACCATTGGTTTGAAGGTAGGTAACAAAAAAGTATTTTTTCAAGTTTTCAATAAACGAATAATCACTATTAATCTTACTAATATTATAAACTAGCTTTCATCCAGAACTCCGTCCGCGTGGAATTAAAAAAAAGCAAAATTGAGTAGCCTATGTGTTCCTCCAGATTATCCTCTACATCTATACCAAATTTCATCGAAATCCGTTCAGCCGTTTACGCTACAAACTCTAAGAAACATCCATCCATCTAAACTTTCGCATTTATAATATTAGTATGAAGTACGTGACAGATTGGATGTTTGTAAGAGTTTGTAGACTAAACTGGTGAACTCGCTGAAATTTGGCATAGATGTAGAGGGTAGTCCGGAAAAACACATAGGATACCTGCTTTTGTTTTTTCTTAATTCCACGCTGATGGTGTCACTGGCTAGTTCTTAATATTATCGATTACAGAACAGTTATACTTTTTCAGTTATCAGTATAAATTAAAAGACATGCCATACGGTTTCTGCTACTCCTGCTGTAAAATAACGCACAGGCGATGCACAACTCGTGTGGCATTGCCAGCGTAGAAAACTAAACTAGGGTTTTACCAGTCTTCATAGAACTATTAAATGACAAAATAAGTCTATAACCGTGGTTCTTTTCTTAATATTTTCAATGTTACAGAATAAACCATGGTGCCAACACCTCAAGAACTGAATGCAGCTCAAAGAGTTGGGGATGGCGAGAAATCGGCAGACAGGGTCGTGATATCCGGCATGTCAGGTCTCTTCCCCAACTCTTACCACGTGAAGGATCTTGCCGAAATACTGTATAACAAGGTAAGTTTGTAGTGGGCGCGCGAATTTGACTAAACTAATACGAAACTGTTGTGTGATTGTCGATTGTTTTGCAGCTAATTCAACTGTTTATTTGCACAATTAAAATCGAGTTGTGTGCATCTCCATAAGCTCATAGGAATCAAAGCGCGACTAAATAGTTGTGCGATAGTTTAGTCAAATGTGTGCGTAATCAACTTTTAAAGGCTGTGTATTATCTTCTCTGTTATTTGTCAATATATGTAGAATAGAACGCTAGTAGCCTAAAGGTTAAAAGTACGGATTAACAAATCAGTAGCCGTGGATTCGAATTTGGAATAATCTATATCTATACTATTATAATAAAGCGTAAACACACACTTCTTTGTTTCCTAAGATGTCAGCAACTTCAGCATATTTTTGAAAAAATCTTTTTTTAATAAAAAGCCCCTCACTTTTGTCACGCTTTAGGCTATATATTTTCACGCCATTAAACTTAGGGGGTAAATACATTGGATAAAAACCCTGATGTGAGAAAGAGACCTTAAATTGCTGCCAACATCAAGAAAGCAAGGTTGCCATGGTTAGTCAGCGTCATGTCATTTTGATATTTGACACATGTAAACAATAAATTAAAATTTTCATAATTTTATGCGGATGAAGTCGCAGGGGAACAGCTAGTTAAAAGATATAGTAAAACCGATGATTATATAAAAATAATTAAATTATTTAAACTATCGAGAGTCATTACTTTAAACGAAAATTAAAACGGCTCAACTAACTAGTTAGTTGACTAGTTTCAGACCCTTCGGGGGTCCTTCTTCAGGGCGAGTATTAGTTAGGTTTTGTTCGCGGTCACGTCGCGCCTCGCACTGCTGTGCGAAGGGATGACTGCTGTGCTGGACACCCGAGGGCTTTGAAACTAGTCGGTGCCGTCACCGGATGATAAAAAGATGCGTTGAGCCGTTTTAATTTTCGTTTATATGAAAATAACTGTAGAAAAATATTGCCTTGCTATAACAAAAAGGTCATTTAATTACATTAAAGTAGGTGTACCATTGTAAATAAAAAATAATTATAATATATAATTTATGCAAATTAATCGTATTGTGTTATTCTTTCTTTGTTTCGACTTTAATCAGTTTAAAGGTCAAAATACAAACTTTAAATAAAATATGACACTAGGTTTAAGTAACTAACTATTACGTTTTCATATTTTTTTACTAAAATATCTAAAACTAGCTGTTCCCGTGCGACTTCATTCGCATGAAATTATGACAATTGGTTTATTGATTACATTTTACAAATTCAATTGATGTCAAAATGACATAACATGATGACAAAGTATGGCAATTTTGTTACCTTGATGTTGGCAGCAACTTAGGTCTTTTTCCCACATTAGGATTTTTATCCAAAATATTTACCTCCTAAGTTTAATGGCGTGAAAGTATATAGCCTAAAACGTGACTTAAGTCTAGGGCTTTTTATTAAAGGAATAATTATTCAAAAATATGTTGTAATTGCTGACATCTTAGGTAACAAAGGAGTATGTGTTTACGCTTTATAATAATAGTATAGTATAGTATAATATTAATATAGATAGACGTCTTCTTCATAGGAAAAACAGACACAAATTGATCAAATCCACTTTTTAAAATGCGGAATAGATAGCTTTGACACAACAATCTCACCATTCGACTTATATTACCTAGATTTTTTTTTACTAAAAATTTATATTTTTATTCTGCAGCTAGATCCAATCTCATCTAAACCTCGATGGCAGTACAACCATCCAGAGGTAGCCCCGTTCACCGGCAAGGTTCCTGATCTAGAACATTTCGACGCACAATTCTTCAAGGTGCACTTTCGTTTGGGACACACTATGGACGCCGTATCTCGCAAGATATTGGAACAAGCATATCAAGCGATTTATGATGCTGGTAAGAGTCAAGCTCTTCGGACGTCGATTGATCAGTGGTTTAAACTTGACTTGTAATCTACAGGTCTTGGGTTCGAATCCCGCCGTGTACCAATATGATTTTCGATTTTACAAATTTTCATAGATACATAATGTACCCGACGTTCTTACGGTGAAGGAAAACATCGTGATGCCTGCACATATCGGCGAAGAAATTCAAAGATATGTGTGAAGTCAACCAACCCGCACTTGGCCAGCGTGGTTGACTATGGCTTAGTCACCCCTTATTATGGTAGGCTCCGAGTACCTCGGTGTGGACGTATAGTGAGCTGGTGATGATAATGAGAAGTGTTAATCAATTCACCATTTTAGTATACTGGGGTAGCAACTTCTTTTCTGCGTTGTCTTTGCACATTCGCCTTTTCATATTCAGTTAAAAGTTATACGTGTAAAGTAACTTGATAAAACAGACAATATTGACTATGGCCTAGTCGCGCCTTACTTATAATGGCCTACGAGCCCTTAAGTAGGAACTTATAGTGGAACTGGAATGTTTCTTAAGGTCTATTGACATTGAATTTATTAAAAATTTATTTGTTTTAATATACAGGCGTAAGTCCAGAAGATCTGTCCGGGAAGAAGGTCGGCGTGTTCGTCGGCACTTGTTTTTCCGAGAGCGAAAAAGCCAGTTTCTATGTTGCCAGTACTAGAAACGGATTCGGTATCGCGGGGTAAGTGATTTATTTTTCACAAGTGAGGAAAATATAAAAAAGAAGTCGAATAAATCCTGATTAATTCCTAGATCCTAATGATTGGAAAACTACAATATTGTTATGACTAGCTGTTGCTCACGACTTCGCTCGCGTGAAAAATAATATAGCCTGTGTACTCACATATAAATTACCTTTCTAATGGTGAGAGTATTTAAAATCGGCCCAGTAGTTTTTACATGAATCGAATACATATAAAAATACAAAAATACCAATTTTTCCTCTTTATAATATTAGTAAGCAAAGATAATTTCCACAATCTTTGAATGGAACTTAATTTATCGATTTCTTAAAATCATTTATGTCGTTAACAGATGTAACAAATCGATGTTCGCCAATCGCATCTCTTACTGGCTGAATGCGAAGGGCCCGTCGATGTCCATCGATGAGTCGTGCTGCAGCTCCATAGCGGCACTGGAACAGGCCTACCTCGCCATGAGCCGCGGCGACTGCGAAGCGGCTATCGTCGGCGGCGGCAACATCTGTCTGCATCCTCAGGCTTCGCTGCATTACGGCAGGTTAGTTCAGTATACAAGTGGGATCATTTTGTTTTAATATTTCTAATAATCAAGACGACATTTGCCACTGTTGAAATGATATCTACTGATGCAGGTCAGAAGCTGATTTTAATATAATCTAGCTGTTCCCGTACGATTTCATCCGTATGAAATTATAAAAACTTTTTTTTTTGTTTACATTTATCAAATTGTCAATTGCAAATGTCAAAATTACTGTTACAATTGTAACCTTGCTTCCTTAATGTTGGCACCTTGTACTTTATGGTCGCTTTCTCACATGAAGTTTTTTTTTCAATTTATTTACCCGCTAAGTTTAATAGCTTGAAAATGTATAGGCATATCGTAAGTGTAGAGCTTTTTATTAAAGAAAAGGTTATTCAAACGTATGATGTGATTGCTGACATCGCCTCAAAGTTGTGTGTTTACGCTTTATTATATTAGTATAGATAAGATACATGTATGTTAAAGACTCTTGTTTCTTTTTATCACTACTAAGTATTACTTTTTTTCAGGATCATGTCTTTAAGTATGGATGGGAAAACAAAATCTTTCGATGATAAAGCGGCAGGCTGCGCGAAGTCAGAAGCTGTTAACGTTCTGTTTCTACAGAAAGCAAAAGATGCTTTACGGTAAGTACATACGTTAGCAAAGAACCGTTTTTAATGTCCATACATTTAAGAACAAAGAAAATGCAGGTTTTTCTATATAGTAGTACTATCTTTCGCCCGCGAATCCGTCCGCGTGGAATTAAAAAAAAACAAAAGTAAGTAGCCTATGTGTTCTTCCAGACTATCTTATACATCTTGTCAAATTTCATCGAGATCCGTTCAGCCGTTTAGGATGTAAGTCAACAAACATCCATCCATCTATACTTTCGCACTTATAGTGTTAGTTACTCCCATTTCTGTATGGTGGTATTGAACCAGACGAGCAGGTCCCATTTACTCTACCACTGTTACTTTACTAATCTTCATTACATATTTAAATAATTCAATCTTCGGTTATTTCAGAGTCTACGCGGACGTTGTCCACGTCAAGAGTGAATTCTTAAAAATCCTGGACGATGAGACAGGACCTAAGTACGGCTTCTACCGTGATCCGAGAGATGTCGCTGTTTTCTTGAATAACTTCTACAAAGAAGCGAGAGTACCACCACAAGCCGTCGAATATGTTGAAGCGTTTGGATCAGGTACTAATTTTGTAATTTTTTATTTAATATCACTTTTATACTTAGAATCTTTCTAACCGTGTTTTTTTTACAGCAATTCCAGAGGCAGATAAAGCAGAATTGGAATCAATAGATGCAGTATTCTGTAAGGATAGAGAGAAACAACTTCTTGTGGGTAGTGTGATGTCTAACATCGGCTACGGAGAAGCGGCTTCAGGCATATCTGCCGTTACTAAGGTAAGTTCCACCTAATAGTTAGTAGTATCTGAAATAGATGCTAATGTTGGTACGAACGGATGTTTGTTACTACGTATTTTGGTTGAATGTTTCAAAATGAAATATTGGAACAGAGATACATCTGGAATAACGTAAATTCTAGTTTATATTTGAGAAAATGTACGATTTTAGTTACCAATAAGTAGGCTACGAAATGTTCAACTTTTTTTTATTATTTCATGCTGACAATGTCGCGTATAAGTCCGCGTGCACACTTGAAACTAAACTATCGCACAACTGTTTATTCTGGCTTTGATTCTTATGAGAGGATATGCTTAAGAAAGGAGTGGTTTCCGATATGACGGCTGATAGAGATGTATGGAAGCAGCAAATACTGAGCCGACCGTCCATAAGGGATAAGAGCAAGTTGATGATGATGATGATAATTCTTATGGGCTTATAGGGAGGTGCACACTACTCGATTTTTAGGTATACAACTCAATAGTAGAATTGGCTGCGAAACAATCGAAAATCGCACAACAGTTTTGTGATAGTTTAGTCAAATTTGTGCGCCCACTAAACTTACCTTGTGATACAGTATTTTGGCAAGATCCTTTAGTGCTAAGAGTTGGGGAAGAGACCTGACACGCCGGAGATCACGACGCTGTCTGCCGATTTCTCCCCAGATAGTAGCCAGTTAAAGTCGCTGCAAATAAAATAGACAATCGCAATAGTTGTGTGATGCTCTAAAAGAACATAACTTACTGTCACTCTGTAATAATGTTACTGTTTTCTTTTTAGGTTCTTCTAGGTTACCACACAGGTAAACTAGCTGCCAACCTTAATTGTGACACACCTAGGACAGACGTCGCGGCGTTACGCGAGGGTCGTATGCGTATTGTGACCGAACATCAACCATTTAACAGATCGTATGTTGCGGTTAATGGTATTGCTATTACTGGGGTTAATGCTCATGTTTTGTTACAAGGAAATTATAAACCGAAGGTAAGAAAACATTTTATAATAGTATACTCATAAATATTTAATTATTTATTGACGTATTCAGGATATTTGAAAATAATAACCTTCTATAACCTTTCATTACTTTTATTATGGGAATCAAAGTTAACTTTATAACCAATATTAGTTAGTTATAAGTCATTATCAATAGATGGCGCTGTAGGATAAGGCGTAGTATTTGATCAATAAGTATATTATTTTATACACAAAATATTATTCATCTTACTTCTTACTAATGTTATAAATGCAAAAGTTTATATGGATGGATGGATGTTTGTTTGAGTTTGTAGGTTAAACGGCTGATTGGATCTCAACGAAATTTGGCATAGATGTGGATAATAGTATGGAAGAACACATAGGCTACTTGCTTTTATTCTTTTTTAATTCCACGCGGACGGTGTCGAGGGCGAAAGCTAGTTTAAAATAATTATTTATCAAATGCTACGCCTAATATAACGCCATCTATTGATATTGTCTGACAATAAATTTTAACAGATTTCAAAAAGAAAGAGGTTTTCAATTAGTCTGTATTTTTTAATATTCTACCTAATTTTAAATTATTAAAATTGGAGTTAAAATTACTTAAAATTATAAATATCGATTATTTACTTTTTGTTTTTCTTAAAATAACTTCATCTTATTCCATTACTGTTATTGCTACATTGTTTTATTTAATTTTCAGGATCTAAACCGTTACAAATCCAATATTCCACACTTAGTGACTGTTTCTGCGAGACAAGATTCTTCAGTGAAAAGAGTTCTAGCTGACTTGAAGATGAGACCAGTCGACCCTGAGGAGTTGGCTCTGTTCCACAACATACATCAGACCAGAATCTCCGGTCATTTGGGCAGAGGTTTCGCTATACTATGTAAGTACTAATATTATGAGGAAAGATTTGTATTTTAATATATTTTGTAATAACTCAAAAACTTTTGGGCCGATTTTAAAAATTCTTTCACCAATGAATAGCTACGCTATAAGTGAGTAAGGCTACATCTTTAATTATTTTTTAATTTCACGCGGACGAAGACGCGAGCAATATGTAGTAAATAGGCCACGCTCAAACCTCAAATTATCTTCAAATGTCGTCTGACAGATTGTAAGTGGCGCTTACAATATTTGGGCATTCAAGATTCCTTTCAAAATTCGACCATTAGTTACTTATTGGTCTGTCTGTCTCTTTTCTTCCAGCTACAAATGCGGAGGGAGAGACAGTGTCATTATGCGAGAAGGCGGATTACTTCGACGACGCGCAGCGCCCTCTGTGGTTCGTGTACAGCGGCATGGGCTCGCAGTGGTCCGGTATGGGCGCACAGCTCATGCGTATACCGATATTTGCAGCTGCCATTGAACGGTAAATGAGTAATTAATTAATACAAAAAATAATTCAAGTACAATGGAAGCTAAATTATACAAGATATATGTAAATGAAGTAAATGAACCCTTGTTCCTTTATCTTAACCAAAGTTACCTAACCAGTTAGACAAAAATATTTTTTTAGTATATTAACTAGTTGTGAAACAGGAATATTATTTTTCACTTTCGTAACCAGTTAAGTTGTACTAATATTTGGAATGCGAAGGAAAAAGTACTTGTAACAGTAATAAATGGCCCTGAATATAATAAACTGTATTCACCCTACCGTATACGAAACTGAAAACTACCTTTTTATCATAAAGTTACCTAAAAACCAAAAAAAAATTACTTAACTGGTTAGGAGCAAAGAAAGTAAACTAAAGTATGACAAACTAATCCATAAACTACGTTTGCAGTTGCCGCCGTGTCCTGGAGCCTCTAGGAGTTGACATAGTAGACATCATCACCAACCCCGATAAGACGATGTTTGACAACATTCTGCACTCGTTCGTCGGCATCGCCGCCGTGCAGATCGGTCTCACCGACGTGCTGAAAGCCCTCGGCCTCGTACCAGATAAGATTATAGGTAAGCTGAACATAAGAATCAATTTCCAATGCACGTGTGTGGATGTGAGCACTACTCGATTTTTAGTTGTGCAACTAAACAGTTGAATTCGCTGCGAAACAATCGACAATCGGGCAACAGTTGTGCTATAGTTTTGCAAAGGTGTGCGCCCGCTCTTATAAAGACAACGAAACTACGATGACAGGCAGGAGGCAACGCATTAAGTGATGTTGAAAAACATACTTGAGTTTTTGACCGACTTCCCAAAAGAAGGAAGTACTCAATTCGTCTGTATGTTTGTTTTTTTTTGGACATTTGTGTCGGCAATAGGAACTTACTTATAGTATGTCCCTTCCCGAACTGAAATCGTCCCTATAAGTAGCTTTGTTCTTTTGTTTTATTTACAACATCTTACCAGATATTTGATACTTATCCGATTGATACAGAGAAAGGTTGGCTAACCTACTTAATGGTTTCTTTACTCCTTATTCTATTAGGTCACAGTGTCGGCGAGTTAGGCTGCGCGTACGCCGACGGCTGCTTCACGGCTGAAGAGATGATATTAGCTGCCTATTACCGTGGACTTGTGTCTGTACAGACACCCTTCATCCGTGGATCTATGGCTGCAGTAGGCATTGGCTATAAACAGGTATGCATACATACATTGCATAAAATGTACGTATACATTATGTTTCCACAAAGTTATAGCAGTTTAATCTATCCTAGTGCTGGTGGGTCTAAAAAGACCTGCCACGCACTGGTGGAAATATCATTGGGGACGTATTTTGCCCCGCCGCCGCACCAGATGATTTTACTTGCCGCAGTAAAGGTATTCATCATTAGAAGGAAAAGATAGATTTAAATATATACAATACAATGTTGACAAAGTAATGATGGAGTAAAGGAAATATTACAAACAACAAAGCAATCAAAGACCAAAAAATGCACACATAGACATTAGTTAGTTTAAAAGTTATGAATAAGTCTTGACTGAGTTTGCTATGCTGAATGGATTAGACTCAGCTGTTGACGTACCAACGTTCAATCTTATAACCTTGTATTCCAGGTGGTCAAATTGTGTCCTCCAGAGATCGAAGTAGCGTGTCACAACGGCCCCGAATCCAGCACGATCTCTGGCCCTGCTGACATCATGAAGGAATTTGTAGCACAACTCACTGAAAAACAGATTTTCGCTAAAGAAGTTCCCTGCTCCAATATTGCTTACCACTCCAGATATATTGCTAAAGCTGGTAAGAATTTGTTACAACAAATGATTAGTTTACTAAAACATGGCAAATGAGTAAACGAGATGTACTCGTAGCTAATAGACCAGTTAGTAAAGTTGGCCTCTTACTAACGGCGGATCCGGGGGGTCATGGGGGTCGTTGCTCCCCCTGAGCTGGTTGGTCAAAAGCTTGACAAATATGTAAATATATTTTTTCAAGCTCTTGACTTGACCTAATGATCTCAATGAAATGCCTTTCTGGAATCCTTAACTCTTCATTTAGTTTATTTGTTTAGTGAGAAAGATTGTCAGTTTTAAGTCTTATATTTTATTAGGTCCTGGTCTACTCAAGTATTTGAGCCAAGTGATCAAATCCCCGAAGCTTCGTAGTGAAAAATGGGTGTCAACTTCAGTGCCACAAGAGAGATGGAACGAACCGATCGCTCAATACTCTTCAGCGGAATATCATACTAACAATCTGCTTGTAAGTTGTACATAGTTCAGGATATTAGACCTTACAATAACTCTCTTATACTTAAGGGCCTAACAAGAAGCGTGTTTTCAACCTTGTCTATAATATTTGTACAAACTAATGAATCATTGAAAGAAAACCAAGATCTAAAACTCACTCCTTACTTAATGCTCCATGTCAGATTTATTCCATTCCGTTTTGGCGGTTCTTGCTGCCTTTTATTTGAGGTCAGCTCAAGGTCAGCTCTCTTCCATACAGTAGTCCATTAGTTTCATAACATATACTCCAATCAGTTAACTTTCTTCTGTATTACCTTTCTAGAACTCCGTGCTCTTCGAAGAGACCTCAAAGTTAATACCAGCCAACGCGGTACTAGTGGAAATAGCCCCGCATGGCTTGCTGCAAGCTATCCTCAAAAGATCACTGCCGGAGTCCTGCCGGCACGTGCCGCTCACCAGGCGAGGACATCCAGACAATGTGCAGTTCCTGCTTGAAGCTGTTGGCAGGTCAGTATTCTATTTTAATTAACTGATTTTGTCATCTGCTAGTTAATTAAATTTTTGAAGGCGGGAAATATTTTATGTGAATATAACAAAGCGTGTGTGAAAGGCGATCTGAGGAATTTATTCTTAGAAAGTTTAAGGTAGTGTTTGACTTTTGTGCCATTTTTTTGTTATTTGGCTTCTCATTTCTAGCTACAGTGGCTTAAAGATTTTTCTAAAAAATTTTATCTGAAATTGTTTTTGTTATGTTAATAATATTATTAATTGTAGTTCAAATATTTATTTTTTTCCAGACTTTATATGGAGGGATACAATCCAAATGTGGCGGCTCTGTATCCAAAAATCGAATTCCCTGTTTCCACTGGCACTCCAATGTTGTCACATTTAATTGAATGGGCTCATCACGAGAAATGGTAAGTATAGTTAAAGAAACAATTTTACTAAATAAAGAAGTCTTACATTAAATGGATTGTTAGTATAATAGGCGCAAACGTTCGACTAAACAATCGCATAACTGTTGTGCGATTGTTGATTGTTTCGCGGCCAATTCAACTGTTGCACAACTAAGGGCCTGTCTCACGACTAGCTGATAGAAGCTCAGATAGCTTAAGAATGACGTCACTGTCAGATAAGGTAAAACAATCGACATTTTAAACGTTCTATAGTTATCAGCCGAATTACAGTTGGGTGCGACAGGCCCTAAAAATCGAATAACTAGTGTGCGCACCATAGTTTACTCAAAGGTGTGCGCGCTCTATAAATATAAAAAAAATCTCTTATCCAGGAACATACCGCTGTATGTATCAGCACACAGAATTGTTGCGGCGTCTTGCAAGTTCGTGTACTCCGTTTACGACGTTGAAAATGAATATCTCACTGGATGTGTGATAAAAGGTAAGATTGCAAAGCAATGTCAATCTACTATGAAGTAGACCTTAGCAAAATATAGCATTAGCATACCACCATAGGTTTTTTACTCCTATTGCATTGTGTCAAACCAAATTTAAACAAAACAAAAAGGAATTTATGGTAAAACTTGTAAAGCAAGTGAATAAAATAAAAAAAAAACAATCATAAATATTCAATAGTATATTCTTGTTGTCAGGAAAGAATACGTTCCCATTCACGGCAGCGCTGATCGCAGCTTGGGATTTACTCGCGATGTCACTTGGTCTGCTAAAGAAACAATTGTCAGTCCAATTCAAGGATATAAAGCTGTACTGCCAACCAATGCTTCATCAGCAACGCCAGTTGCGCCTCTTCACCACACTTCACAGAGGAACTGGCTACTTCGAGGTAAGACAGAGATGGACGGATTGCGTGAAAGGTGACGTGATCAAGGGAGTGATGTATGATAGAGTTACGTTACGTAGTGACGAGAGTGGGATAAGAAGGAAGACGATGAATAATTCCATTAAGATACAAACCAATACTTCTCTCGAAACTAAAACGGAACAAAAACATAGATGTTAAAGATAGGATGAGTAAAAAGGAGTCAAGCTAATCAAATACATTTAGAACTCTTAATAATTTTTTAGGTTGTTTCGTTGTTCTAAATTTTTAAGAACGTGCGCACATCTTTGACTAAACTATCGTACAACTGTTGTGCGATTGTCGATTGTTTCTAAGCCAATTCAACTGTTTAGTTGCTCAACTAAAAATCGAGTAGTGTGCGCACCTCCATATAAGCTGTGTAATCAAAGCGGGACTAAACAGTTGTGGGATAGTTTAGTCAAAGGTGTGCGCGCTCTAATTCTACAATTAAAGTAGTTATCGAGACAGATTTTTAGAATTCTTTAGTAGTTTCAACATAAAACTTCTGTTCTCTAATGTTTGACAGATCATGGACGAAAATAACAGGGTGGCAACTGGTTACATCAAGGGTGAAGTTGACGACGAGAGGCCCTTTACAAATGAATTCACATCATCTGAGGAATTGGATTTCAAATCTGAAGATATCTATGATGTATTAAAGAAGCGGGGATTCGATTACAGGTAAATAAACTACTTCAAATATAAGTAAGTGATCACTACACTAAGGGCTTGTCCCACAAAATTGTAAATTGTCTGATGACAATCCAACGTGTGAAAGATGTGATGGAAATATCGGATTTTGTTACTTATCTGACAGTGGCGTCATCTAAGCTATCTGAGCCTCTATCAGCCACTGGTGGGACAGACCCTTATATTCGTAAAACAAACTTGACTCATTGGTTACTATTAATATAGTATTCTATTTACAAACTTTACAGTTAAACATTGTAGTTACGACTAGCTTTTGCCCGCGACTTCCTCTGTGTGAAATTAATAAATAATATAAAACATAGGTACATTACTTACTGACAGCGTAGCTTTTTAACGGTGAAAGAATTTTTAAAATCAGCCCAGTAGTTTTTGAGTTATTTCGTTATAATCAAACAAAGTTTTCCTCCTTATAATATTAGTAAAGATGAACATTTGTTAGCAGTGTTTAAATATCTTAACAGAGTATTATCTAATCCTTATTAAATAACTTTAAATTCTAGCGGGGAATTCCAAAGTATTAAAAAAGCGAACAAATCGCTGACTGAAGCTGATATAACTTGGAACAACAACTGGGTAACATTCATCGATGGTATGCTACAATTGAATATTCTTGCTCGATCTCACGACTCTATCTCCCTGCCTACCCACATTAGGAAGATCATTATTGATATAAAGAGGCAAAGTGAAACACAAGTTGGCAGCGACAATGTCATGACTGCAGAAGTTTTTGATATACTGAAGTATACAAGGTAGGATAAGTATTGTTTTGTTATTTCTTAAAATATAAAATACCAAACAAAGCTACCCAGATTTAATTAAACTAAAAAAGAGAAGAATGTGATTAAACTGCATAGGGCAAGACGTTTCAGCTATCTCTTTCTCTTCTTGTCCTATGTCCCCAAAGTGGGGCAAAGGGCGTCCACAATACGCCGCCAACTCGCTCTATCCTGGGCTCTGCGTTTTGTCTCGGACCATGACAGCCCGATTTCAGTTATCATCACCAGCTCTTTACATGTCCCCACCGAGGGGCTCGGAGCCTACCCTAATGCGGGGTGACTAGGCCATAGCCAACCACGCTGGCCAAGTGCGGGTTGGTTGACTTCACACATATCTTTGAATTACTTCGCCGATATGTGCAGGTTGCATCACGATGTTTTCCTTCACCGTAAGAACGTCGGGTAAATTATGTACATATGAAAATTCGTAAAATCGAAAATCACATTGGTACATGGCGGGATTCGAACCCAAGACCTGTAGATTACAAGTCAAGTGTTCAAACCACTGAGCCACCGACGCTCTATATCAGTTATAACAGTTGTTAAATGCGATTCTGTGAGATTTTTATACTATTGCTAAACTAACTAACACTGTTGAAATTGTGTGTTAATTATTAACATAACATAAAAATTGTTGTTTTAGATGCGGAGGTGTGGTAATAGAAGATCTTAAATTCCGTGATCTGCCACAACTGACAAAAGAAGCAGATTTAATGGCGTTGAAAGTTATACCTTATTTCCAACAAAATGTAACAGATGTAAGTAATAATTTGTTAACGTAGACACGAACCGATATCCATAACCAAGACGTAGCAAAAAAGTATTATGCAGAGCTATAAAAAGAGTAACTTACATAATTGAATATAAATACTAGTTACGCGACTTTGTCGGCGTGAAATTAAAAAAAAAAAAACAAAAGAAAGCAATAGGTTATGTGTTCTTCCAGACTATCCTCTACATAGATGCCAAATTTCATCGAGATCCGTTCAGCGGTTTAGGCTACATACTCTATCTCTCTCGAAACTTTCGCATTTATGATATTAGTAAGATAGGATTGCAGGGTATAAGTACAATAAATATGAAATATCTTTTAAATATTAAATATTTTGGCTGAGATGCGTTTGTTAAGATGGATGTGTGGTGTGACAAGAATGGATAAAGTTAAGAATGTGTACATTAATGGAAGTTTGAAAGTAGCGCCAGTGGTGGAGGAATTGAGAAGCAAAAGATTAGCGTGGTATGGACATGTTATGCGACGAAATGATGGGGACATAAACCAGAAAGTGTTAAGATTGAATGTGGATGGCTACAGAGGAAGAGGAAGACAGAAAAAAGTATGGATGGATTGTGTGAAAGAGGATATGCTTAAGAAAGGAGTGGATTCAGATATGACGGCTGATAGAGATGTATGGAAGAGCGGCACATACTGTGCCGACCCTCCATAAGGGATAAGGGCAAGTGGATGATGAAATATGAAATATCTTTTCAAATTATTCCAGGTTTCCACCGCGATGTTGGTTTTCCTACAAATCGTATCTGAAAATTTAAACAAGTCAAGTATCAATATTGTCGAACTCTCTGACAATGACGAAGAATCAGCTTTCGGAAGCCTGATTGATGTTTTCAAAATGATACCCACAATCAAAGTGCAATACAAGATTATCAAGAGGAACCACATGTTGGATGAAAGAGTTCATTTTCTCACGGATGTTGATGTACTTCTTGTTACAGATCTGTCCAAAGACGATAAGGTAATTATAGTAATTTAAATAAGAAATACTTTAAAACGGAATGATTTTCATAAGACTCAAATAATTAAAAGATCTATGCCTATTATTCTTAAAATTTTGTTAAGATATTCCTTACCTTGTTTTCCAGCTATAATATACTAACTTCTTCTAAAAATCTAACACGTAACATACAATATTATTCTTCCAGCTGTGTCAAACACTGTACCGCGTCCTCTGCCGAGATAACTTCATTGTGAACAGAGAGAACGATGCAAAAGACACATTTAATAGACCATCAGTCTTATACCGTGTTGTTAGTGCTCAAAATACTACTAACAGTCGCTTAGAGTTGGTAAGATGGCGACCAACGACCACCACAGCTTCTACCAGCGCCTTCACCGTACGAACAGCTTCAGATTTAGCGTTACTGGCTACCTCACAAGCAACTCTGCCACAACGACACAAGCTCCTCATCATCACATCATATCCACTAATCGATGGATTAAAAGAACTGGTGCAGAAATGGAGAAAGGATCGCAATCAAATCTATGTTGTTATGATTAATCATAAGATTGCTGAAGACCAAAATATCGATCAGCTGCCTAATTTAGATTTGGCTTTCAATGTACTGGATAATGTAAGTATCATGTTATATTAGCTTTCGTCCATGACTCCGTCCGCAAGGAACTAAAAAAAAGGCAAAAACAAGTAGCCTATGTGTTCTTCCAGACTATCCTCTACATGTGTGCCAAATTTCATTGAGAACCGTACAACAGTTAAGGCTACAAACTCTAACATCCATCCATCCATCCAAACTTTCACATTTATAATATTAGTATGAAGTATGATTATCAATTAAAACAAAACGCACTAATTAATTTAAAAATAACTATTAAGTCATCATCTTCAGTTAAATATACGTCCCCACTAAGGAACTCGAAATCTACCTTAAATTATGGTAGACTAGGCCATAGTCAACCACTCTGGTACCGTGAGGGTTGGTTGGCTTCACACATATCTTTGATTTTCTTTTTGAGTTTGTTTTAATACGTACATCTTTTTAGGGACAATGGTGCGGCGAATTCGCTATTCCTTTACAGCAGAAATTGTCTACAGTACGTGATGTAACACTTCAAAATTCTCGCATTGGATCGTTAGATGTCAACTCTTTTCACTGGGTAGAAATGCCTAATATCAAGGGACCTGGTGTTAAAGTTACTGTAAGTTGAGTTGTTCACTTTAAGAGCGGGCACACCTTTGAGTAAACTATCGCACAACTGTTATGCGATTTCAACTATCGATTGTCGGTTGTTTCGCAGCCAATTCAACTGTTTAGTTGCACAATTAAAAGTCGAGTAAAATTCCGCACCTCCATATAAGCTCATAGAAATCAAAGCGCGTAAGCAATTGTGCCATATTTAGTCAAAGGTTTTGGTTAAAATTAGACTAATAATGACTGAATTTCTAAATTTTTAGGTCCACTACGCTGGAATTAATAACACTGATATCAAAAGATGTTTAGGAATAATCCCGCGGGTTGGCAAAGACAGTTGTTTCGGTATGGACTTCAGTGGTGTGACTGAAAGGTAACTCAACTATCCTTATGACCTGTTATTTTAACGTTATTAAGGACTTGAAGCTGTATTTCAACCAAGGGCGGGTCCAGCTTTGGCGCCAGCTTGACAAAATATGTAAATATATTTTGTCATGCTTTTGACCAACCAGCTCCGAGGGGGTGGGTCTTGACCCCCATGAGACCCCTTTGGATCCGCCGTTGATTTCATCGCACGAAAAGAACTCAAAACTGTTATTTACTAAAATATAATAATACAAGGTTCTAGCTCCTTTTTTCTGGAAGCATTTGAATGGTACGTTAATATGTGTACGTATATTACCAGTGGCGAGCGTGTGATGGGTTTGGTACCGAGCGGCGCGGTCAGCTCGCGCGTGCTGGCGGACCCCAAGCTACTGTGGCCAGTGCCCGACCACTGGACAATGGAGGAGGCGGCCACCGTGCCACTGGCATATTCCTTCGCCATCTACTGTATCGTAAGTTAATAGATGTATGGAACGGGGAGAAATTTATTCGATCGTCTTCTGAACTCTAAGGGCCTGTACCACCAAATTGTAAATTGTCTGATAACAATGCAACTTGTAAAATGTGTGATGATATCGGATTTTGTTACCTTATCTGGCAGTGACGTCATTTCAAGCTAACTGATCCTCTATCAGCCAGAGGTGGGACAGGCCTTTAATCATGACTTTCGATTGAACGACTTGAACTAAGTGCAGTAATAATGTTACTAATCGAATCTTCTATAAATCGAGATTTCTTAGAGCGCGCGTACACCTTTGACTAAACTATGCCACAACTGTTTAGTACCTTATATGGAGGTGCGCACATTACTCAATTTTTAGTTGTGTAACTAAACAGTTGAAGGCTGCGAAACAATAGACAATCGCACAATTGTGCGGTTTACTTAAAGGTGTGCGCCTGCATTTATGAATATCTATACTATTATAATAAAACGTAAACACACACTTCTTTGTTGCCTAAGATGTCAGCAATTAGAGCATATTTTTAAATAATTCTTTTTTTCATAAAAAGCCCTACACTTACGTCACGCTTTAGGCTATATATCTTAACGCAATTAAACTTAGGGGGTAAATATTTTGGACATAAAGATAGGAAAGAGACCATAAGTTGCTGCCAACATCAAGGAAGCAAGGTTGTCATCAGGTCATGTCATTTTGACATTTGTAATTGATAATTTGACAAATGTAAACAATAAAATAACTTTATGCTCATGGAAACGCACGGGAACAGCTAGTAATTTTATAAGATCAGTTCTATATGCCCAGTGAATAAACAAACTCAAAACTGTTCTAAATTTAAATATTGTTTCAGGGTATCAAAGTCCTGTTGAACCCTAAAATGAAACTGCTGGTGCACGGCGGCGCGGGTGCGCTGGGTCAAGCTGTCATATCCATTGCCTTAGGCAACGGCTGTGACGTGTTCACTACAGTTAGTGACGTCAGCAAGAAGCGATTCCTGTGCAAAATGTTCCCGCAACTTAAAGGTAACAAAAAAGCTGCAGAAAATAATCTATACTAATATTATAAAGAGGAAACATTTGTGTTTTTGTATTTTTATATATATTGGAATAACTCAAAAACTACTGGGCCTAATTCTTTCATCGTTAGAAAGGTAATTTATCTGTGAGTAACATAGGCTATATGTTTTTTTTTTTTAATTTTAATAGCTATTATCTATAAATAGGTATGTTTCTGCTCTGTTCAGAGTCAAAAGATTAATTAACTAATAGTCAAATTTAATTTGCAGAAAACCAAATCGGCAACTCCCGCGACAATACTTTCGCTGACATGGTCCTGGCTGCCACCAATGGAGAAGGCTGTGATGTTAGCATCAGCTGCGTAACTGGAAGTCTTAAAGATGTGAGTAATTAGTGCATTCCATTCATCATCACGTTTTCTTTGATTGTAAAGACAACTCTCCGAATATATCATTTGCCAGAAACATGTAGTATACGTGGTTTTGTTAAATAAATAGAAGAATTGTAGTTAACTAGATTTTGTGTAGGTTTTTCACTATCTAAGCTATCTGGTGACATCTTTCAATTAAAACCACCTGGCATCAGATGGGATCATCAAATGGTCTATTTATCGTAAAAAAAGCACCATTCTTTAAAATTTCGAAGCATTTAGAGCGAAGAGTACAAACATAACTAAATTTTATAAATTTACGCCCCGCACAGCCGCGTTGTGGAACGTTCTGTCCACGGCGGTATTTCCAAACCAATACGACTTAGGGTCCTTCAAGAAGCGAGCCTATCATTTCCTCAAAGGCCGGCAACGCATCTGTAGTTCCTCTGGTGTTGCGGATGTCCATGGGCGTCGCTGACCACCTCGGTGTTCTCGCCGCTCGTTTGCCCCCTTTATTATAAAAAAAAATTGACTATCAGAGAGATTGTCGATTGTTTAGCAATTCAACTGTTTAGTTGTACAACTAAAGTGTGCACCTCCATATAAGCTTATATAAATCAAAGCGAGAGTACACAGTTGTGCAATAGTTTACTTTCAGATGTGCACTTTTTTAATCTAGATCTTTCTGTTCACAGTCAACACTCAAATGCTTGGGTCTGTGCGGGATCAATTTTGATACGATTCAAATTACAACACGTGATAACTACTCGTATGGAATGTATAATCTGACGAAGGAAAGGTCATACATGGCCGTCGATTTTGCACAAGCTTTGAGAGAAGGGAACGTTAAAGAAATTTCTGTAAGTATTTATTTTATAAAATAATTATCACCAACGAGTCTTTACAGTAACCGAAACTTAACAGTGGTAGTGCCCGCTTTAACATCTTAGCACTGCAGAGCCGGCACGGCCGGTGTAATACCACGACCACACAGAAGACAGGCGTGAAATGGAAGCAATTCCGCCTGTCGTCTGATGAGTGTGGTGCCGGCGGCCTAATTTAAGTCCCTTTCTCGTGACCACCCTTTTCTTATAAGGTGAGGATGGAAACGGGAAGTGGATTTAACGGTGGAGGAGATGCATACGAAGGGGAAATATCCTCTTTATGTGCGTCTCCTTCTCCCTCGGATAAGGGTAGGCAACGCATCCGCTATTGCGGATGTCCGTGGGCAGCGGTCGCTGCGCCATTTTGGCGGATTCAGGTGGCCGCTTGCTCGTTTGCCACCTTATGTTATAAAAAAAAAACTCTTGGCTAGACCACTGTTAGTTAGTAACTAGGTTTTGCCACGCCTAGCTTCAAATAAGGTGTGAATACCCTAATACTAATAATACTATTACTACTACTAATAATCTAAAGAGGAAAGATTTTTTTGTATTGGAATAACTCAAAAACCACTGGACCGATTTCAAAAAAAAAATCACCATTATAAAGCTACGTTATCACTAACATTAGCTATAGCTTTTATTATTGTATTAAATACACGTGGGCGAAGTCGCGAGCAATCACTAATTAAGATGTACGGAACTCGTAGATATTGTGCAAACTCTCCGTCGGATAGAAAAAATGATGGTTGACTTCGTACATATCTTTGAATTTCTTCCCAGTACATGTTACATCAAAATCATTTGTATGTACATTTGATTGTCATATCAATATTATAAATGCGCAAGTTTAGATGTATGTGCGTTAGAGTTTGTAGCCTAAACGATTAAAATGGTACAGATGTAGAGGATAGTCTGGAAGAACACATGGGATACTCACTTTTGTTTAATTCCACGCGGAATCGCAGGGAAACGCTAATAAGTCATAAACCTTTTAACTTATTTTACAGAACATACAGTTAATGTTAGCTGAAGGCATCAAGCGAGGCTACGTACGGCCGCTGTCTCGTGTCGTGTACAGTCCACTGGACGTGCCGCGAGCCTTCCGTCTGTTGGCGGCAAGCAACCACCGCGGCCGCGCCTTAATACAACTGCAGGGCAACCAAGACGCTCTCACATTGAACACTGAACCAAGGTATTAATGCTTAAATGTCGTATCTTACTGCAATCAGATTTATTAAGTAGTAATTTATGTAGGCGATTAGTAACGCACAACTGTTATGTGATTGTCGATTGTTTCGCAGCCAATTCAACTGTTTATTTGCACAATTAAAATCGAGTAGTGTGCATCTCCATATAAGCTCATAATAATCAAAGCGGGACTAAACAGTTGTGCGATAGTTTTGAGAAAGGTGTGCGCGCGCTCTAAATCACAATTAAGACAGTTAAGGCGACAGATTATTGGGATGTTTTTGGCATTACGTTCAATTGGAAATAGCGCCTACAAGTAAAAGGTTTACGCCTAAAAGTTAATTAAATTAAGGTGCAAATCTAAAACAAAACACAAATAAGCAAAACAAATCTCGAAGGAATTTCTTGAAATGAAAAAAGTATTATGGAAACCGTTTGCGGAGTAACTGTTTTTTTTTTCAGATTACACTGCTCTCCTGATTTAAGCCATTTGATTATGTGCAACAACAACTATTTGGGATTGAGAATCGCAGAACGACTAGTTCAGCGCGGCGCAACGAAGATATATTTGCACGCGTTGAAGCCATCTGGACGGCTTGATTTCGAAATTAGGTACAAAAATATATATCTATACTGATATTAGGGGAATTATTTCTATTTCTGTATGTATTGAAATAACTCAAAAACTACTAGGTTAATTTCAAATATTCTTTCACTAATAAAAAGCTGCATCATCAGTGAGTAACATACGCTATCATCATCTTCCCTGCCTTTTCGTTCTCCACATAACTCTATCATCCATCATCTCAGTCATCACTCCCTTCTTGATCATGTCACCTTTCTCGCAATCCATCCATCTCTTTCGTGCTCTAACGTGCTTCTTGTTACATGCGATTCATCCCTTCTCATAACATGCATTATGTGAGTAACATAGGCTATGTTTTTATTATTTTCTCATTTCACGCGGGCAAAGTCGAGAGCAATAGCTAGTATTTTATAAATCGTAATGTGTTTTATATCTTTTATATACAAATTACAGATCTCTCGAACTCCAAGGTGTGAAAGTAATACTTTCTAACGAAGAATTAAAGAGCAGTGGCAATCTTAATACGTTGTTATCTAACTGCACTGATATGGGCACTATAGAAGGTATCTATGTGATCGCTGTAGACAATAAAACTGAAGAACCTTTCAATGTGATTCAAGAATTAGATACAGCTACAAGAAAACTATGCCCGAATCTTAGGTAAACTAAAAAACACTTTTTAATTATAATCACAGTTATTGGTATACAGTTACAATGTTATTTAACCTTGACTAAAAAGACAACTTTAAATAAACAATTGACATAAAATATAGAATTGATTTTTTATAATCTGTTGAAACGATATCAATTAAAATTAATTGATTTCGAATAAATATTCACATCCCTATTTACGTGCCAATAGAGTACAGTAAAATATACGCATTAAACAAATCTAAAACTGAAATGAATATGTTTCGTAATAATATATTTCGCCTATCGAATGAAATGTTGTTTTTATAGGTACTTTGGAGTTATCAATGGATCCTCAGATTATGGAGTTCAATGCTGCATCTCAAGAGAGCACGACAGACTGCCAGCCACTTTAATAAAAATACCATCACTCAATAAGGTAGAGTATTTATTTACTTAAAATATACACTGGCGACGATAGATGGCGTTAGTATTATTATAGAATACGCTTTTGAAAATACTCTGCACACTTCTCTTGAATTATTATTGTTTAAAGATGAGTCTTTTTTTGGTTATTTCAGTGTTTTATTTTTAAATACATAAATGTTTATTTTAGATGGTTAATAGTGAGTCTAAATCTGAAGAAATATTGACAGAAACGGACGTCGTGAACGTGTTTGAACGTAGTCTTAGATTTTCTGAGTCTGTCGTTATCGCAAACCCACGGGTGTTGCAGCCACAATCACTTCTGCAACAAATCGCGAGAGTGGCAGGTAAAATTACACTATAAATAAACTTACGAAAGGTTTTATTAGTGACTAGGTTTTACCCGTGACCTATGTGTTCTTCCAGACTATGCTCTACATTTACGCCAAAATTCATCGATATCCGATTAGCAGTTTAGACTTCATACTCTAACAACCCTACATTAATCTATTTAAACTTTCAGATTTATAATATTAGTGTTATTTAATACCATTATTCCCAAGCCATTCTATCCGAATGAATAAGCATCATTTTTTTAAGTAAAGAAATGTTTTATGTTAAAGGTATTGAAATATCAGAAGACGTTCCGGAAGATATCACTCTGTCAGAATTAGACTTCGAAAACGACAAGTCCACAAACATCACCACATACTTACGAGACGTACACAACATATCGGTCTCAGAAGAACACGTCCCCTACTTGACAGTGCAGAAGTATGTATTCTATTCTTTACCAAACATAATAACAGAGGCGCTACCGTCTCAATAACTCAATCGATAATTGTGTTAAGAACTTTCCTTATACAAAACCCAATTTTTCCTTTACTGAATGATGAAAAATTCAAAGATTCTTGACTATTACTTACAGAATACGTGAAATGGAAGAATCAATGAGAGACATAGAATTCGAAGAAACCAAAGGCTTGGGTACATTCTTTTCGCATGTGGACGCTGATGAACTCGAAGTAACCACTGAAATGGTGTTTTTGCCGACGCTAGCTAATAATTCAACTATGGTAAGTACTTATTTACTAATTCTGTATATGTTAAGAAGTTTATTACAACTTTAAGCTTAACAACTTAATTGATTTGAAAGATTGTCGTCACTTGATTATTTTTCCGGAGTTAAGACTTTAAAATTCATTCCTATTACAGCGTGACGACGAATTCGACGCTACCCAGACGTACTTATGTATAATACCAGGGCTGGAAGGTAACCGTGAACGTTTCCGAATTCTTTGCGAACGACTCAAGCTGCCAGCTGTCATCTTGCAGCCCGGACTTGATAGGCCCGATGAAACCGTGTCCAATCTGGCCAAAAGATATGCAGAGGTGATTGTAATATGTATTCTTGAATTAACGATTTAAATTGACAAAGTGTTCTTTTTCATTTCAATAAAGGCCTGTCCTACCACTGGCTGATAGAGGCTCAGATAGCTTACAAATGGCGTCACTATTAGATAAAGTAACAAAATCTAATATTCATCACATCTTTTATACTTTGGATTGTTAACTGACTATTTACAAGAATTTGGTAGGACTGACTACTATCTTTTTCTCTCTTAACAGACACTCTTGAAGAAAACTGCATTGAAGCGTAACTTTTATCTTTTGGGATATGAAAGTGGTATCTTGGTGGCACTGGAAATGGCAACTATCTTGGAAGATCACGGTAATCAATTTTATTTTACCTTCGCTTTAAGCTGATTTTAAACGGATACATTATTAGTATAGTAGTGAAAAAAAAAATTCCACGTAGGTAACCACTTTTATTTTTTCTTTTCAGGATTAACTGGTACTGTCTTCTGCATTGGAGCATCGCCTGACGAATTACAAGTAGTCCTTAAAGAACAACTTAAGGAGTACGACACCGATGAAGCTTTACGAATGGCTATGGCGAGACATATGTATAATCTAATGGTAGGCGGGAACACTGATGGATTTGAGAGAGCCATATCAGGTGCTTTCACTTGGAAAGAGAAGTTAGAAGCTTGTGCTCGTTCAATACTTGGGAAGGTTTCTCATTCCGGACAATATACTAAAGAAATGATCGATTGTGCGTTCCGAAGGATTAAACAAATCCAAGATTACAAGCCAACACCTAAAGCGCTTCGTTCAAAGATAATTCTTTTCCGTGCCGCTTCTGTGGGTACTAATGATCAATCCTTACAGGATTATTCTAAAAACCCGATCACCGTATACAAGCTAAATGCACCGTTAGCACACTCCGCTATGGATTTACGTTGTACAGCTTTAATTAATAAACATCTGGATCCTGAAATACTTGAGGAGTTCGAGACGAAGAACCTCTGCGACACTTATTTGCTTAACGCGGATACATTTATGACTAATTCTTATGATTTTTAGAACATCTAAATCTTCGTGAAAACTATATAATTTACTATTTATTAAAAAATTATTTAAATTTGTTTCTTCTTTAATAAATTGGTTATTGAGTACTTTTGTTTTATTTTATTAAAATTTGTTAAGTCTAATGCAAAAATAAGGTTCTCGTCATGCCACGTGCAGTCTTATATTTATAAATTATATCTCTTATCGCAAGAATTTCGTAATAGTTTAATCTTTTTTTCATAAATATTGTACTCAAAATGATACAATAAACACTAATCTCCGAATCGCCAATTTCACCTAGTGAAGTCTATCTTCGTCATTTCACATTTAAATAAAAGTAAAAATATTTTTAAGTTTCAAGATCACTGTTAGGATCGTCCCATAATAACAATTCATCATAATTTTGAGCGGAGAAGCACAAGGAAGTAACTGGCACACTTGAATGGCACGTGCCAGCTATAGACAACCAGGAACGTTAACTTGCATAGCGCAAGATGACCCTTGCGCTTCCTCTCGTCTTATATGATCGCCTTAACACTTTACTGGGACTGGCATGTTTAAACGCATTGTGCCACTAGCTGGCACATGCTATCTTCTGCACTGTCGGACACCTTCCTCGAAACATCGATTACTTTTCGCAATGTCCATCACTACTATTTTTATCTATGGTACAGGAATTTGAAGTTGACATTGACATTTCCATTTCAACTTTTGATGTCAAAGTTGTCGTGTTGGAGTATTTAATGTGAATAAAACGTGGAATTATTTGTTAAATGTGAAATATCGCGGAAGTTAATCAATAGAAATTTATTACTATTGAGTGTAGAAATAAAAGAAATATTAACATGCCTAACATCGAGGGACTTTCCCTTAGTAAGTGTAATTTCCGAATAACCCTAACATAATCAATACCGAAATTTCCGTGTAGATGTTTAGTCTCAATAAAATTAAATTTCCAGCCGAACTGTATACATCGGAGAAAAAAGGAGACGATGAAGCAGGAGATGGCACACGAGAGAAACCATTTAAAACTATCCTTCAGGCGATGCGACATGCTGGGAAAGAGCCCTTCCCAGCTATTTACGTCGATAGTAAAGATGAGAATACCGAATACGATATTGCCGCTAAATCCCAACTGAAAAAGATACAAAAGATTTGGGTAAGAGAAAACTATAAAGCCGCTGATAAGGCGAAAGCTGAAGAGGAAAGTCACGAAAAGAGACTACAAAATTTGGAAGAGGCGAAAAAAATCGTAATTACAAAAGATGAATCGCTTCCAGAGCCAAAAACAGTAAAAGTTGTTGAAGGTATGTTTTAATCTTTATAAATTGTTGAAACCACCAAATATTTTATGTGATTTCTTGCATAAGCTTTATGTGGTTTAGGTACTCAAACAGAGATTCCTTCTGAATTATGTAGTATAGAATAGAATATTATGCAAAAGTAGTAGTTAGTTAAAAAGTTGCCTTATAAATCTTTTGATTTTTACAAAAAAATTCCAACAAGCATATTTTATTTTAGTGTCTAATAGCCCCTATTTTAGTTACTAAAATAAGGACTATTAGATTCTATCTTTTTTATTGATATACTAGTTGTTTCCGTGCGGCTTCATCCGCATGAAATTATAATAAAATGTTGGCAGCTTGTAGTTAATAGTACTTTTCCCACATTAGGGTTTTTATCGAATTGATTTTCCCTCTGTGTTTAATAGTGTGAAAATATATAGCCTAAAGCATGACGTAAGTGTAGGGCTTTTTATTAAATAGAGAATTATTCAAAAATATGCTGTAATTGCTTACATCTTAGGCAACAAAGAAGTGTGTGTTTATGCTGAAATTTGAGATTGAAAAAATAGTTGTACCATATTGTTCACCTTATTTATTAGTTAAAAAAATGCAATTAATTTAAAAAAAGTGTATATGTTAAAACTTGTCTAGGATGATGCAACACTGCAATGCAGTGACATGATGTCATAGGAAACATTAAAGTTCAAATTATACATTTGTAGGAATTTCCCTTTATTCTATCAAGATAACAACAACTTTGCAATCATTGTGACCATAGATTATGATTAATAAATAGAAAGCAGTAAAAAATTATCACTGTGAAGTAAAAATATTTATTAATGATGTAATTCATTGTTTTTGTTTTGTTGAATACTGGCTTTTCCTACTTCATTTTTGCATAATGTTTCTAAATTATAATAAAGATTTTTAGTGATAAGAGAAAGTTTGTAATCAGTCCATTAGTTATTGAATTTATAAGTTACAAACAAATCTGTAGTCTCAATATCATACTTCATATTATATATAATATTATAAATGTGAAAGTGTGGATGGATGGATGGATGTTTGTTAGAGTTTGTAGCCTTAATGGCTGAACGGATCTGGATGAAATTTTTCAAAGCCTGGAAGAACACATAGGCTACTTTCTTTTGTTTTTATGAATACATTGCGGATGGAGTCGCGGGCAAAAGCTAGTTATTAGTAAAGACAAGCTGTTGTTTGCGCCTTTGTCCGCATAGTAATATATTTTTTTTAATGGATATAACCATGTTACTTAATGGTAAATTTTTTAAAATTGACCCAGTAGTTTTTGAGTTATTTCAATCAAAATCTTTTCTCTTTATAATATTACTATAGATAATTAATTAAATTCCAACATAAAATGTTACACAATACCAAAGTTCAATGTTTATGTAAATTAAATATTCAATCATGAAGGCCCTTGCATCAATGTTATATTATGAATTAAATGTAATATTCAAAGAACTATCGCGTATTTGACTAAACTATCGTACAACTTTTTAGTCACATTTTGATTTGAATAATATAAAGGACATTACTCAATGATTAGTTATGTAACTAAATAGTTGAAGGTGCTGCAAAGTAATCAACAATCGCACTACAGTTCTGTGATAATTTAATCACAGGTGTGCAGAAACTCTAAGTATTTTTTAATTCCGCATAGACAGAGTCACAGGTAACAGCAAGTCTATACTAACATGATAAAGAGGAAAGATTTATATTTTTGTATGTATTGAAATAACTCAAAAACTACTGGGATTGAATTAAAAAAATCTTTCACCACTATAATGCTATGTTATCAGTGAGTAACATAAGCTATTTTTTATGACTTTTTAATACTATGCAGGCTAAGTCGAAAGCTTTGTATTGTATAAAAATCTACTGTCAGTAATACTAATCAATTGAATATACATTATTGTCCCCAGCTGGTGAGCATCGTGGTGAACGTCTATGCATCAGAGGCTGGGTGCACCGATTGAGGAGACAGGGTCGTTCACTAGCCTTCATCTCTCTGCGAGACGGCACTGGTTTCCTGCAATGTGTACTGCAAGGTGTACTCTGTCAAACTTATAACGCATTAGTATTGTCTACTGAGTCATCTGTCATTGTTTACGGAAAACTAAGACCGGTGCTCGAAGGAAAGACTGTGAGTAAATCTTTTACTTCAATTGGAAGTCAAAATTAAGTAAATATCTGTGTTTATTGTCTGATCAGCTGCATAAATATGACTATATTTTCCATACATGGTGACCATATTTGTTTTATATTTTTTTTTTGCAAAATAAGTGTAGGTAATAGCTTGTATAGCTTATATAGATATTTGTGAAAAGCGTTTTACCATAACTATTTTGGATTTTATTCATTTCATTGTAAACTAGCTTTCGCCCGCGAATCCGTCCGCGTGAAATAAAAAACAAAGAGTAGCCTATGTCTTCTTCCAGACTACCCTCTACATCTACACCAAATTTCATTAAAATCCGTTCAGCCGTTTAGGCTACAAACTCTAACAAAGATCCATCCATCCATCTAAACTTTCGCATTATTAGTATGAAGTAATATTAAAATGTATGTACATTTGTATTTATTCAGGCTCCCGGTGGACACGAGCTGGTTGTTGACTACTGGGAGCTTATCGGGCTTGCTCCACCCGGAGGTGCTGACTCCATACTTAACGAGGAAGCGCTACCCGATGTACAGCTTGACAACAGGTAATGTATACATATATAACTAATTAAACATAAATATATAGGTCGGCTCGCCCGGTGTACTACCACTACCACACAAGACAGGCGTGAAGTGGAAACAATTCCGAGTTTCGTCTTATGTGTGTGGTACCGGAGTCCTAATTTTAGTCCCTTTTCCTTTCCACTCCTTTCTTAAGAGGGAAGGATAGGAAGAAAAAATAGATTTGATGGTGGAGGAGACGCATAGGAAGGGGAAATATCCTCATTATGTGCGTCTCCTCCTCCGTCAACGAAGGGTAGGCAACGCATCTGCATTTGCGGATGTTTAGGTGGCCATTTCGGTGGAATCAGGTAGCCGCTTGCTCGTTTCCCACCTTATATTATAAAAAAAGAGCATAAAATCACATGGATCACCAATCAATCTAAATCAGACCTGGATTAAAGTTTGTTTTTAAATGACTGGTAGCCGCTGTGACGTGGTCCGGCAGGCGGTTGTAGACGGCAGGCCCAATGACGTGTGTAGATTTTTCGGTCTTGGTCCAGAATCAGATCTTCAGTCAGGCCAGAATTATAGGTTTAGTGAGAAATGGTGTTCAGGTTATAATTTGTTAGGCACATAATGATCCGCGGCGAGAACACGTCTAAAGTGTTGCGAGCGCGTGCGCTGGTGACGCGCGCGTTCCGCGAGCACTTCGCGGCGCGCCGCCACACGGAGGTGACGCCGCCCACGCTGGTGCAGACGCAGTGCGAGGGGGGCAGCACTCTCTTCAAATTCAGCTATTTCGGGTAACTCACACATTACTATCAATGTAAATATCCTATTTATCTATACTTAGTATAATAAAGCGTAAACACTCACTTCTTTGTTGCCTAAGATGTCAGCAATCACAGCATATTTTCGAATAGCTCCTTTTTTAATAAAAAGACCTGCACATACGTCACGCTTTAGGCTATATACTTTCACGTCGTTACACTTAGGGGTAAATATTATGGATAAAAAACCTAATGTGGGAAAGAGACCATAAGTTGTTGCCAACATCAAAAACAGCATCATCGAAAACTATGTTTTTATATCTGTTGAATATCGCAGAATATAAATTACAACGCTGTTGAACTCTGTATCTGGAAAAAATAGTTAATAATATACTAAACTTTGATATATAATCGTAATCTAAAGTTATCGGAAGTTTCGGTTTCGGACGACACAGAAAGGGAGGCCGAATGTTCGGTTTCCGTTTCGGATTCGGCTAAAAACCATATATTATTTACACTCTACTAATAAAACATACACTTATAGGTTAACACAAACTTATTAAGAGCAAAAATGAAATGTTTATTAGCCTTTTTGTTGACCGACTTCCCAAAAGAAGGAGGTACTCAATTCGTCTGTTTTTTATGTGTGTTACGGCATAACTCTGCCGCTAGTGGACCCATTTTGATAATTCTTTTGTATAAATAGGGAGGAGGCATTCCTAACGCAGAGTTCCCAGTTGTACCTGGAGTCGTGTGTGGCGGCGCTCGGCGACGTGTACTGCATCTCGCAGTCCTACCGCGCGGAGCAGTCCCGCACCAGGAGGCATCTAGCTGAGTAAGTAACTAAAATAACATAACTTTACTTTGTTTTGGTTAATATGCATATGACGCCAAATTGGACCAGACTTTTTTAAGTATTCTTTATTATAGTGTGTCTAAATAAGATAGATTAGTTTGATAAATGACGAATATTCAATTTGTATGAAAGCAAATGCCATACTTAATAGACGAAACAAACATACATAGCGAATAATTTTGAACTATCGATATTCGGTTTAAATAATTATCGAACTCAACTAGTTCTTTTTTACTCACTAATTTAGAGGACAATTCTAATATTGATTATAGAGTACAGAATTTAGCGATAACAGAAATAATAGCGAAATCCAATTCGATTACGTACGGCTGTAATGTAATAAACATTTATTTACTCTCTTTATTGTTATGGTCATTATTAATTTGAGAAAACAGTGTTTGTTTTTTATTTCATAAGTTATTATTATAAATCTATCGATTCCAACTTCTATAAGAACAAAAATCGAAAATCGATAAGATTCGTGACTGATCTTACACCACCCTACTAAATTTGAAAAGAATTGTCCAACTAATCTAAATTATTTAGACAAACTATAGTACGGAGGGTAGCTGACTAATTTGATAATAAGCAAACTAGCCTATAGATTTGCTTTCATACTTACTTATGTATTTAACTGTTTGTGTTGATTATAGTTTGTGTTTATTGTGTAAAAAAAATGTAAATTAATTTAAGTTTGTGGAATTTTTTTCTAAAATAATTATTATATCCTTTTATTAATAGTACTTTTATAATACTACTATATAATACTACATGCTTTGTTTTTTACAGATACAGTCACGTGGAAGCTGAATGCCCTTTTATAAGTTTTGATGACCTGCTGGACAGGCTGGAAGATCTGGTGGTGGATGTGGTAGACAGAGTGCTGGCTTCGCCTGAAGCACACCTCGTTTATGAACTTAACCCTAACTTCAAGGTTTGTAAGCAAACCATAGTGTTAAGAAAATTGGTACCGCGCTGTAGAATTGGCGCAACACTAGATTATTGGCAGAAACGTCACATCTCTAACTGACAGCTGTCAATGTCATTAGGAGGATTGTTCGCGCGCGATCCTGAGGACGAGAAGTGTTGCTCTGAGTTTAAAAACGATAATCCCAATTAAATATATTGTTTAAAAACACTAATATTATAAATGCAAAAGATTAGATGTTTGTTAGTCTGTAGCGAAACGGCTGAAATTTCGATGAAATTCGGTACAGACCTTTTATTTTTATGACAAAAAATATACAAACATTTGGTACTAACATTTAGTTCCGTTTTTTCCAATGAAGTCAGTAAATCATAAAAAAAATATTTTATGCCTTGTCCAATAGAGGGCGTTATACCTAATTATTATGTGTCTACTAATTTACGTTTGTTTGCTTTTAAGGACAGTATTATATATTTTCAATATTATCGGTGTATATATTAAATTAATATGTTTGATTACAGCGACCCCAAAAACCATTTAAAAGGATGATGTACACGGAGGCGATTGACTATCTCCGCGAACATAACATTACTAAGGAGGATGGCTCTTTCTACGAATTTGGAGACGTAAGTTGCATTTGCAATTGGAAATGTTACGAAATGTTTATTAAAAACATCTGAAATATCAAGTAATCTATACTAATATTAATAAGAGGAAAGATTTGTGTTTTTAGATTTATGAATGTATTTGATTCACGCAAAATTTATTAACCCCGTTTTGAAAAATTCTTTCACCATTAGAAAGGTAATTTATCTCTGAGTAATATAGGCTGTTTTTTTATTAATTTTTAATATCACGCGAGCGACAGCTATCTATATGAAAAGGAAATATTTGTATTTTTGTATGTATTGAAATGTCTCAAAACCTACTAGGGTCGAATTGAATTATTTCACCATTAAAAGCTATGTTATCAGTCAGTAACATAGACCGGTTTTTATTTTATTTTTATATTTTTAATTTAATTTGACGAGGACGAAGTCACAAACAACGACTAGTGTTAGAATAAATTAATAACAGCGCCATCTAGTTTCAATTTACAATTCCAGGACATTCCCGAGATGCCGGAACGTAAAATGACCGATGCTATCGGAGTCCCCATACTGCTGTGCAAGTTCCCCGCAGCCATCAAGTCCTTCTACATGGCCAAGAGCCCCGAGGACCGCCGCCTCACCGACTCCGTGGACCTCCTCATGCCAGGAGTTGGGGAAATCGTCGGAGGATCCCTCAGGATCTGGGATTATGATGAACTTATGGAAGGTGAGAATTATACCCCTAACTTAGGGTAGGCTCTTATGAAAGGATTTGTACAAAAGAGTCTTTTTTGTAATAGTCAATTGCAAGGAAAACTTTTGTTTACCGAAGATAAAGAACGAAAAGAGAAACATGTTTTTTTTCTGAACCGCCATTTTGTTTTAAGTTGATTCTTGTTTGTAGCCTAAACTGTTCAGGATATCGATTAAATTTTGCATAGGTGTAGAGAATAATCTGAAAGAACACATAGGCTACTTTTTTTAATTCCGTGAAAGGAGTCGAGCGCCAAAGCTAGTTATCATATTAATAGAAAAACTTTAATATGATAGCTGTTGCCCGCGACTTCATCCGCGTGAAATTCAAAACTTACGATCGCCCCTTTTTTCAACCTTTTACCAAAAGTATTAACTTAGTATATCTACGTAATAACAGAAACCTATGCAAGATTCCAAATGTCTAAGTCCGGTAGCTTGTAAGCTGATATTTTATATTAGATAAATTTTACTATTATAAAAGGTTCACATCTCAGAAATTATCTAAATGTAATGTAGTGGTGTTAATGGAACGGCGGTCGATACTCGACTAATTTATTATGCGGCCGGTACATTATATTGAGATACCCTCATATATATATATTACTATGTTGCAGTTTACAAACGCGAGGGCATTGACCCCAGCCCTTACTACTGGTACACGGACCAGAGGAAATTCGGTTCCGTACCACACGGCGGGTACGGACTCGGCCTGGAGCGCTTCCTCTGCTGGTTGCTGGACCGGTACCACATCAGGGAGGTCTGCCTCTACCCGCGCTTCCTAGAGAGATGTACGCCTTAACCGGTGTAACCTGACCCGCGACGCATTTCACACGCATTTGTTGTTTTTACTAATAAAAGTTATCAAGCGTTTTTAAAGCTTATGTAAGCTTAATAAAGTTTATTTCATGACTTGATTGTGCGTTTTATTTAATTTTATATAAAAAAAATATTTTATAGTCCCGCAAGGCTCTTGTGGCGCCTTTTTGACATTGACAAGATGGCGCCTCTGAGCATAGGGTTACCAGTAAGGTAAAATGTCCCACATTAAAGGGAAATTCTTTCCTTTTGAAAACGTAAACGCAAATTGTAAAGGAAGCATCTTACAATGTGTCTAGAAAATGCCCCAGATTTCGTTTGTCGGTTAGAAGACTCAAGTTAAAGAATCTGTAGCAAACTTTTAGTAATGCACTTTCTTGAGACATGGAATAGTCGTAACACTATAGAAATTTGTAATAATAGAAATAATTTAAGCGGCGAATATAGGTGAAAGCTACGGTTTAAAAACGACACTAAACAGAAAATACTGATAACGTTATTTTAAAATTTGACATTTGTATCTGAGAATTTATTCGTTGCATTTAAAATAAAAGGTTAAAAAATATTTAAAAAAGGGTGATAGTGTTATAAGGATTACGCAACAAAAAAAGTAGATAAAAGAAAGAAAAGAAAAACGAACTTTGCAAAAAAGAGTACGGACCAAGAGTCTGTAGAAGTTGATAAAAAAAATAAAAGATTAAGTTGGTGATGTTTAATATTGAAACAACAAATTTTTAAGTCGATTTATTTAAATAAAAAATTACTAAAACTCAAATTTATAATGTAAAAATGCATTTATTTGACTTACAAATATTCTACGGAGTATTATTGTCTTATAACAGTGACAGCTGTCAAAATAAGCGGGAAAACATTGTCTATGATTCTTAAAGGCTAATGGCTAATGGCATTACAATAACTTTAGAAATAGTTACAAATATTTCAGTCAAAAATGTGATTTTCTATGGCAACCATTCTGCGTCGTCATCGGGTTTTGCGGAAAGTCTGTTTGGGGAAGCCAAATGTGTGTTTGGCGTCTCAGTGAGATCTTCCTTGCTGTCGGTCACTTTGTGGTACACTTTCTTGCCAGCTTCCACTACGTATTCCACACCATCGGCTGAAAACGATACGATAAGTAATTAACAAATTAACATGTCTTATGGAAAATGCCTACGGCATACTGTCTTTAATGCATATTTGCTATAAAAATTCGGCAGGCGGTGAAATTTTTTTCCAAAAATTAGAATTTTTTTCAACGCATAAAATTAATACTTAAGGATACGAACCAATAACTCCGCCGGTCTTCCTCACAACTTCCCCGATGTTGTGCGTAGAGAATGTGTTTGGGTTGATGTTGATGTCGACGCCTTCTGTAGCGCCGTTGGGCCGGCCCGGGCAGTTCGACTGCGAAATGATCGACAGATCGTACGGGTCCACACCGAAAGATGCCAGCTTCAAACGCATCTGCAAAACATATTTAAAATTCTAAACGTCAAGCGTTATACCCAACAGATTATAAAATAAAAGTAAATAAATGCAATTAAAATATACACGTAAAAAGGAATAAACGGCGTATGTTAAATGTTAGGATAACATTGAATGGAAATCTAATAAATAGAAACTGTCTAACAGTCGAACTACTGACATATTAATAATTTTAAGAGTCACCTTATCAATAAATATCTTATCGAGCTCCTTGGTGCGAGAGAGTATGGTGGCGGAACGTCTGTGGGCGAACGCTAACTTCTGGCAAGTGAATATAGCCGCGTACTGATCATAGTCAGTCGCTAGAATTGTATAACTTGCTGATCCAGCGACGCCTGGAAAAAAATAACAGTTTTTTTTATAACATAATGTGGCAAATGAGCAAGCGGCCACATGAATCCACCAACATTTGCGAAGTGACCGCTGCCCCTAGACATTCGCAATCACGGATGCGTTGCCTACCCTTGCACATAAAGAGGATATTTCCCCTTGATATGCGTCTCCTCCAACTTCAAGTCCACGTTCCTTTCCCATCTTTTTCTTATAAAAAAGGACGAGAAGGAAAAAAGACTTAAGATGGGCCTCCGGCAACACACGCATCAGACTGTACGCGGAATTGCGCCCACTTCACGCTTGTTTTCTATGTGGTTGTGGTATTACACCTTGCGAGCCGACACATTCGTGCGAAGATGTTAAATCTCTACTGTCAACTGTTTTAACTTAACTGTTATAGATTCATTTGATGACATAAAAGGAAAACTAATTAATGACAAATATTAGCCGCGCGCAGGTTTGCCGATGACTTCCCTCCTATTAATATCGACTGCTTCCCGCCTAGTACCGTAGTAACATATGACGTCATGATTATCGGCAAAGCAAAACGAGTAATACTCACTTAAAGGAAAGCGCACTTTCATTCTGGCCGGCACAGCTGGGTCAGGTACAGTAAGAACTCCTTTATATCTGTAAAAAAGTATTGGTTTAGATTAGTTTAACTCAAAGTCACGGTCGCTAAAGCACCATAAAACGTACGAAAAAAAACATTTCATATAAATCATTTTGGTGGACTAAGGGCCTGTCCCACCACTGGCTAATAGAGGTTCAGATAGCTTAAAATTTACGTCACTGTCAGATAAGGTAACAACATTCATTATTTCCATCACATTTTACACGTCGGATTGTCATCAGACAATCTACAATTTGGTGGGACAGGCCCTAAAAGGGTATAACGATATAACGATAAACGATGATTTAACCGTTTCGGTTATCTCTTGTCCTACTACCTATACAGTTTACCGAAGTAAACGAAATGCATAACATGGATTCGGTTACGGTTCGCCTTTCTTTCTCTATAGACGTCACGACGACTATAGAGGTTAACTTAGCATGGACATGCCATGTTTTCCTACCTGTAGTCATGGTCAAGTGGTGTCAATCCCAAGATGAAATGCTGTGAGACCTGTTCTAACTCGAACGTCCCTGGCTCGGGCGTCCTCGTGAAATTATACGTGATGCAGTGGGACGCAGTCGATGTCTTCTGTGCCACGTACCACAAACCGAGCATCTAATGGAGAAACATTTATAGTAATCGGCAGACTTGGCACGTCGGACATAGAGGTACTTTTTTGCCCGACGTGCCAACTCAAACATGGGTAGTATTCGTTTAAAATAGTGGTCGATTTCATTCGTATTGTATTTGTTATTTGTAAACTAATGATTAATCATGATCTGTTTGCTTATGACATTTACTTCTTGAACTCAGGCCACGTAAAAATTTTAACGTTAGTATGAGAAATTCGAAACTCAATACTTTTAATAACGCATAAATGAGGGCTAATTAATTACAATAACAACATTTTGAAATGTATTCTGCAAATGTTAGGTTGTAATTAATTTTTATTGAACTTGGTCCACTAATAATTGACTGTAAGAAAGCAGTAATTTTATCGGTAGACTGAACCACCAATGAGATAGCCTCTCGCCTCGAGTTACATTTGTGATTCACTTCATTGTTCACTTTAACCTAAACATAAATACAATGTGTTATAAGTTTCGTGTGTTACATACATGTTAACTATAAAGAGTTTACATTCATTATATATTAATACATAATCAAAAATAACAGAGTGAAATCAACGATATTATGTCGTATTTTTATTATGTACAATCGCGGAAATCCGCGGTGTTCCACTTTAGGAAATTGCCTTGTTCTTTGCAAACTCCGCCTCTTCCTCATCATCACCAGCTCACTAAACGTCCCCACCGAGGGCCTCGGAGACACTAAGTTGGGTGACTAGGCCATAGTCAACAACGCTGGCCCACGTGTTGGTTGACTCCACACATATCTTTGAATTTCTTTGCCGATATGAGCAGGCATCACGTTGTTTTCGTTCACCGTAAGAACGTCGGGTGAATTAAGTACATATGTAAATTCGAAAAATCGAATTGGTACATGGCGGGATTCGAACCCAAGATCTGAAGATTACAAGTCAAGTGCTTAAACCACTGAGCCACCGACGCTTTGCGCCTCTTCCTACTAATAACTAATTTGATAGCAGTGAGGGCAAACGAAGGAATAATAAAAAACTAGTCGTGTATCAATAATAGACTAGACTAGTTTTCGTACAGACACATTTATAAGCTGTGTTTTATTGATTTTTGTTCCGCGTCTTGTTCAAATGATTGTAGCTTTTAAAATAGAACACCGCCAGTTTCCCCGACTGTACCCTATTGACCCAGACACTCTTTAAATAATAGTAAGCATAACTATCTTATCAGAAGCCAAGGGTTAATTTGTTTATATATAATGATCTCATAGTCACTGTTAATGAAGGAACTTCAGACAATTTGTACAAAGGCAATTCATTTCCATCTCGTCTATAGTCCAGTTTTATTTCCATCTCGTCTAGCATTTTTTTTATATTTTGGATGAATATAGGATCACTTTAACAGCATTATTCTTTATTATAATATAACATTTTTCCTATTCACATAATGAACTTTAATACAGAAGCGATGAGACAAATGCTAGTAAATACGTAGATGTCAAAAACAAGAATTTCGAATATTATTACAAATTAATACTAACCTTGTTCATATCAAAACCAGACATAGGTTCCACGATAGGGCATGCTCCTAAATGGTAAGTATGACCAATTGCACTCCCAATAAACGCCAACAATAACCCAAACACTGTCAACCGATGCATTTTTAAAAATAAAATAAAAAACACGTATTCAACCTCCTTGGAGCACGATCTGTCGCGTACTGGCCGGTCTGACAGCTATTTACAATTTAAATAACAAATGAATGCGTATGTGAACAGTGAACTTTGATTTGACGTCGTCCGCCATGTTAAAGATGAACTAGTTTGAGTTCCAAGAATTGTTTGCTTACCCGTCACTAACGGGTTAATGAATGATTATATTACACCTCTTTTACTTCAAAGAAACTCTGAAACAATAGTTATTGGTCAACAAACTTAAATACAAATATTTTTTTCATTGATCTAACTGTACTTAAATATTAGGTTAGTTTTTTATTAAAAGCATCCTTTACTTTTTTTATTAAAATACCGACACTAAAATGTTTTTATTGCAATGTCATTACCACAGCCAATAAATACACATATTTATGTCTATATTGTCGTTAAGTGAAAAAAAAATTCAGATATTTGACAGTTTGCAGATTAGTAAAAATAAAAATGGTGACTAACGAGCAGTAAAACAAAACAAATATATGTTTTTTTGCGAAAATAGCGTTTCACCATTTTTAATGTGTTTTTAATTACAGTATGCCTATCTTAATCTAACACCAAATCATGAGTAAATATTTTGGTTAGTTCAATAATAAATACATTTCGTTATCTGTAATGCGTAAACATGAGTCAGCGGTAACGTGATTTTGCGGTCGGCGTACAAAAGTATGACTCAAGCGCAAAGATGACTTCCTGCTAATGAAACGCAGTTTCTCGGTATTGAGGTTGTCAAATATGTTAGCGGCTTGGAGTAACGTACGAATCGCTTAGACCACAATGTTAGATGAAAGGGGCCCCGCTCAACGCGCCGATGTTCCTAAGCCACCAAGATAATTTAAAAGACATATACAGCTTGTCAACAGATTGTTAAAAGTGATAAATTATTATGTGTGACTAAATTTTTCCCGCGACTCCAGTGTATGTGTTATTCCAGACTATCCTCTACATCTATGCCAAATTTAATCGAGATCCGTTCAGTCGATTCGGCTAGAAACTCTAACAAACATCCATCCATTCATTTAAACTTTCGCATTTATAATGTTCATAATTCCTGTATTGTATTGAAATAGGATTCGGCAATCGAATGAACACTGCTAATTTGCATGTACATGTTGCATATTGAAAAGTTTTAAGGAATAAAAAAGGATATATTTCTTTCTATTGCATTCTCTTACTTGCCAGGAAATACAAACCCTATCCTTATTACATAAATGTAGGAGGAGAAAGACTATACGAATAGCAAATCATAAAAAAGTAACCATCGATTCTGTACCACAATCTTTAAAAAATCTGAAATATCACCAACCCTTTTGCCTCTCGACTGTATTTGCTTTAACTCCAAATTACTTCTAAATCATAAATAAAATTGTTTAAAATCGTATTTACATAATTTTAATTAAAATATCTTTTAACAATTTATTGTCCACATAATTTTGTTTGATAAAGGTAAAATCTCTTTCGGAATCGAGGTCAATAACCTTACCACCGTTATTAGATTATTTTCTGTATTGTAACAATTTATGTGCATATCTTACTCTTACTAATATTATAAATGCGAAAGTTTAGATGGATTGATTTTTGTTAGAGTTTGTAGCCTAAACGGCTGAACGAATATCGATGAAATTTGACATAGACGTAGAGGATAGTCAGGAAGAACTTTTGTTTTTTTTTAATTCCACGTGGACGGAACCGCGGGGAAAGCTAGTAGTAAAATAAACATTCACGGGTAAACAGAAACTTGGATCTAACGGTTTTGATAGTTGCATCGTTTATCTTTTGTAAATGTTTACTATCTTGATCCATGTCAGAACTCGAGTGTAGTCGTGAATCATAATTTCAACAATCAATGAACAATTCTTTTATTATTAAATAATAATGTCAATGATATAAACACAAAGATCGTTACATCGTAAGATGCGTCATGCAATCACTCAACCCTGAACGAGTTAGTGTAACGATTTCTTCCTGTTATTATCTAATGTACACATCAAACTCGAAAACGCAACGCAATAACATAGTGTCATCCTTGTTTATTCGATATGCGTGAGTGGGACGACGATATGTCTATCTTTATGTTCTAGTTGTGGGAAATTAACGGTAATTTGCAATTTTTGATGATAGAATACTGCGGAATATAGTCTTGTTTATAAATCTCTTCAATTTTGAGTAATGTTTGTCCTGTTCTGATTTACTGAACATCAATGTTTTGAGCTTCATTTTCCTCCTTTATTTCTTAAAAACGTAACTAAAGACATTTTTTTCATTATCAATAAAGAAAAATTATTAATTAACATTTTTTTTAATTACAGGTTATATTAACAAATCTATTTAAAACGGGTAACTTATGATTATAACTTAAAGTATGCACATAACAAAATATATTTACTTATATAATAGCAACACTCAGAGTAGCTTAATTTAGCGTACTCTCTTAGTAAACTTTGAGCGTCTCTGAGTGCGATATAAGAGATTCTAAATACAATATAGTTAGTTATATAACGCAGTAAAACTCCATTGTTGTAACGGATTTCGCTTCCAGTTCTAAAACTGCTTTCTTCTTAGCACATCTTACGCTGACTGTTCTTTTGCCGCCTCTGAAATAAATGCCAAGGTTTAAAACTCTATAATTATCGTGGTTTTAAAATTATTATTTAGGTATAGAAATAAAAAAACAACAAAAAGTGTTTTCTGTCCAAAAATGTTCTACTAATTAAGATTGGAAGCACTTTTTATAAATGCATCATTTAATGTGAAGTTTTATGAAGCGTTTCCTTTTTAAACTGTGAATTATTATTAACCGTAAGGATTTTAGATTAGCCTCAACTGATTTAAATAAGATAAAAACTATAATTGCAATATTTTGAACTTTTCAACTAAAGTTAGGTTATAATTTAAACATAAAAGATTCTCTAACTAGTACGCCCCCAACTTCTTGAGACTGACAAAATACTCACTCGTTCAATAGAACTAAAACGACAGTGCCATCTGGTGTCAGAAATCCGACATGTTTGACAGACCAGGAAAATAAGGGCTTTATTTCATTCACTTCTATTCTTCGGGAGCCACGTTTGATGAATTTAGAAAAATGACCCATAGCGTAGAACATTGGCTGTTTGTAGAACTCGTTTTTGACCGCGTCCACTATGACGGGAGAGTCGACATAGTTCTCTGACCAATTAGGTCCTCCGCGCGTGTTTAAACACAAGTTCCAATCTATCCAGCCAACTACATTATGGTTTAAATCCTGGAAAGAGAGAAAAATCTGTTATTTACATACTCAGACTTTAAAAATTCCGTGAACAGTTTTTTATACTAAGATGTTTTAATTTTAACCAAACGACTCCTTAAGTTCAGTTTACCAGTTGTTCTACATATCTCATACTATGTACACTAAGGAATGCCCTTAGTAGCAACTCTGAATATGGCCTTATCTTTCATGAAAAATTAGTATAGACTGTATCTTTTATCAAACTTGGATTCAAAATATGATTTTTTTATTTTTACATAAGGTTTTTATAGACTTACTTCTAAGATGTCCGATATGTAAGTGACAGCTCTTGTCCATGACCCGAGGTCCACTTTCTCCGTTTGCCAAGGAAAGCTTCCTATAATTGAAATAAGATTAATTTATCTATACAAATGTAATAATTTGTAATAACATTTTGTGCGTTAATAATGGATCTGTCAGAAAAGCTACGAAATACAAAAAAATGTCGATTTTTTTTAGATAGCTTTCGCCCGCGACTCCGTCCGCGTGGAATTAAAAAAACTAACGTAAGTAGTACTAGTGTGTTCCTCCAGATTATCATCTACAAGTATGCCAAATTATATCAAGAATGGTTCAGCCGTTGAAGCTACAAACTGTTACTAACATCCATCCATCTAAACTTTCGCATTTGTAATATTAGTGTGATAAGAGCTATCATTTAAGATGCTTCATGTACATTTTTGAAAAGCATTATATTTTAAACCTATAGCATGAATTAAAATTAAATAGCCACATGAATATATAAAAATTACCTTCACAAGCTTCGGTAGCCAGTATAAATTTATCAGGATGTGTGTCTGACACAACATTTAAAATGGAGGCTGGCACCACTTTATCTGCATAGTAGTGTACACCTACACCATCTATATAATCCAATGCTTTAGGATTTGTCCGCAACATCTACAAGATTAAATACCTTGTGATTAATTCTTAAAAAGAAACCTTGAAAAAAAAACTAAACCATATTTATTCGATTCCATTTTGTGTATTTGCGCAATTTTTCTTACGTAATTACTCGCAAAAAGGGTAGAAAATCATTTTGTAAGTATTCTATTCTATGGTACAAAAGCGAAAATATATCTGCAATTGAATATCTCTCAACGTACTTACAACATTAAACCAAAAAGGTATTGTGAATCTTTGATCGTCGCATGTCAGTATTTTCACATCTTTGAATTTGGAATTTCGTATCGTAGGACCTAAATTTTTGACTATCCATTCTGCCTGGAATAACACAATATAGTTACATAGTTTTTATGAGTATTTCCTAATATTACACGGTGACAAACGAGCAAGCGGTCACTAGAATCTCCCAAAATAGCGAAGTGAACTTTTTGAAAGAGCGAGATCGATAGTTGAATTAGAAAAGAAGCAAATTATCTTTGAAATAAACTATTAATCCAATTAATTAGTGCTTATTTAAGTAAAAAATAAAATACCGACGTCTTACCATGTTCTCAATAGACCAACCAAGCGTGTTGAATCTGGCCAATCCAAAGAAACCATCGATCGGCTCGTTAGTTGTTGTTATCGCCCAAATGCTTATACCCTGAGCTGCGTATTGCTCGATAAATCTGTGAAATTAAAAAATTATTACAAAGTATCAAATTGCTTTTATCATAGTACAAGTATGACAGTGGTAGAGCCCGCTTTAACATCTTTGCACGAATGGGTCGGCTCGCCCCCAACAATACCACGACCACACAGAAAACAGGCGTGAAGTGAGAACAATTCCGCGTAGTCGGACGAGCGTGGTGCCGGAGGCCCAACTTTAGTCCCTTTTAATCCTCACCCTTTTTCTTGAAAGAATGGGAGAGGAACGTGGATTTGACGGTGGCGGAGACGCATAGGAAGGGAAACATACTCTTTATGTGCGTCTCCTCCTCCGTCAATTAAGGGTAGGCAACGCATTCTCTATTGTGAATGTCTACAGTCAGCGGTCGCTTGATCAGCCTTGATTCGTGTAGCCGCATGCTCGTTTCAACCTTATGATAAAAAATTAACAATAAACGACTTTCGTATGTCAGTATCTCCTTACTTGTAATGATACCAAGCATAAGTCTGGAAGTACTCCTTCTTGAGTCTTCCGAAGCCGGAGATATTATGGTTTGTCTTCATCCAGACGGGCGGGGACCAGGTGGTCGCTACTATATGCACCGGCGCTGTAGCTACACGGTTTATAGCTCTTATCATTGGAATCTAAAAGTAATTATTACATTACCTTAAGCGATTAATTATATGTTTTCCCACTTACATCTTAAGAAAGGGGGCTGTTAACCAATCAAAACATTTCGTCCTGTGTCGGCTTTATATTGGTTACAAAAAAAATGGTAACTACCATGTACAGTCGAGTATTCCACCTTAAAGTTACAATTTTTTTTTTTATAACATAAGGTGGCAAACGAGCAAGCGGCCACTAGAATCCGCCAAAATGGCGAGGCGACCTCTGCCCATAGACATCCGCAATTGCAGATGCGTTGCCTACCCTTATACGACGGAGGAGGACATGCACATAAAGAGGAAATTTCCCCTTCTTATGCATCTCCTCCACCGTCAAATCCACTTCCCCTTCCCATCCTTTCCTCTTAAGAAAGGGATGGAAAGGGAAAGGGACTAAAATTAGGCCTCCGGCACCAAACTCATCAGACGAAACGCGGAATTGCTTCCACTTCACGCCTGTTTTCTGTGTGGTCGTGGTATTACACCGGGCGTGCCGGCCCATTCATGCTAAGATATTAAAGCGGACACTACCACTGTTTTAAAGCGGACACTACCACTGTTGAACATTTTGACACATTATCCAGATTTTGTTTTATATCTGTGCAAAATTTTAATAAGATATGTTGAACCGTTGCAGAGTGATCGAATAAACGTTAAAAAACTAAATAAATGAATTCCATGGGAACCGTAACTGTTCTCGGGATAAAAAATTGCCTATGTGTTCTTCCAGACTATCCTCTACATCTATGCCAAATTTTATCGAAATCCGTTCAGCCATTTAGACTACAAAATCTAACAAACATCTATCTATCCATCTAAACTTTCGCATTTATAATATTAGTTAGAAATTATCAAGGATGTTAAGAAGTTGTATAAACCTACCTTATAATCAAAGTCCTCAGAAGTCAGCGTAAAGTTTAATAGATCGACATCATTTTCTGGTTGTTCGTTATACGCGTAGGCGTGGGTGGAGAAATCACAGCCGCCGATTGGAACTCGGATCATATTGTACTCTAGCCCTTTACTACTGTAGTATGAACTGGAAAGAAAGGCGAAAAATAACATTTCTTTATTAAAAACGATTGATCCTATGACATTTCCGAATAGAAAACTAATCGATAGAAACCTGAATGGGTTAAATCGGTTCAGTCGTTTAAGAAATCCATCGCAAGTAAATTACATACATAAACATACGTTTATCTTGAGTGACACAGAAGACCTGCGTCAAGTGGAAACAATTCCGCGTTTCGTCGCCGGAGGCCTAATTTTAGTCCCTTTCCACCCTTTTCTTAAGAGGAAAGGATGGAAAGGAAAAGTGGATTTGACGGTGGAGGAGACGCATAGTAAGGGGAAATGTCCTCTTTGTGTGCGTCTCCTCCTCTGTCAATTAAGGGTAGGCAACGCTTCTGCAATTACGAATGTATATGGGCAGCGGTCGCTATATTATAAAAAAAAAAGTTTCCACTGATATAACACATGTTTGAACACATACGTGTATAGAATGAGCTATCATTTGTTTTGCTACTAAATCTGTATGTTTTTGTTTTAACAAAAGATAAAGCATGAAAAGTAATTATTGTTCACTTCGAATAGTAAACATCGGATAATTTACTCTAAAGTTATTATACTAAACGAGCTGTTGCCCGCGACTTCGTCCGCTTGGTATTAAAAAACATACGAACTATATAAATTACAAAAAGCTACGTATCCCTCGGGAACCGGACATTTCTTCGGGATGAAGCTTATGCCACGTGTACTCCAGACTTTGTTTCATATCTGTGCCAAATTTCAATAAGATATTTTGAACCGTTGCAGAATGATCGAGTAAACATTAAAAAACTAAATTAATGAATCCCACGGGAACCGTAACTATTCCAGGGATAAAAAGTACCCTATGTGTTCTTCCAGACTATGCTGTAAACCTGTGCCAAATTTCATGGAGATCCGTTCAGCCGTTTAGTCTACAAACGCTAACAAACATCCATCCATCCATCCATCCATCTATCCATCCATCCATCTAAACTTTTGCATTTATAATATTAGTAAGATAGTTACTTTGAAATTGTAACTTTAACGGAACATTTGTAAAAGTTATAGTGGTTTTTGATTCCTCTCTATGTTTATTAAACCAGAAATTTCTATCATTATTTTTAAATTAAAATTTAAAACATCTACATCTATCAATAAGTTGCTTCAATGCTTCTGCTAACAAACATCCATCCATCCATCTAAACTTTCACATTTATAATATTAGTATGATGTATTCTGATATTATTAATATAATAGTAACTAACTTTATCAGAGATTGCTGCATCTCTTCGGGTAAACTCTTCCAATTGATACTCGCTGCGTCAGTGACCGCGCCACCGAAACCCTCAGCTACTTGGAACTTCACCTTAGGGTTCACTACCAGGGATGCAGAGCAACATTTCGCTGAAAAATAACATAGAATAATAGCTGTCGAAAAGAGACAATACGTGTCTATAAAATGTTTGACGGCTAACATATTTTGTTGCAATTGAACTTACGATTCCAATCCGAGTCATGAAATACTCCATATTCCTTCTTAAATCGGGCGCCGGCCTGGAATTTACAAGATATAGTTAACCATCATGATCTATGCGCCGTTACATAAGAGCGCACCTTTGACTATACAATCGCCAAACGTTGATTACTGCTTTCTCATTTTTACAAAACAGAATAAACTAAAACCAATCAACTGTGTTCCTAACGTAGAGTATTAACATTATAGGAGGCCAGTATTATTGTTACGGCCTATACTAATAGCCTACTATTAAAACAAAACTGTAAGGATAGCTGGTAAACTCTATCAATACTAAAACCTACTAAGGACGATAACATTATAGGTAAGATCTAGTTTTATTATATCTTACCTCTGAGGAAGTGAAGGTGATATAGCCGCCTTTTGCTGGCATTTCTCTTGTAAATTCATCGCAGTACGTCGTATTACACACACATATTACAGACTTGTCTTTTATTTGTCGAGCAGCACATGGCTTGTCTGAAATTTCATTAAAATTGACTTAACAATTTACAATAAAGTCCGCACATTAGGTGTTGTGATGAGCCGGCTGCAAGTGCAATACGACAACACAAAAGACAAACTGTAAGTGGGAGTAATTCTGCGTTCGTTTGATAAATTTGCCGGAGTATAAATTCTAGACCTCTTCTATTCAACCTTTTGTTTTAATGTAAAGACTTGAAGTTGTTAAGGAGGTTTTTTTTTGTATATAACATAAGGTGGCAAACGTGCAAGCGGCCACACGAATCCGCCAAAATGGCGAAGCGACCGCTACCTATAGACATCTGCAATTGCAGATGCGTTGCCTACCTTTATCCGACTGAGGAGGAGACGCACATAAAGAGGATATTTCACCTTCCTATGCATCTCCTCCACTGTCAAATCCACTTCCCCTTCCCATCCTCTCCTTATGAGAAAAGGGTGGTAAGGAGTAAGGGACTTAAATTAGGCCTCCGTAGTAGAGACCTATAAGGATATATCTTTCTTTGCGGCCCTCTGCCTTACAAAGGGATCAAATACCTTTTAACTTATTGCAGTTGTCTATAGACAAGGTTAACATTCGTTGGTCTCCAATATCAAAACAACAAAATAACTGATAATTCTTACAAACGAATATTAAATTTTATAAATATGTAATCAGTATAAAAGTTCAATGTCTTGATTCACAATCATTGTTGTATTATCTATACTAATATTATAGGAAAAATTTGTATTATTGGATTTTTGTATGCATTTGATTCACGCAAAAACTAATGGACCGATTTTGAAAATTCTTTCATCATTCAAAAGGTAATTTCTCTGCGAATAATATAGGCTATATGTTATTTAATAATAAACATTCTTAACTATAATAATAGCTGTTCATTTCGAAGTGAGATTTTAAACGGTTCTGAAAAAATTAGCGCAAGGATTGCAATTAGAATTAGAAATGAAATTACTTATTTCTGTTTTTTTTTTTGTTAGTTACATTTATAAATCTATACTATTATAATAAAGCGTAAACACACACTTCTTTGTTGCCTAAGATGTAAGCAATTACAGCATATTTTTTAATAATTCTTTTTAAATAAAAAGCCCTACACTTACGTCATGCTTTAGGCTATATATTTTCACGCCATTAAACTTAGGGGGTAAATATTTTGGATAAAAACCCTAATGTGGGAAAGAGACAATAAGTTGCTGCCAACGTCAAGAAAGTGGCTAAGCTTTGTCATGTCATTTTAACATTTGCTATTGATAATTTGACAAATGTAAACAATAAAATAAAATTATCATAATTTCATGCGGATGAAGCCGCACGGGAAAAGCTAGTTTAATATAGCTGATATTAACAGATTCACCCGTTATTTATGTTTTACTCTTAATATAAAAACAAATTTAATAACATTAATAAATTAGTAATAGACTTACCAGAGTCAATAACATAGATGTATGTAAATAATATGAAACCTAAAATAAACAATTTCATTATACACTGATTTGTTATAATATAAAAAACTAGATTAGAATGACACGAGTGACACTTCTAGATGCCTAGGACCGACTGATTGAATAGCTGGACCATTCAGAACCCGAGAAAAGCTTTGTCTTGAAGTTGGGAGAACTATAGCTATCTCTTTCTGATATATGCAAAATACAAGTCTTATCGTAGAATTATTCGCTAGCTATCTATTGTTTACCGTATCATGTTTGTGGTGTGCATATCAGGAATGTATGGCTTCAAGTTCATATTTCTTTAACACGTTAAATGCCATTGATTGTCAAAACTACTTTCATACAAATAATCCTTGTGGCATTTAATGTGTTAGTTTCAATTAAAACATGGTTCACTTATTCGCAAGTCTCTGGCGTTAAGTATATTGTTTGGTACAATTTGGTCAGTGGTGTGAAACATTTTATGTCCACAAAAACTTTTAAAGTAACAGAAAAACAAACAAGCCGAATCATTTTAATTGAAAACTGCAGTTGTAATACTTGATATAAATTTATTTAAATATGTTTTTTACATATTCTTTGTTATTTAGATTAATCTTCATTATGAAATTCAATTGTCGTTATAGACGACGCTTCTAGTTCAACCACCGCCTCTTTGTCTCCTGCAGAAATAATCACACTCTTCGCGTCCCCGCTGGAAAATAACATCGAAATTTATATTTCCATAAAAGAATTAATCAACAAAGGAATATCGCGAAAGTGGCAGCTTTAAACAGAACCATCAAAAGCGGACCTATAACATGCAGATGGGTAAAATATTGAAAAATGTCTGAAATTAGGTTACCCATAAAATTACCAGATTATATCTTGAACTTTTCCGATGGAAATCCCTATTACCTATTACGTCCCAAACGCGTACCCAATAAGAGTTGAGAAACGACAACTGTCTCTCTCTATCTCTACCTGTTGTATATGATGACAACTATCGTGTTCTCCGGAGTGAGGAAGGCAGCACTATTGTAAACTGGATCGTTGCCATCCGAGTTACAAACGAAGAAGCTGTCACTGAAATGAAACATGCACCAAATGTTAACTACTTCTGATATTCGAGCTACGGGTGTGTCATTGAAGTCTGGGACAAAATTGGTCGCACAAGGAGTCAATGTTTGATCAGATTTCAATCTTAACAAATGTGAAAGTTTAGATGGATGGATGTTTCTAAGTGTTTGTGGCCTAAAATGCTGAACGGATTTCGATGAAATTTGGCATAGTGTAGAGGATAATCTGGAAGAACACCTAGGCTCTTCACTTTTGTTTTTTTTTCAATTCCACGCGGACGGTGTCGCGAGCAAAGGAACAAAGTTGGATAATCAATGTTTGACCAGATTTCAATATCGTTATATTTAACAAGAGACATTTAACCCCAAAAACATGTTTTAAATCTTACCTAGCGTCAACTTTGCCAACAGTATTAGGGCATACAGTGATGTTTGCCATTTCTATCCTATAAGAGTCTCTCTTCACGAACTTTGTGACTTGACCTAATGCATAGAACATTGGCTGTTTGTAAAATTCTTTCTTATCCGCGTTAACAATGATTGGAGAGTCCACATAGTTCTGTACCCAGTTTGGTCCTCCTATCATATCCAGACAGATGTTCCAATCAATCCATCCCACTCCGTTGTTCAATAAATTCTGAAAAGGCAATATGGTAATACTTTGAAACGACATTAAGAGCGGGCCCACAACTTGATCTAAATTATCATAACTGTTGTGCGATTGTCGATTGTTTCGCAATGCTTTTCACTGTTGTCTGGGTGTATTTCTAGACACTGGAATTCTAAAAACTGTAATTAACCTATTTTACAAGTGTCATAGATTTCTTTTAATTATAATGTAGACCAAGAAGGTTATGTTAAGAATTGCATGACATATACATACTTCTAGAATATCAGTGATATAAGTTTCAGCTCTGTCCCACGCTCCTAAGACCACCCTTTGGTCTATCGGACCAGTAAATCCTGTGGACAAGTTTAAACCTTAGTGGATATATTTTTAACGAGCTGTTGCCCGCGACATCTTACGCGTGGTATTAGAAAATATACAAACTATATAAATTACAAAAGCTACGTATCCCTCGGGAACCCGACATTTCTCGGGGATGAAGCTTATCCCATGTGTACTCAGTACCCAGACTTTGTTTTATATCTGTGCTGAATTTAAATATGATATGTTGAACCGTTGCAGAATGATCAAGTAAACATTAAAAAACTAAATTAATGTATCCCACGGGAACCGTAACTATTCCAGGGATAAAAAGTAGCCTATGTGTTCTTCCAGACTATGCTCTAAACCTGTACCAAATTTCATGGAGATCCGTTCAGCTGTTTAGGCTACAAACGCTAACAAACATCCATCCATCCATCCATCCATCTATCCATCCATCCATCTAAACTTTCGCATTTATAATATTAGTAAGATTTAGTTTTTAATTTAATTTAGTCTACAAAGTAACAGAAATCTATATGAAAAATGTTCACACTCTAGGCCAACTCCTACTACTTCGGTCTATCATACTTTTCATACTTATATTATAAATGAGAAAATGGTTATATATGATTGTTTGAGTTTGTAACCTAACGGCTCAATGGATTTCAATGAAATTTAGTACAGATGTAGAGGATAGTCTGAAGATCACATAGGCTATCCGCTTTTTTTTTTACAAGCGGACGGAGTCGCGGGCGAAGGCTTTAATACTTCAGTTGTTTTTTGTTTATCGTTTTAGATTATAAATACCATTTACCTGAACATGCTTCTGTAGATATGACGAACTTGTTAGGGTAACTTTTAATAGTCTCCTGCAGGATGGACGCTGGTGTGATTGTATCGAGGTAGTAATGAACCGCAATGCCATCTATGTATTGTTCTGCTTCCGGAACTATCATCAACAACTGAAATGAAAACTCTTTGATTACAATTTTCTTTTTAAAATCACCGTGTCTCCGTCTGGCTGGTTTTTACATATACCATAAGTAAAGTAAAATCAAATCAACCTGTTTTTTAAATATATCATACTAATATTGTAAAAGATAAATTTTAGATGGAAAGGTGAATAGATATGAGAGCTTGTAGCCTAAACGGCGAGACGGATTCCTATGAAATTTGGTATGATGTAGATGATACTCTGAAAGAACACATAGGCTACCCACTTTTTTTTTAAATTTATATTTTTAAACACAACATATTTTTGAATAATTATTTCCTTGATAAAAAAGCCCTACATCACGCTTTAAGCTATACATTTTACAAGCTATTAAACTTAGAGGATAAATAAATTTGAAAAAAACTTCACGTCGGAAAGCAAGGTTACCACGGTTGGTCATCATGTCAAGTCATTTTGACATTTGCAATTGTGAATTTAACAAATGGAGACAATAAAATAAATTGTTTATAAAACCATGCGGATAAAGCCGCACGGGAAGTGCTAGTAAAAAATAAATAACTGTTACGATGTTACTTACGATGTTAAACCACATTGGTATAGAGTAGCGCTGATCATCAACTGCCAGGATTTTGACATCTTTAAAACTAGAGTTACGTATAGCATTGGACCTAAATCGTTGTTAATCCATTCACCCTGGAAAAAAGCATATTATACTACAGGGGGCAATAAATATCCAATTATTACATTCTAAAATATTACCATTTTCTGAACCGTCCAGCCGAGATGTTGGAAGTCGCCTAGTGGCATAACGCCGTTCAAAGGTTCGTTTGTTGTTGTTATGGCCCAAAAAGGGATTTCCTTTTTCTTATATTCTTCTAAAAATCTGTAAGAATATTTATTAACAATTTTTAATTCAATATTTTACGTCACTTTAAACGTGCTTTTCAATTTTAAAGCTCTTCGAGCGTGTAAATAAAATAAAAAAACTAGTAAGGGCCTGTCCCACCACTGGCTGATAGGTACTCAAATAGCTTAAAAATGACGTCACGTTCACGTCACACGTTTGATTGTTATCAGACAATTTACAATTTGGTAGAGCAGGCCCTTAAAAATAAAAGGAAAACTTACTTCAAGAAATATAACGCATATGTATTCATATATTCGTCTTTCAATCTATTGACTCCCGCAGTATAGTTTTGCTTCATCCAATCCGGCGGTGACCACACTGTACCTACCAACTGCAGCGGTGCTGTAGACACATTCATGATAGCTTGGATAATTGGTATCTGAAACATATCAATTATCATCATCTCCCCTGCCTTATTCTACTCTATCGTCCACCATCTCAGTCATCACTCCCTTTTTGATCATGTCACCTTTCACGCAATCCATCAATCTCTTTCTAGGTCTACCTCTACCGATGTACCCCTCCACATTACCATGTCAATATAACGATTCAAATAATTTTGATGATTGCATAATGCCTTTTGGACTAACAAATGCACCACTTTAATTTCAGCATAACTAGCACACAATGTGTTCAGTGAGCTGTTCAGTGATCGAGAAAGAAATATTTAATCGATTTATTGACAAAAAACTCTTTCAGCGCCATTTTGTAATCAAAATTTTCATCTTTTTCGCGGTTAAAATTTATATATAGACATAGCTTACTTTGTAATGATAATCTTCATATGTGAGAGAAAAGTTGGTAAGGTACGTGTCGTTGACTGGGTATTCGTTATACGCATACAAATGTGTGGAAAAATCACAACCGCCAATAGGCACACGGCCCATATTGTACTCAATACCGCATTCACTGAAGTATGAACTGAAAAGAAGGAAATAATTTAATCAACTTACTATTAAACCTATGGTTTAGAAGGGTATAAAATAAATAAATCGACAGTGGTAGTGCCCGCTTCAACATCTTAGCACGAATGGGCCGGCACGCCCGGTGTAATACCACGACCACATTGAAGACAGACGTGAAATGGAAACAATTCCGTGTTTCGTCTGATGAGTGTGGTGCAGGAGGCCTGATTTAAGTCCCTTTCTCTTTACCACCCTTTTCTTATAAAAAGAGGATGGGAAGAGGAAGTGGATTTGACAGTGGAGGAGATGCATAAGAAGGGGAAATATCCTCTATGTGTGTCTCCTCCTCCGTCGATTAAGGGTAGGCAACGCCTCCGCTACTGCGGATGTCTATGGGAAGCGATCGCTTCGCCATTTTCGCGGGTTTAGGTGGCCAGTTACTGGTTTGCCAACTATGGATATAAAAAAAGCCAATGAGCGTTTGAGCATTGTTGTCATTATGTTATAAAAAAACTAACTTGATCATATCTTGCTGCATGTTCGAAGGTAGACTGAATAGGTTTATGCCCGCGGAGTCAGTAATGCCACCGCCAAACCCTTGAATCTTCTGATGCGTTTTTTTTGGATTAACTTTGAAAACATCGATACATTCTTTACCTACAGACAAAAATTACAGCAACCATATAATTTTAAAATAAAAAATATTTAATGAAAGTTATGGTTTTAACAATCAAATTCTTTACCGGAATAAGAAGTCTTTTTGAATTCACCATAGCTTTTTCTAAATCTTGAGCCTGCCTGGAAAAAAAAGTTTAAAAAGGAAAAAGGCATTGTTTGTATTTAAAAAAACAAAAGATGCTGGAAATAAACTAAATTCCACAAAAGATTATTTAGTTAATAATTAATTTGTTTTTAAATGCCTGAATTTGTAAAAAAAATTAACATCTTGGTTCTCTTAAGTAATAGGGAGACTAATGCAATTAATATTGAAGCAAATGCGAAAAATATTGTACCTTGGATGAAGTATAAGAAACGTAATGTCCTTTTTCTGGCACATCTCTGACTATCTCATCGCAGTACGTCGTATTACAGACACAAAGTACTGATTGTCCTTCCACTGGCCGCGCTGCACAAGGCTTTTCTTTCGTAGAACATTGGCTCTCTAAAATCAGAAAAATTGCACACATCGTGAAAAAACATCACATTTCTAATAATAACTGAAAAATCGACATTGTAGGGTATATAAATTGAACATCTTTCTGCACGCTTCTCCTATATAAAGTAGGTCTGTCTTCTGTTAACCTACGACCGGAGTCATATTATTATATGACTTTTTATGTGCGTCTCCTCCTCCGTCGATTAAGGGTAGGTAACGCATCTGCAATTGCGGATGGTTATGGGCATTTGCCACCTTATATTATAAAAAAAAAACATACAGACGAATTGAGTACCTCCTTCTTTTGGGAAGTCGGTCAAAAAAATGAAAAATCGTAATAAATTTCACTTACCGGTAATAATTTCGGAAACACAAAATAATAGTAGCAAGACGACACTAGCAAACTTGTATAAACCCATCTTGATAAATACCAAAGGAATTTAAAACCGGTATTATCTTTTCACTAATTAAGTTAGATTATATTTCAGCATATATGTACTATCTGAACTAAAGTAAGAGTCGAAATAAATAGCAAGACAGTTTTAATTTAAAACTTTTATCTACGAGTATAAAGTGGGCGCACACCTTTGACTAAACTATCTCACGAATGTGCGATTGTCGATTGTTTTGCAGTCAATTAAAAATAGGAATCAAACCGCGACTAAACGGTTGTGCGATTGTTCAGTTTCAGGTGTGCTTACGGTTTTAATTTGATATTACTTAAAGATAAAATTAATTTGTCTGTTGGAATGACTTAAGTGTGTTAAGTTAAAAAATAATAGTAATTACTTACAAATGTGAATTAGTAGTGTTTATGTTCCAGACTATGTTCTACAAATGTTCTTACAAACGAGATTCGCTGAGCTTTTTTAGAAAAATGTAGTGAGAGACACATATTTTAACTTTTGCTTTCATGTAGTAGTTAGTTATATTAAATTCATTTTATTTGACCGACTTCCCAAAAGAAGGAGGTACTCAATTCGTCTTTATGTTTTTTTTAATTATTGGATTATCGTACACGGGAGTCATAAAATAACAAAAAAAGAATTTTGCAGGATTGAATTTATTCAACAAGTAAAACTTGGTGTTAGAATTAAATGTGTAAATTATTACATACATACATTTCTACGAATGTGTTATTATTTACTTGTCTTATATGAATTAAGAAATGCCATCATATTATCTATTTAAATAACAAGATAGGCATACCTAGCCCACATTCACAGTATGAATGACATTTGCCTAGAAGATTGTCGGCGCGGAATTAAGATATTCATTCTGGAAGAACATAGCAAGACTTACTGTAAAAACAGACAATACAAAATCATAAGTCTCAACTTCGCAAAGTATTAATGTAATTTATATTTGTATAGAGATACGGGGAGCTTTCACTTTTAGATGCACGGGTTTGGAGCTCGCGTGAACTGTGATCGCGGTCGTGTTGCTTTTGCTGAAAATATTTAAAAATATTAAAGTCATTGTAAGATTTATTACACAGAACATAGTTAAGTCTTGTTCCTTTTTCCTAATTAAATGTACCTAGTAAGAAGATTTTTTTTCGTTGTTTGGTAGCGGTAGTAGAAAAAGAGGAATATTTTTTACGTTACGTTAAGTAAAAAAAAAATTACCTGACTGGTAAGGTAAATTGGGTTAAAAAAAGGAACAAGCCAAAGTTACCAGAGTTTACTAAAGTATAGTGTTTATATCGAAAAAGATATGTCGGTGGGTAAAAATCAAACTAAACTATGATAGCACCTGTGACTGTCACAAAAGTCACAAGATCCTTGTTGGACTATAACTGACTTATGCTTTTCTTTTTAATTTTCTTTGCTTTAAAAGATTTTACAAATTTTCTAACACGCGTAATAGTAACAACAATGCTCTTACCAGACAAGGTTGTTTCTATATAATGGCTGGTTCACACTTGGCCAATACAGTTGGACAACCCTCAATAACTGAACTGGCATCCAACTGGCACCATTGAATCAGTACAAACTATGCTTCCTCTACAGTCCGACTGTACTGTTCAAATGTGAACCAGACATATTTAAAAGACGTTTTAGAGCGCACACCTTTGACTAAACCATTGCAATGTTTAGTCTCGCTTTGATTCCTTTGAGCTTATGGAGATCCTTAGTTGTGCAACTAAACAGTTGAAGCTGCGAAAAAGTCGACAATCGCTTAGTTGTGCGATAGTTTAGTCAAAGGTGTGCGCCCGCTCTAAAGACTAAACGACAACTTATAGTCTTACTTACCATTTACAATCTTCATTATTAAATTCCACTGTTGTAATTGATTTGGCGTCCAGATTTAATGGTATTTCTCGGTCGCCAAACTTTACAGTTATTTTAGTTGCCGTGGAGCTGCTATAAAATTAAAAACATTCACTATGTAAATCTTACTAATATTATAAATGTGAAAGTTTAGATGGATGGATAGATGTTAGAGTTTAAAGCCTAAAGGGCTGAACGGATTTTGATGAAATTTAGTTATTTTGTATAGTCTGGAGGTACACACAGGCCACTCGTTTTTGTTTATTTTTAATTCCACGCGGACGGAGTCGCAGACGAAAGCTAGTTTCAATCTATATTAATGTCATAAAGATTAATGATCGGCATTTTTGGATTTTTGTATGTATTTGATTCACGCAAAAACGACTTGACTGATTTTAAAAATTATTTAATTAATAGAAAGGTAGTTTATCTTTAAGTAAGATAGGCTATGTTTTTCATTATTTTTTAATTTCACGCGGACGAAGTCGCGAGCAACAGCTAGTATATAAGATTGATGTTTAAATTTTCTGATTTATTTATATATTTATTATGTTTAACAGTTGATAAAGATTACTTGATAATGTAACAACACTAATAATTTTATGCTGTCGAGAAAAATACATGAAAATCCTTACTCGTTATAAACCACGAATACAATTGTATTCCGTGGTGTTAGGAACGCCGCTTCATCGATACATTTAGGAGAACAATTCGCTTGCACAGCGATTCTTCGCGAACCTCGCGGAATGAACTTTGAGAAGTGTCCCATCGCGTAGAACATCGGCTGTTTCACGAACTCGTTTTTCTTTGAATCCACGATTATCGGAGAATCGACGAAGTTATTCATACAATTAGGTCCACCGTTTGTATCCAAGCAGAAGTTCCAATCCAACCAACCTACTACATTATTATTAAGATTCTGAAAAAAAAATCTTACTAAAGTTATAAATGCGAAAGTACAGATGGATGTTTGTTAGAGTTTATAGCCCAAACTGCTCAACAGATCTACATGAAATTTGGTATAGATGAAGATCATAGTCTGGAAGAACAAATAGGCTACTTACTTTTGTTTTTTTATAAATTATACGCGGACGGAGTCGCGAGCAATAGCTAGTCTAGTAAATAAAAATCTTTCACTATCAAATAAAGCACACCGTGTTCATATCGACACATACTTGTATATCTATGACTAATGGCTCGAATTTGACATTTTTCATCACAGGCTTTTTAGGATTAATATACGAACCTGTAGAATATCTTTAATATAATTTTCAGCTCTCTCCCAAGATCCGAGATCAACTTTGTTCTTTGCGTATGATTGATAACCTGAAATTAATCATATTATACTAATATTACAAACAGAAATGTTTAGATGGATGGATGTTTGTTAGAGTTTGTAGCCTAAACGGCTAAACCGATTTCGATAAAATTTAGTGTAGGGTACCTTTCACACGCGACTCCGTCCGTGTGAAATTAAAAAAAAACAACCAAAAGTAAGTAGCCTATGTGTTCTCCCAGACTATCCCTTACATCTATACCAAATTTCATTAAAATCCGATCAGCCGTTTAGGCTACAAACTTTAACAAACATCCATCGATCTAAACTTTCCCATTTATAATATTAGTATAATGTAGAACAGTCTAGAAGAACACATAGGCTACTTAATTTTTTAACTCTACAGGGACGGAGTCGCGAGCGGAAACTTGTACTAATATAATTAACTAATGTGTAATTTAATAAAAAATAATAATTAATTACTGCAATAAGCAGTCTCAAATTTTCATTTCCCATCTCTATTTTAATGTACTCAGGTTACTCTGATACAAATACAAAACAATGATAAATCACCTTCACAGGCCTCTGTAGACATCGTAATTAAATTTGGGTAATTCTGCTGAAACTTCTGAAGAGTCTGAACTGGTACGTCTTTGTCGTAGTACCAGTGGAGAGCCAAACCATCGATATAGTCCAACACTTTAGGATGGGCTTTAATTATCTGTGAAATACAAGTATTATCGAAATATTAAGAACATCATCAGCTCGCTATACGTCCTCACTAAGGGGCTTGGATCCTAACGTAAATAAAGGGAGACTAGGCCATAGTCAAAGAGTTAAAAGGACACCATCAACATTCCATACTAATATTATAAAGAGAAAAAATAGTCGCGAGCAACAGTACTAGTGCTTTATAAGTTAAGATTGAGGTTTTTATATAATTATACAGGCTGCGTGAAATACAAAAATAGTACAGAATTTAGCATATATTACTGAAAACTGTTAAATTAAAAAAGTAATAAAAAATATGGCATGTTAGTCATAGGTGATGTAACTTTTTAATAGTGAATTAATTTTTAAAATCAGCTTAGTAGTTTTTGAGTTAACAATACGTACAAAAATACAAATCTTTCCTCTTTAACACTACTTACATCATAGAAATCCGTGTCAATCGTAAATCTATGGTCATCAAGCGCTAGAATTTTGGTATCATTGTGACAAGAGTTACGTATAGTCGGTCCTAGATTCTCGACTATCCATTTACCCTGAAAAATTAACATGCAAATGTGAATAACAAATTTTAAAGGATTATTCCCAACCATCACCCCGCATTGTCCCCACATGGGGATAGTTGCGGATAAAAAGTTTCATCCGTCCCAGCTTTTAGTTCCACTATCACCAATAAGGTGACAGATGGAACCGTTAAGTAATAAAATACCAGAAGTTCGTAACCGTCCTCTCGTCGCAAAAGGTGGGACGGATAAAACTTTATATACTCATCTGGCACCACGTTTGGACACATGAGTATAATAACACGATAATCCATTTTAAACCCTATCGACGAAAAGACAGATTCCTGATAATTTAAAATATAAGCCACATGCTTGTTTACTTATTTGTTTTTACAAAAATTAAATTCTTACATACTATACTTACAATCTGATTGTCAGTCCATCCGAGACAGGTGGTAGTTGGAATATTGGTAGAAGCTATCGAAGGCTCATTGGTTGTAGTGATCGCCCACACTGGAATTCTTCTCGACGCATATTCATCTAAAAATCTACAAATTCAAAGATCCCTTTCATTACTCTATTTTATAACTAGGAATTGATTATGTACAGAATACTCTATCGACATAAATTAGTGTTAAGAGCTAATAAGTAGCAAAAAACTAAATATGTGAACTGTACTCAATAACACTTCGAAACATTCCACGTTTCGTTTGATGAGTGTGTTTACTTTATCTTTCCACCCTTTTCTTAATAAAGGATGGACAGGAAAAGTGTATTTGGAGAGACGTGTAGGAAGGGGAAATGTCCTCTTTATGTGCGGCTCCTCCTCCGTCAGTTAAGGGTAGGCAACGCATCTGCAATTGTTTGTGGGCAGCGGTCGCTTTCCATTTCGGTGAATTCAGGTGGCCGCTTGTTCGTTTGCCACCTTATGTTATAAAAACACTATTAACCTTCTCAGTTGGGTCTAATCTTAGATTTCTTTTGTTTAATCGATTTCACTGCTTCAGACTCTATTAATTATTGCACTTAATCTCTACTAAGGGTACCTGTTAAGAATTAAACTATTCTCGTAATTATTGGTAACTTCGTAAATGTCTTACTTTAAATGGTAATCAGCGTACGTCTGAAAGTATTCAGTTTTAAGGAATCCGCAGTTAGGACTACGTTCGTTGAAATATTTCATCCATTTTGGAGGAGACCAGGTCGATGCTACAATATGTATCGGAGATTTGGCTACATCCATCATTTTCTTTATTGCTGGTATCTAAAAATGTATTTATTATTAATAACTAGCTTTTGCCCTAGACTCTATTCGCGTGGAATTAAAAAAATAAACAGCTAATGTATGCTAGGGTTGCAACGGAGGCCATTTTAAAGGAAGCGGAAGCGGAGGCCAATAATAAAAAATTAATTGTGATTTATTAAAGTAATAAAAAGTAAATAAAAATAAAAACTACGTTAATTCAAAATACAGATTGGTACATATTAGAAGATACAGTTTATTATGCAAATATAATGTATAACTGAACTTTCGCATTTATAATATCAGTATGAATGACTAGCTGTTCTCGTGCGGCTCCATCCGCATGAAATTATAAAAACTTTATTTCACTGTTTACATTTGTCGAATTCTCAATTGCAAATGTCAAAATGACATGACATGATGACAACCTTGCTTCCTTGATGTTGGCAGCAACTTATGGTCTCTTTTCCCACATTAGGCTTTTTATCCAAAATATTACCCCCTAAGTTTAATGGCGTTAAAATATATAGCTTAAAACGTGACGCAAGTGTAGGGCTTTATATTAAAAAAAAAATGTTTAAAAATATGTTGTAATTGCTGACATCTTAGGCAACAAAGAAGTGTGTGTTTACGCTTTATTATAATAGTATAGTATAGATTCAGTTAACCTTGACAGTTTCCATTTTTCTCTAATGTGAGCATTGTACCTAAAATACCTAAAATGTTAAATAGTTTAAAACTATCTTCCATAAAAAAATAATTACCTGGTAAATGAGGGCATATGTAAATGTTAAATAATTGCTCAACAAATACTTGCGTGCTTTATCACCTATCTTTGCTCTATTCGTGAGAATTGTGTTTATTTTTCTTTGACATTTTTCACCAGATTTATTATCCACGTGTAAAGTTCTTAGACTTTAATCAGTAAGAAATAAATTTACCATATTTAGATATCATTTGGAAAAACAATAATTATTATCGCGTCAAATTAAATTGCTTTACGTGCCCATTAAAGTGCCGTCTGACATCTCTAGTAGCAAAAATTTGTACCGCTCTTATACGATAAGCTGCATACTTCATCATCATCATCACCAGCTCACTATACGTCCCCACCGAGGGGCTCGGAGCCTACCCTAAATTAGGGCGACTAGGCCATAGTCAACCACGCTGGCCCAGTGCGGGTTGATTGACTTCACACATGTCTTTGAATTTCTTCGCCGATATGTGCAGGCATCACGATGTTTTCCTTCACCGTAAGAACGTCGGGTAAATTATGTACATATGAAAATTCGAAAAATCGAAAATCACATTGGTACGGCGGGATTCGAACCTAAGACCTGTAGATTACAAGTCAAGTGCTTAAACCACTGAGCCACCGACGCTCTTCGTTAGAGTGGAATTAAAAAAATAGTCGTCTATAACATTCCCACGTGCATCTACTTCTTGGTAGCTACCTTCCAGTTAAAGTCCCATCCAAATCGGTACACCCATTACAGAGATAGCAGTCCAGTCGCCATTTTGACAGCGCAGATTTAAAAAAAGTAGCGTATAATATGCTTGTCAATGTCAGCTACCCTCCAGTGAAAGTCTGGTCGAAATTGGCCCAGATTACACGGAACAAACGCTGCTTGGGAACAGACAAACAGACAAAATTTTTTTAAATGCATTTTTCGTTATCAACAACTCAAATACATCATCTTCCCGAAATCTGGAATTTTTCCTTCGATAACAGACACTCCATCTTTATTATACGTATGTATAGATTCTGTTATTTTAAAATGTTACTGTACCTTATAATTCAAATCTTCACAAGTCAAACTGTAGTTAGTAAGGCGACAGTCATCTACAGGTAGATCGTTGTACGCGTGTTCAATCAGGGAGAAGTCACTGCCGCCTATTGGTACACGTAGCATGTTATACTCTAAACCTTCCTCGCTAAAGTAAGACCTGCAAAAGGGCAAAAGCGTTTATCTATGTATATCTATACTATTATAATAAAGCGTAAACACACACTTCTTTGTTGCCTAAGATGTCAGCAATTACAGCATATTTTTGAATATCTCTTTTTTAATAAAAAGCCCTACACTTACGTAACGCTTTAGACTATATATTTTCACGCCATTAAACTTAGGGGTAAATATTTTGGATAAAAACCCTAATGCGGGAAAGAGACCATAAGTTGTTGCCAACTTGAATGAATGACATAGAAATTTCTATAATCTTCTACATTTAGACACGAACAAAGCACATTAACTGTGAAAAGCCAGTAATATTACTGTGCAATAAGAAATGGACAAGAAGATGAATTCGGCAAAGAAAGGTTGATAAGAATCATTTGTAAATTACATAATTAAAACCTTTAATTATTTTTAATACCTGATCAAATTATCCTGAGTTGCAGCTGGTAAGGTGTTAAGATTGTACCCAGCGGACCCGGTCGCCGCCGTACCGAAACCTTCGATAGTCTGGTATTTCGTACCACTATCCAATTCATACTCGTACTTGGATTTCTCTAACAAGAAACAGGAAATTATAGACTTCTTTGGACTTAATTTTCGTAATTCTTAAGATAAAAACCGTCTTAAGCTTTAGACTATTTTTAATTATTTGAACTACAAAATTTTTACAATATTATTTGAGCTAGATTTGCTGTTATGTTACTTACTTGATCTTTTACTTAGCAGTTTTCCGATTTTCTTCTTAAATCTCGAACCACCCTACAACATACAATAGTATTTGTAAATTAATGAAATAAGTACACTTAAAGATTTTATTTTATAATAACGTTGATTTTTAATAAAACTCTTGTGATACACAAAAATTGAAAGTTAATTTAAAAAACATACTGACTAATTTTACCTACAAAATAAGCGCCTGACGTTTTTATCACAATTTCCTATCTTAAAATTTTGCTATAATTAATTATGGGGAGTAATACCATAGAGAATAAAGAATAATTTACCTTAGAAGACGTGTAAGATACGTAACTTCCTTTATCAGGTACATCCCTGGTGATAGTATCACAATACGTGTCGTTACAAACGCAAACTACTGATTTACCATCAACAACACGAGCGGCGCATTGTTTGTCTTTAACTTTTGAAGATCTTTTTCCTGTAGAAATGTACATAAGGAATAAATTCTTTCATCTCTCATTTTCTTCCAGATAATACAAACTAATAATGGTAACATTAAGTTGAACAAAACTCACCTAAAGTATCGCCTACATATAGTAACAACACAACACTCATTATATTAAAAATATTAAAAACTTTCATTGTCACGTTAATTAAATTATATACAAACGAATTTATGCATAATTATTATTATTAAAATGTAGGTAACTAAAAAACACTGATTAAGAGATAAAATTATTTTAACCTTAATTTAAAACGCTCGAATAACAAAACACAAGAGATCATTTGTAATAACCCCAATAAACTAAATAAATGACACCTATTTTACGTATCGCAATAATTTGTAAAACAAAACGTAACGTTTTTATACTACTAAAGTTAATAATAGACTATGAAAAGTTTTTCCAAGAAAATATCACAATAGGAGAAATAATAGAACAATTTTGTAATCAATAATAAGTTATAGACGTTGTCTATGTTACGAAATATACAAGTAACGTATAGATCACGTCTATTAGACAAAATCCAATAGTGAAATAATATGATGCTTGCTTATAATAACTATGACTATTTCTACAAATTATGTATGAAGGTTTGTAAATTATTAAATAAATGATCGTTTTCAACTACACATTGACTAGATAGTTGGACTATTGCTAATAAAGTCCAATCTATATCTATGCTTCTATACTATTATAATAAAGCGTAAACACACACTTCTTTGTTCCCTAAGATGTCAGCAATTACAGCATATTTTTAAATAATTCTTTTTTTAATAAAAAGCCCTACACTTACTTCACGCTTTAGGCTATATATTTTTACGCCATTAAACATAGGGGGTAAATATTTTGGATAAAAACCCTAATATGGGAAAGAGACCATAAGTTGTTGCCAACATCAAGGAAGCAACGTTGCCATGGTTTGTCATCGTCATGTCATTTTGACATTTGCAATTGATAATTTGACACAATTGAATAGAATTTTCATAATTTTATGAGGATGAAGTCGCACGGCAACAGCTAGTAATATAATAAAGCGTAAGCACACACTACTTTGTGGATGTCAGCGACCACAGCATATTTTTGAATAATTCTTTCTTTAATAAATAGTCATGCACTTACGACACGCTTTAGGCTTTATAATTTTTACGTTATTAGACTTAGGAGATAAATAAATTGGAAAAACACCACCATGTGGGAAAGGGACCATAAACTACAAGCTGCCAACATCAAGGAAGAAAGATTTTGAAATTTGCAATTGATAATTTGACAAATGTGACAAATGTGAAGTTTTTATAATTTCTTGCGGATGTAGCCGCACGGGAACGCTAGTTTATTATAAAGGGTTCTAAAAATGTACTCCAAAAATTATTATAAATCGTTTATTGTATATATAACATTCTTAAAATACTTATAATAACTTAAATTAAATTCTATGTACAGTCTTATATTATGAATTTCTTGTTATGAATCCTTTGAACATATCATAGTACATTTGTATGAAGTGTTTTCTATCAAAGGATTATTTAGTACACTAGTTTTTACAATAGATGGAGACACCATCGCATCGTCTTCTCTTAAATTCGTTGATTTGACTGGATTTTTAGACATTTTTGTATGTGTGTTAGTAATATTTTGTAATTTAGCTTTTACGGCTTCTCTTAAATTAGATATTAATGGACTTTCCGTCTTTTTTGGTATAGAATTAGTAGAAATTTCTTGTGTTCCTTTCAAGGGAGCTATTTCAGAATCGGCTTGTTTGTTATTTAATCTTGGTCGATTGTTTACACTCATAGGACCGAACTGGGAATTTGTTGAATCCTCGTTTAATTGCTTCGTTTCTATTAATTCGCTAGGCGCATGATCTGAATCGCCTAATGGTTGGAATCTAGATCGTAATGATTTTGAAATATCTTTCAGATTGTTTATATCGGCCGTTCTATCTTTCTCTGATAATCTTGAAGGCATCTTTATAGGATCTTCTTTTGTTATTTTCGGACCAGAAGCTAATAAAGGCTTAGGGGTGGTAAAAGAAATTTTAACTTTACTTATTGGCTTGAAAGTTTTTTGCTTGTTTGTAGCAATTTTATGTCTTTCGGAAAGATTTGGATTTTTATTAAAATGTTCTCTTTCTATTAAAGGTACTGTGCTTGTCTTTGGTTTGATGTTATAATTCCTTAAAAGGTTTTTTGATGATATGGAATTGCTTTTTGGTGTTGGCTTTTTCTTCATAAATGTATCTTGTAATGTTTGGGGCTGGGAAAGAAAATTGTTATCCAATTTGGCCAATTTGTTTGAATTCAAGTTTGGATTGAATTTTTCTTTTTTAGATGCAGATTTAGGCAATGCTAACTTATTATCCTTTGCTTTAAATGTCGGAGTATTTACAGATTGTAACTTCTGTTCGTTAAGTCTTTTGTACATTGAAGCCAATCTATCATTAAAATCTAAATGTAAAGCTTGTAATTTTTCCTTTACATCTTCATGTTTCCTTGTCATTGATTGTAAGAAATCATTTGCTTCTAATCTTGGCTTTGCTTGTTTGAACTCTGGTTTAGTATCTAATCTATATTTTAAATCATCTGCAAGCGAATTTATTTTATGTGGAGTTTTAAGTAGATTTGTTTTAGGAAGATTACTGTTTGGGGATTTCAAATGATTTTGACTTTGGAAGAAACGCGTAATATCATCTAGAGAAGCAATATTTGTCGCGTCTGATGCTTTTATGATTTTGTTCGATCTATCTAAAGCTAAAGGATAACTACTTAACGTCGATGGATAACCAAATGGTTCCGTTATCAAAGGATTTAAGGACGCAGTATCTAAAAGATTTTTGTTTCCTCCGATATTATAGCGTGTATTTTGAAAAGGTCTGAGATATCTATCAGTAAGAGGTTTCCCGAAATAGTTCGATTTTGGTAAACTCGATTGCAGAGGATTCGATAATACCGAATTACGATTAGAACTTTCATTCAATGGATCGAACTCTGTTTGATAATCTTCAGATTCCTTTTGTCCTGCGTCTATAATTTCTGATATACCCTGTCTTATTTCTTCAAGACTAGGTATTTGTATTGGTGTTTTGAATAGGCTAAAAGTGTCTTTCAATGTAGGACCTTTTAATTTATCACTTAATGGCGCAACAATGGCATTATATTTGGAATTACTTGCTTGGGATGACATTTCGTTTGTTTCTGAATCTTTTGGAAGTGTGGTATCACTGTTAAGGTCATCATTATCATTGTCTATTTTGTCATATGTGTATTTGGTACTTTCTGGATCGTTGTTTTTTTTATAGTTTTTGAAATTTGTTTCATTGCTGATTGGATCGTCGTCTTCAGATGTTTGGTTTTCTTCTGTTTCTGTAGGGTCTAGTTCTGAAGATGCACTTTTATCCTCATTTTTTAAATCATTAGAGGGTTCATAATCTTGGTTTTCATTGTCCTTAAAATTTGTTTCGTCTTCGCTAGATATGGTTTTAGCTTTTAATTTATTTTCCTGTTGTAAAAGAGAGTCTGATAGATTTTGTAAATACTGAATTGTAACATCTTTTTCATTTGTCGGTTGAGGAATAATCGTTACATCCTTATTCTGGTCACCTTCTGGATTTAAATCGAAGTTACTTAACTCCTTATTTGTAGAACCTTTTTCATTCACGGGTAGATACATTTTGGGGTCCGTGTCTTGTAGTTTTGATTTTATTGACTTTTTAATATTTTCTAATTTCCGTAATATATCATTTTTAAACGTTGCTATGCCATCATTTTCCTGTCCCGTCAAAGAGTCGCGTTCATCATTGCTTCCACCTGTACTTTGTTGTAAACTTAAGGAATCTACCTTATCTGTTATGCTATCACCTTCTTCATGAGATATCTGTTCATTTATATTATCACTCGTTTCAGCAATAGAGTCTTCCATATCACTTTCATCATCTGCTTCTTTGCTGTCATATTCAAAGCTATCTTTTGTATCTTTCAGCTCAGTATCAGTGTTTTTATTGGCTTCGTCTTGTGCTCTCCTTGCCGATTTGAGACAGTCATCTAGACGTCGCTGCATTTCTTCAATTAGAACATCTTTGGAATTTTCCTTTTCAGAACAATGTATTTCACCAGAGTTAACTAAAACGTTATTCGTAGATATTTCTTCTTCTTCTGTCGGTTCTTTTAATATGTTTTCTTCGGAATTACTGTTTTTTCTTTTATAAATTGTATCTTCATTGATATCAGATATTTTTACGTTATTTTCTGAGCCAGCGACATTTAAATCGGATAACTTAAGTTTTTTATCCGAGGGATGTTTACGGAATAACTCATTTGGTGGTAGAAGCTCAACATCTTTTAATTTTAAAATATTTTTTAACGCTGGACTTGCATTATCGAATAACGGATCCAATGGGGAATTAGTATCAAATAGTACTAATTTTCCTGTTTCACCTTTATTGCTGAAAATGTCTATATTATTTTGTCTTGACGGCACTGGAATGTTGTTCATCCGATTAATATTTCTCATTTCAACTAAATCACGTAATCTGCTCTTCAGTGCTGCCAACCTAAGTTTTGGACTATCTAATTCGTTATTTTTTAAAACATTGCTGCGTTCGGGAATTATTTTTCTTAATTCATATCCTGAATTGGTCTTCGATATTGGATCATTAACAGCTTTAATTGGTAAATTATTTAGTAATAACGGATTTATCCTGAGTTTTGTACTTAAATCGTTATTATTAACAGCGAAAGTTTCTTTTACATTGCTTGCACTATTATCCATATCAAATAGTGATTTAGACGAGAGTCTCAGTGGTTTTTGTTTTAAATATAACTTTTGTTTTGACATTCTAGGTCCCAAATCATTGTTAGATGAGCTTGATCGTCCTAAAGGGGTATGAATGCATCTAGTTTCGTGTACATGTGACCCTTCTGGCATAGCATCATCTGTGTCAAAAAAATCTTCTCTAGGACTAAGCAATATTGTTACAGAATTTCTCGAATTTTCCGGTTCAGAATCAAGAAAACCTGGTTCAATTTCAACAAGACTTCTAGAAGCCTCTCTCTCTAAAGCTTCTTGATATTCTTCGTCTGTTGCCTTCTGTATAGTTTCCAATACAGAAGATGCAAGACCTACTTCAGGTTGAAGAAGAGGTTGATGTTTTAATTGCTGTTTCCTATAACAAAAACAAAATTAAATTAAATTGTTCAAAGACCGGATTGTTTTTTAATTTAAACCTGTTCTCCATTATGATTTAGAAATCTATACTAACCTTTCTGATGGATGGGAGTTTCTTAATATAAACGGTCGAAAGATCGACGGGGAACCTTGTGAATCAATCCCTGAAAACCGACAAGGGCAATCGTCTTCTTGAGTGAATGACCCCATTGGAGAATTAGGTGACATATCCGGTTCCTGAAAGTCGGTCCCATCGTCTCTCGAACAAGGACAACACTCTTCAAAATTCGTTTGTCTTGTATCACGGATACTATCTGTTACTGGCTGACAAGAAATCTGAAATTAAGAGATTATTTAAAAAAAAATATCTAAATGCCTGGTTCACATTTCTCCAGTATAGTTGGACAAAAGCGGAGGGCAAGAATAGATGGTATATAATCACTGGCGCCAGTTAGTGATGGTATTATGTAAGTAGAATATCAATCCAGTTATAGAGCTCTACTGTCTAACTGTACTGTCCAAGTGTGAACCCGGCATAAAAGTCATTGTAATAAAGCGGTTATCTGAATAATTTCCGTTAAAAACATTAACTTGAATAAGGATTTATGCCTGAAACTTGTGAAATATAACTTACTCTGTTCGGATACACGATGAAGTATAACGCCACAAATATTTCCAGCCACATAGTCTTAAGATCTCATTGATGCACGTCACACAACAACCAGCTTCATTACATTTAAGAAATATAGATATACCGAACATTCTTTATATCTATTTGATAAAAGATAATGGGATAGGTACGCGCTAATTGACCGTTTGACACACTACGTGACCTATCCGAAATTAAAGAAATAAGAAGATAAAACATGTTCATCTCTTTGATAACTATGTTAATCTCAATAGATTGATACTCCAAAGATCGTCTTATCTACTTTACGACGACTGATTTAGCCTATTTTAAGTCTATCCTCATTTTTTCTTCTTTTTCCTAACATCTAAAATCACATTGTATTTTATTTGAACAACAGAATGATTTTTTATACGTTGCAAACTGTTTTTATAAAGTTCGTATTAGTATTATATTGGATTTATTCTGTTAAGATGTTTTATTGTTGGAATTAAAAAAAATTAGAAAAAAAATCTATTAGATTTTTGTTTTCAATTATTGTTATTATTATGACTTTTCTAAATTATTTTGTCTTCGTTTCGCTAATTTTTATATAAGTACATTAAATAATATATACATAGAATTTATACACAAATACATACATATTATTAATATTTTAATAAAAAAAATATTTTTTTGAATTTCTTTATTTGACTTGACACACAAAAAAAGAAACTTCACTTGTGTCATGAATGTTATGGCAATGTTATGATGCAACGTATCCTTTGAAAAATTTGAAAACTTTTCGTTTAAAAGTCGTTATAAGCTGTGATAGTGGCATAAACGTTATTCGCAATAAATATTTATTAAATTTAATGAATGCTTTCCATTTAATGCATTTCATCAACATTGAAGTTAATGTAGTGGCTACATTACGTTTGCTTATGCTATCGGAAAATCGGTCGCGGTAACAAAACCTTAGTCCATCGTTCACCGCATCTTCTAGACAAACTAGCAAAATTGCACATTACAAGATGGATGATTTCTTAAAAATTGAGAAAATAGGTGAAGGTACTTATGGTGTAGTGTATAAAGGAAAAAATAAAATAACGGGTCAGTTCGTGGCAATGAAAAAAATACGACTTGAGTCTGATGATGAAGGAGTTCCTTCGACTGCTATCAGGTGCGTGATAGCTGCAATTATTTGTGATTTTATATATGTTACTATCTCTTTTCCTAACATAAATTACCTTTACATTTCTAAAACTAATATCTTACTACAAAAAGCTAACCTAAAACCGCGCAACGTTTTTGTTTATGTTTTAGAGAAATTTCTTTATTGAAGGAGCTCAATCACCCTAATATCGTAAAGTTAGAAGATGTTCTTATGGAGGAATCTCGTCTGTACCTTATCTTCGAGTTTCTCGCCATGGACTTGAAGAAATATATGGATTCATTAGGCTCGGGAAAAGTATGTATGAAAGAAAATAATTTTTGTTATGTTCTTAATATGAAAATATAGCTTAGTTATTTATTAACTTATCTTTCATACTATAAAGTATACTTTGATTTAAAAACGGAGTTCACAAATGCTTATTGATATAAGATATGTTTATTTGACAATTATTCATAAACCATATCAGTACACTTGAATTTATATATTTTATTCCAATTAGACTAATGTGGTATTGAGTTATATCACAGTGAAGGAAAATATTGTCATGCACTACTACATTTGATGAAGAAATTTCAAGATATGTATGATCAACAATCAACAAACCCGCCAAGCGCCAGGGAGGTTGATTATGGCCTAATCACCCCTTAGTGAGGATATAATGTGAGCTGGTGAAGATGGTGATGAAGTTACACACAACTCTTACTTGAGAATCATGTCTAAATCAAGATAACATATAATTTAATTTGCACCTTTTTTGGAATGTAAACAAAAGGATGACAAGCCTTTCCCACCATCATTTAGCACCCTGTTAATGTCTTAAGTTGCATTACAGGCATTGTCTAATGCAAAATTTACACTATTGTTTTCAAATACTGCTGTATAAAACGTACTATTTTCTATAATTCCAGTTTATGGACCCAGCAGTAGTGAAGAGTTACTTGTTTCAAATCAACAATGCAATCCTGTACTGCCACCAGCGCCGTATCCTGCACAGAGATCTTAAGCCTCAGAATTTGTTAATTGATAAGACTGGTATTATTAAGGTTAGTTTGCTGTTTTACTTATATTATTTATCCTATAAAAAGTAAATGGGGGACTACCATACCCCCTAGATACTGTACTCTTCAAATTTAGATAATTATAAATGACAATATAGTAAACAGTCCGTTACTACTATGAAACTCCTCAGTCAATTGAAATAAACAACCATTCCCTTCCACTAAACCTTTATACTTGGCATCTTGATATAGCTAGACTTTATACTATTGACATAGTTGAATAAGTCATGTTCATATTTGATAACTTAAATTTTAAAATTCAGACTGCATGGCAAATTTAGTTATGATGTTTTACTTAGAACTCGCCACTCAAACTTAAAAACCTCGATAACTTAAACTCAATCGAACCTCTTGTGTAGTCAGACTTATTTTGCCAAAAGATTTCCCTTGATTCTTATATTAAAGTTGGAAAAGAGCAAATAGCCACCTGGAATCGCCCAAATAGTGAAAAGTACACCTTTTTTCCCACACTTGTCTACTATTCTGTACTTTTCTCAATATGTTATTGATTTTATATAGGTTTTGTTAATCAACTATCAATACATGGTTGTTTTAACACTAATGAGAAATTAAATACTTGCAGGTGGCTGATTTTGGTCTGGGCCGAGCATTTGGTGTGCCAGTGCGGGTGTACACACATGAAGTTGTCACACTATGGTATAGGGCTCCGGAAGTATTGCTTGGAAGTCAAAGGTATTGACTTTTTACTAATATTATAAATGTGAAAGTTTAGATGGATGGATGTTAGTCTGTAGACTAAAATGATTAATACATTAGAATGAAATTTGGCATAGATGTAGAGCATAGTCTGGAATAACACATAGTTATGGTTTCTATGGAATGGGTTTTGTTTTTTTTTTTCATGTTTACTCAATAATTTTGCAATGGCACAATGCTTTGTCTCGGAAATATATTAGGTTATCGAGGAATACTAGTTTCTTGTTTTACATATTTTGTATTTTTAAATATTGCACGGACGAAGTCGCGGACAATAACAAGTATGATATAAAATACATATGATAGTATCAACCAGGGACAGCCATTTTGTTAAATATAAAACTCGCTAAGACCATTACGAAAATGATCATACACAATTTTTAAATTTTAATGAGTGCTTACCTAATTAGGACGTGAGATTGTTGATGTTGTGATATATTTTTGCCTTACTTTGCAAATAACACAACTATCTGTATTTTCCAGATATTCATGTCCCATAGACATGTGGGCGGTTGGCTGCATCTTCTCGGAGATGTCCTCTAAAAAGCCATTGTTCCAAGGTGATTCAGAAATCGATCAACTTTTCCGCATCTTCAGGTAATAAGCAGTGCAGTATGTATTGTTTTCTTTTTTTATACTAGTGCTTGTTTTGTATAATTGTTAATTGTTAACAGAATGCTGCGAACACCGACTGAGGAGATCTGGCCCGGGGTGACCGCTATGCCAGATTATAAACCAACATTCCCCAATTGGAACACATTTAATCTACACAATCATGTAAGTTATACCCTTTTTGACCGACTTCCCAAAAGAAGGAGGTATTCAATTCGACGGTATGTTTATTTTTTTTTTTATGTGTGTTACGGCATAACTCCGCCGCTAGTGGACCGATTTGGACAATTCTTTTTTTATCCGAAAGGTAATGCTTG